ATCCGGGCGTCGAGAAAGTGCATCGGGGGCCGCAAGTTTCGTTCCAGGAACGTGATGCAATTCGAGATCATAATTGGAGAGAACAAGCTGCCAACGTGCTTGTCTCCGGGAGAGTTTCTGCGCTTTAGAAAAGTAAAGGAGGTTCAGGTGGTCGGTGAATACGAGAACGGGGTGTGGGTTTCCTTCCAGATAATGACGCCATTCATTGAGAGCGCGAATTATGGTGAGTAGCTCTCGATCGAAGATTTCATAATTGCGTTCAGCGGGGTTAAAGGACTGGGAAATATATTCACAAGGGTGGTAAACGCCGTTCTCATCCGTCTGAAGGAGTACGGCCCCCGTTGCTACGAGAGAGGCATCAGTAGCAAGGGCAAATTGTCGTGTGGGATCAGGGTTCCTTAACACTGGTTTCGTTGTAAAACATTGCTTGAGTTTATCGAACGAGGTCTGAGCGTCAGGCGTCCAGGCGAAGACTTGATCTTTTCGAGTAAGATTGATAAGCGGTCGGGCGATATCAGAGTAGTGGGACACAAACACCCTGTAAAAGTTGCAAAATCCGAGAAAAGAGCGGACGTCTCTTACGGATGCTGGGGTAGGCCAGTCTTTTATCCCGTCAACTTTGGCGTGTTCCATGGCAACTTCTCCGGGACGAATAATCATCCCGAGGTATTCCACTTCCGCTGCGTCGAAAGTACATTTTTCCGGTTTGACGAACAGTTGTTCGCGACGGAGGATCTCCAATACCCTTTTTGTCCGTTCACGATGCTCCGCGAGGTCGGAGGAGAAGATGAGCAGATCATCCATATATATGACGATCCATCCTTCATTGATCTCGTTCTGAAAGCGGTTGTTCATATACGATTGGAAGGTAGCGGGGGAGTTGGTTAGGCCAAAGAACATTACAGTGGGCTCGAATAGTCCTTCTTCAGTAGTAAAAGCCGCTTTCCATCTGTCGTCAGGGTGGATTCTAATGTTATTGTAGCCGGATCGTATGTCGATTTTTGTGAAATATCTGGCTTTGTAGAGCCGTTCTATAAGGGTTTTGGGGAGCGGGAGCGGGTACTGGTTGCGTATGGTCCAGTCATTGAGGTATCAATAATCCTGGCAAGGGCGTAATTCTCCGCTCTTCTTTCCTACAAAGAAAAATCCACTAGCTTGTGGGGATTTCGAGGGTACAATAAACCCTTTCTCAGTATTTTCCGCGATAAAGGTCTTTACCGCTTCTCTTTCCTTTCCTGATAGCGGGTAGATTTTGGATGTCCTTGGCATGAATCCCGGCTTCAGGTCGATTCGATGGTCAATACCAGGTCGCTCCGGTGGTAGTTTATTGAGACCGTCTTTTGCAAAAATATCAGCGTAAGTGTGTAGGTAGGAGGGAACGAGTTCTTCGAAACTCTTCTTCATCTTTTCTTTCTTTAATTTGGAATTCTTCCATTCACGGGACGGTTCTTTTTCTGCGGGGGTGGAAAGGGGGAACAGCAGTGGTAGATTGCGCTGCCTCCTGAGACGATCGATGTTTCTTTCGATCTCGAGCGATCGTTTGTTTGGTGCGAGAGACAGTTCCTTGTTCGTCCAATCAATTGACGGATTTAGTGCTTTCAGCCACGGGAACCCAAGTAAAATTTTGTCTTTCTTCGAGAGTTTAGTTATGTTGAACTTTCCTATCATAGTTCTTCCGTCAATCTTGACAATGAGGACGCAGTAGCGAGAGATGAGTCCTCCTCTGGCGTCCGATCCGTCTGCGGTTATAACGGGAAATGGTTTCGAGAGTTTGTGGGTTTTGATTCCGTGTAACTTGCAAAATTCTTCGCTAATGAAGGTTCCGCTTGCTCCGGAGTCAATAACCATAGAGGTTTCGATGGTTTTGTTACGCTTGGTGGAAATAATAGTGGCTGGGACGCGAAGCTCCTTTTTATTTCCAAGTGATTGTACAAGTCGTATCGGGACAGGAGGTACTGACATCGATGCAGTCTCCTTTCCTAAAAATCCATCTCCACGAACCGTCGGTTTACCTCTTCGTCATCATCACTGCTCTCTTCTTTCTCGATCTTTCTTCGGATGGGCATCTTCTGTTTCTTATCCTCCCTTGGGTGGAATGTAGTATCGTTGGCACGATGGCCAGTCTGATGGCATTTGAAGCAGCGTCCTTCTTTGAGGTGTCTCTTTACCTCGGATTCTGAGAGCTGATCTATCTCCATGGCATCACTTCTGCGGGGGGTGAAGTGGCGATCCCCATACTTCTTCTTCTTATGCTGGTAGTGCGTGGGATTTTCTCATTTCTGTATGGCTCTCAATCTCTGGAAGGCGTTATCTAGGTTGATGCATGTCGCGATGACAGTTTCAAAGTCGTCTAGACTTTCTCCCGTATGGTAGAGGTTGTTGCAAAGTCCTACGTCGAGACCTTCGCGGAAGAATTCTACCTTGGTGACGTTCTCGGTTATTCCTGCTTTATGGGCTAGGAGGCGGTAGTTGGAGATATACGTATGGAGGTCTCCTTTCATTTCAAGGGCCCGTACTTTAGCCATGGCCGTCCCGGCGGGGTCTATGGCTCCAAAGGCTTCTTTGAATGCGACTTTGAATTCATCCCAGGTGCCATACCCAATGAGATTTCCTGCGGTATTCTTTAGCTTGGCGTTCTGGGCGGTCTCCATGAAGTCTTCTTTCCAAGCGGCAGCATTGCCCTTGGTCATAAACGAGAGTGCGAAGATCACTTTCTTCTTGTCACTGTCGTAGATCTTATCGTTGATATCTAAATACACATTACAGTTCAGCATGAACCTGTGCGATTCATCGCGATCTCCATCGAATTCGGGGGGAGAACCGATCTTGATTTCTATCTCTTTGGTAGTGGTTGCCATCATATTCAATGGTGGTATCGGTGGTAGCGTGCCTAGGTTTAAAGCTCCGATCAAAGGAGTTAACGAAGTCGTGGTGTTCTGCTGACGTCGCAGGTGGCGGCGTCTAGGAAAGGACTTTAATCTTTTGTTACGACTGGGGTATGTCGAGCTGTCTTAGTCCGAGTGGACTGAGATTCGGCGAGACAGACGTGGTTCTTCTCTCGAATGAGAGGTCAGAGGTTTCTGGCTAAGGCAAGTATCGGCGACTTCCTTAGAATGGTGGTTCTTAGATAGCAAGGTTGGAGACCTTGCTAAAGGACTTGTTCCAGGTAAAACCCAGTAGATTAAAGTAAGGAACTACATGCGGTACGCTATGTGTCTATATAGCGAGAGTTCAAGCGGAGCTTGTAAATGTGTATCAAGATAGAAGGCGGACAGCCCGCTTGGTAAGTGATAAGAGATAAGAGATAAGAGATAGTAACCATGGTGCGGACAGCCCGCTTTGATAAGAGATAGTCGGCTAAACATAGTGATGGTTACTGGTACGGAAGGTTAGCTTGGCGATGATATGAGTAAGGATCTGAAAAGTGATTGGTCGCTCGTTAAGAGCCGTATCCATGTACCATTGTCCTGTAGCAAAGGAGAAACGAAGAGAATGAGTATACCGTAACATAGTCACTGGCATGGCCCAGCACCCTGATACACATGATGCAGGATGGTCTACCTATAGTTCATATAGTCACTGGGATGGCCAAACACCCTGATACACATGATGTGGGATGGCCCACCTATGGTTCATATACCACTGGGATAGCCCAGTCCAAATTATCTTGTTTGTTTCTATTTATTTCCCACATTCTATAAAATTATATACTGCCTTTTTTTCTTTTTTTCTTTTTTTCTTCTACATTTTATTGTGCACCTATCCTCTCTCAATATTAGTCCTGCAATGTTCTCTCTTATTTCTTTACTACTTCACTGGGTTGCTTATCTGGGTGGATACTTCCTGCTAAGCTCTCTTTTCTAACTAATGTAATTTAATCTTTAACATTTCTAGTGATGACTTGCTTTTGCAAATCTGACACTAGCCAAGTAGTGTATTTCATGAATCACCAATGATCTCTCACTTTTATAACCTATAATTTTATTAATCTCTGGTTGCTAATTGTTCTTATCATCATTTTCATAATGCTCATTATCTATGCACTTTACCTTCATTATCTTAAATGTACAACTGCCAATATGCTAAATGCTATTAAGCTTCAATATACTACCACTATTTCTAATAGACTCCTTGCTAGACCTGAACCTATTTTTTAGTCTTGGGGAACCACTACTATGGGGCTTCTACAAATCAAATCAACCAGATCACCAAGCCCTCCTGTGCTTGTCTTCTAACCTAATGCAGCATCCCAGTCCAGAATATTGATGTTAGTACTCTACTATCTCTCCTTTCCCAGCTGTCTGATGCTTTATATGGGCTAGCCCATTATTTGTTCCATAGTCACTAGGACAGTCCACATTATGAAGTAGGGTAGCTCATTGCTACTTTTATAGTCGCTGGGCCAGCCCGATGCATGCCCTGGGTTGGCCCACCATACATTACATAGATACTGGGCTGACCCACTATATATATATTTGTTCCTTACATACTACTAAAGATAGCCCGCCTACCATTAATTAATCCCTGGGATGGCCCAACTACTCAATATATGTCAGCTGGAATAGTTCATCATTTTTGATTTGTTATGTGAGATACCCATGATGAGCCTAATCTACATACAACCAAACTCCAAGATATTGGTCTTATCTGGTGAATATTATACAGCATAGTTTGAAACCATGAAAAAGACATATATTCAAGCTATCATACACAGATATATATGAAAATAGTTCAAAGTATATGAAACATTAGTCACAGTAATCAAAATCATGATCATATAGATTGCCATGATAACCAGGAGATGGAGTGTTCCAGCCATAATCAGATCTCTCACATCCTCTTGCAGCCACTCTCGAAGGGCCTGCAGCTGAAAAATCATGGCGAGAATGGGCAACATTATGCCCATAAGCTTGAACATGATATGAAGACATCTGCCATACCTCATTATGCCAGCAGCATTGAGGTGGCTCGTAGTCAGGGGTATGTGCATGAGGTCGAGGTCATGGTCGAAGATGAGCAGGAATGAAGTGCTGGGATGGCAATTCAATGTGCACAGCAGCATCATGATAATATATAACCTGCAAACCAATTTGAATAAAATAATGATAGAATGTGTTGGTTTTCAGCTTACCTTTGACTTCTTCCTAATATGAGAGTCTGTTAAAATCAAGCTATCAGCCTCAGATTCAAATTGTTCATCCGCTGGACATTCAATTAGAAGAGTATCTACAAGTGATTCATAGACTTACCGTAATCTTCTACATGTGGTTGCTTATGATGCTGCATCATCTGCAGCTGAAGTCCCACTTGGTGGCATCCTGGACGCGCTAGATCATCATCACTATAGTGGTCATCATGAACAGAAAAGCCATGAGTAGCACAGTGAGTCTGTCATTGAGACTGACGATTATGAGCAGTAACTTCACACTGTCTTTCTTCAGAAGGGACACTGACATTGAAACCACTGATGGTTGACATTGCTTCCCTGTACTATTGAAGCAGCGCTTTCGGGACACAATGCTTGAATTTCTCAGAGTCTGCTAGTTTCCGGAGTATGACATGGGAAGTGCTGGTGACTAAAGGAATATCAAACATTTTAGGGTCATGTTTTTCACATTGCTCAATGTGATATAGAGCAACAATATTAGACATGAAGATAAACATGGCAATAAGGACCTTTCAGCCAAGGAACAATATCAATTTTGGACACAGTGACATCCAACTCATCAATGATATTGTCAAGAGTCTTATCACTGCATCCCTGCTTGCACTGAAGTTCAAGTAGATTCTCAGCTTCTGTCTTCAGTTTGGCATTGTATATTGCTTAGCTCTGCACTTGATGTAAGACATGACAAGTAGCTTCAGGTGTTGAGTGCTAAGGGTCTGGTAGTTGAAGTCTGGGCCAACCAGATGAACTTCATCAGGCCAGAGTTTGAATTGAAACTTGTTCTGGTATGCAACATCAAGTAGTTTCCACCACTGGACAGACTTTGTTTTATAGCCAAATTGTTCTGTTTCATTGACATTAAGTTGAGACATGGACAGGGAATTAGATCAACCTTACCTAGTTTCTCAAGCACCATGACTGGCCAGATACGTCAGTAACGGTCCTGTGGGGCTTCACCAGATTTCAAAAACAAAATATCATAAGCCTCACCAAACTGTGGCAGTGCTAGCTGGTAGTTTTTTGCCCTGGATACATAGTAAGATTAAACTTAGGGTAGTTCCAAGTTACCTACTTTGCTGCAGTAACAATCCAATCTAAAGCGAGGCGAGTGTCCACTTGGTGTTAATTGATAATATCCATAAAGGTGGATGAGCCTGCAATAAAACCAGAGGCCTGGTGGGCCACCTCATCATATTGAAGACACAGCCAATAACCTCAATGCCTTCTAGATGAGAATAAGTTGCAAACTTTGAGACAATAAGCCACAATAAAAATGAGTATTGTGACAATACTTACACACTTAGCAAGTGTATCCCTTGTAGAAATAACAATGCTGGCACACGACTGATTGTTATTGGCTCCACCTAAGTAGAACTCATAGTGCGCTTGTATGTCATCCCACAGTGGGTCATCATCTTGGATGGCATAGTAGTGATCATGTTGTCTCTTTTTCCAATCACTACTACCAGGGTATATGTGTTATTACTGGCACCTAAGTGTAAAGAAAAACTTATGTTCATCTTTTTCTTGAGGATATTTACCCTTGTATCATCCTTGGTGCATGTTCCATGAGGTCTCAGCCCTGGAGTGCTTCACAGATAACCCAGCCTCAATGAGTATTGTATGTGCAGATTTTCCATACTTGTCTCCAATTGCCTTGGCAGCCTCAAGTGTCTTGCATCCAAGCTTCTGTGCATCATCTATGCCTTCCTGGCACAGCTACCCAGGTCTAGGAGTAACAGCAAGGTCTTCACCAACATCATCAAATAAATCAACTTGGGGAGCGGGTGAGTCAGTCTCCATTGCTGTGGAGCTTTTTGGTAGAGCGCTAGATTCTGCACTCTTCTCGAGTGACTTCGTTGTCATATGTATGGCAGCCTGGAGTACTGTAGTAGTCAAGGAAGTCTTCATTGCTGTAGATTTTGAGGAGAGAGTCTTGGAGAATGCACGCTTCTTGGATAACTTTGCCTTCAATGAAGGCACAGGTACTTCTTTGTATTCTTCCTCAGCTTCTTCTTCCTTGGTTTCTTCATCTTGATATTTGTCTTCATCAGACTCCTCTTCAGAAGGAGAAATATCAAGCTTTGCAAGGCATTTTGCACAGTGTTTGGCCTGTTCCCTTGCTAGTCAATTTAGTTTGGGTAGTTGTTATCTGAGGAAGGGGTACCATCTGAGGAAGAGCCATCATCCTCTGAAGTATCCAAGGGGGGTAACAATTCTGGGAGACGAAAAAAATGTGAATCCAAATAATTGAGAAGATACAGTACTGCCTACCACAAGTCTTGTTGGCGATAAGAGAGAGTGTCCACACGGTACGAGCCGCAGAGGATTAACCTCCGGGTACCTTTGCAGGTTTTCCTTTTTCCTTTTTGATCCTTATCGATTCTTGCCACCTTCGACACCTCATGCTGTCCATAGCTTCTCTCCATCTCAGACTTCTGCTTCTTTCCATCTCGGACTTCTTGATACTTGGTACTTAATCCCTCCTTCATACGCAGTTCACCTCAGCGTTTCTCTACTGTCTGCTGAGGTGTGTATATGTCCTGTCACTCGTATTCAGTCTTGTTAACGTGTCATCTAGACCTTACTCCATGTCTAGGTACATAACTAATATTAGCGTTTCTCTACCATCCGCTGAGACCTTACTCCGTGTCTAGCTCCCTACAAGTCTTGGGATCATCTACAGGATCACTGTGACGCTTGGACCCGCACTGGGCAGGAAAGAGCCTATTTTCATATTGGTGTCAAGGAGTATAGAGTGCTATCAGTTTTCCTATCCCTATCTATCCCTCATACAACAAGAAACCCCTGTGCGAAGCTGAACCCGCACTTTCCTGCACATCGGCCGCATCGGACGCGCATTCCCGTGCTTTGGATACCTCGGAAATGCATTAGGAAGGTCCCTTGTCTATCCATAGTCCATCCAAACCCCATTGCTATGTGAATTTCCTTACCTCAAGGCTTGTAAAATGTGTTGCAGCCTTATATATTTCCTATCCCTTCCTTCTCCAAGTGAGAGTCTAGACAGTATAAGTTGACTATTACTTAAGACTACTTACTACACTTCCCTCATACTGGATACCTCTCCCTATAGGTTTACCTTCGAAGCAGTCCCTTGTAGTGTGCGCTTTTTAGCCCCTATTAGGTTTCTTATATCTCTCTATACCTAGACTTTCCTTACCTCACAATATACCTTTGCCCTCACGCTCTCTGAACCTCATTCCTTGACCTCCCTATACCTTGTCTGCACATTCCTGTGCTTTCCGCACCTTCGACTGCACATTCCTACACTTTGGATAGCCTCAGATACATTCCTACACCTTGCGCATTACCTGTCCACTATTTACCTGTGCTTAATGCACCCTCAGGTCACACATATCCATCATTGTTCTAGTAGCAATTCCCTTTAGGGTCGAACATGTCTGTTTAGACATAGCAGCTAGACATAGCAGCTAGGCATTAGCTTGACTCAACTCCACCCAGCAATATTGTTGTTTTCACATTGCCTTTGTGAGCATCTGCTTCTTCTTCACTATCACCCTCATCTTCTGTGACAGGGTCATTAATCCTGGGGTGGTCTTTGTAACAATCATGTCAACAAGTAGTTACTTGGTTTGTAGAATTGCCACCCATACCTTGGGTCTGAGACTCAGTATCAGTGCACAGATCTGTGGTGGTAGTGGAGGATTTCAAGTGCTGGGCAAGGAGGGTGCTGTAGTCATTGAAGTCCATAAACGTGTTCCCCTTTGCCAAGGGGGTAGGTTTGATTTTTTTGGTGGGTGGCAGTGACTGGGGTATGATGATCAGCATCAGCAAATAGACAAAAAGTGAGGAATAGCTACTGTGTTAATCTTGTTCTATCCAAGACAATAAATATCAATATCTACAATCCATAAAATTGAATTGAAGAATATACATATAGTGTATGGGTTAATGGGCAAACCACTGCAGGTTTGCATCACAAAATCAATGAGTGCAGGTTCCATCCGCTGTTTAGTGCACTTTTGGATGGAAGAAGACTTTTTGGGAGGCATGATAGAGACGAATTCTTAACCCAAGGCAGAGAGAACTATGGACATGAATGTCAACAGCAAGGAGTGTGTATGAAGAACACAAAGTCCTTTTCAGTGGCCAAGAAGACACAAAGTCTCACAAGTGGTGAATGCAAGTAAAACTAATGTGAGAGTAAGTTAGAACAATAGAAAATTGTAATGCAGAAATTCCAACCTACCTAGCTTTTTAAGAAAACTCCAAAGACAAGAAGCAAAAAACTGCTGTGTGTGACTTTAAGTGACAGAAAGTTGATAGCAAGAGATTTAAGCACACCTGCTTTTTAAAGGTGGGAGCAGGGCACCTACAGAATATCAGGCAAGATGTGAATAAAACCGTCAGCTGGACGATGAACAAACTTTGCCAGAAGACTGCCATACTAATGGTGACTTCCAGATGGCAAACTTTACACATGGACTGCATTTGGAATGGGCAAGACCATTGATGTATGCTGCTGTGAGTGGACACTAATTAATGAAGAACCAATAACAGAAACTGCAGACTGGACTAACCCAATAGAGCCAGGTCATCAGTAGGGACCGCAATAATGAGTAACATTGATATAGGAGGAAAGAGTGTGAAAGGACGGCACATCATCCATTTGAATTTGGTTTGGTGGCTGGAGTAATGTGTAGAGTACCCAGAAAATTAAGAGATGTTCTAGAAATGAAGAAGGGTTTTACATACCTGTCTGAGGAATGCCATTAATGTAGGAAGGAAGAGTGAACAGATAGTGCATCATCTGTTTGACTTTGGTCTGGTGGATGGAGTAGCATATAGAGTACCCAGGAAATTGAGAAGGGTTCTACATACCTGTATGTAGAATGTGTCCGTAACCTTTCACCTTTGACACACCAATCAATGCTTGTGCTAGGAAATGCTGGGACACTAGCATAAGTCGAGTCAAAGCAGATAAAAAGAAATAGAATGACTTAGCTATCAGATAGCATCCGCAAATGCACCCAATGAAATCAGCTACCATGAATACAGGAGCTCCAAGAGACGGTGTTGAAAGAGTTGAAGGGAGTTGAGATGGTAGGGCAGTGACAGATTGAAGAGATCAGAAGATGGTGCCAGATTGAGTAGTAACAGTGCTAACATGAAGTCAGACTGTATGATGGACGACCTGATGACATGAAGTCACCAGGTGATGTTAGCTACCATGAAGGCAGCTTCAGAACAGTTGCAGATCAGTACTTACTAGAATGGAGAGGAGGAAGGTAATGTAGCCTTGCGAATGTTTGTTGTCACTTTGTCTCACTTTTGTCACAAACCTATTTGGGTTATCCCAGGGTGTAATCACACTTTGCACCTACTCTCTTTTCCCACTTTCTACTCTACTCTTCTTTCTCTTTCTCTTTCTCTTTCTCTTTCTCTTTCTCTTTCTCTTTCTCTTTCTCTTTCTCTTTCTCTTTCTCTTTCTCTTTCTCTTTCTCTTTCTCTTTCTCTTTCTCTTCTCTTTCTCTTTCTCTTTCTCTTTCTCTTTCTCTTTCTCTTTCTCTTTCTCTTTCTCTTTCTCAATCCTAACCTCTCTCGGTCTAACTCCTCCTTCTCCTCCCATCATCGGTGCCAAATATTCTGCCTTCATGGTAGAAAATACTATTCCAGTGACTTCATGTTACTGTGCATAGTACTCACTACTCTAACTTTGGTTAGAGTACTGGATAACATTCCCTCCTGCCTGCATACACCTTCCACCTACTTTGAGTCTACTTTCACGCTTGTGAGTAATTTTCATTACTGTGTGTCATCGGATCTACACTCTCACTGTATTCTTCTAGCAGTGACTTCATATTGTGTGCCATCCAACACATCCACAAGGAAACTCAATTTTGTATATGTCTCATTGCTTTCATATTCCTATTTACTTGTACTAACTTATGCCCTTGTCATTTCATCAAGCCACCACTCACTCTCATCAGATAGTTACCATTCCATCATTCATAGTCCCTCTTATAATGCCTCTGATAATTAGTGCTGCTGTGGTCTAGTTCATAACCATGGTTCGAACTGGACTTTTGGTCCGGTTCTGGATGGTTTGGTCCACAGTTCTGGTGTTAGCCCAAACTGAACCGGAAATTGTTCTCAGTTCTAGGTCCTGCCAAACCATTCTATTTTGGTTCAGCCTTGCCAAACCGTTCCGAACCCTTCTCAACTCTGACTTTGACACCACTTACCTCAATGTCAACCGATGTAAAGAGTTGACTCTGTGTAGGTGCTACAAATGTTATTATCTTTGAACTCAATGTGCGAGTATAATGTTCGTCCCAAAGAGACTGCCTATAGAAATGCTCCTTGATTTAATGCAAGGGATATCTTGTTAAGATCGAAGATGAGAGAGGGAAAAGCTACCAAGGCTGTACTTGATGTTCCGAGAATGTGTCCGAAGTTGCACGAAGCGTCCGAAGAGCTTCCAATGAACAGCAAGTGTTCCGAGAGAAGTACGGTGTAGCACTCAAGCTCACGCTAGGCTCATATTCACTGATTTCCCGATACATGTTCAATGCCCGTCACTTTCCGATGTAACCCGCACAACCCAACACAAACCCAACACTTTGACCAGCGGACCCGACATTTCGGCCGCATCGGACCCGATATTTTCCCATGCACTTGTCCTATTTGTGTCCTGTCCCGTCTTGCTAGCCCCACTAGGTGCATAGTTGATTATTTCACACATTACTCATGTCATAGCAAGTGCTATTACATGTTTTCCCATCATCTGCAGCGCCTCATGTTAGTTTACATGTACTTCGGACCCGAAATCGTCGGCTGCTACTTTCGCCTATAGGGTTCCAGATTTCTACGTACTTATATATATATTGGACTGACTAAGAGTATTTTCATGATCCAAGTAGTAGGGAGCCATTCCCCGATACTTAGTGGTCAAACCCGATATTTCGTAGTTCTTAGTTGACATTGCGAATATTACCGCTCTTTCTATCCGAAATACCCATCATTATCATATATCCACATACTGCTTGCTTTCCCAACGTTTGCTATCGCCATTCCCACTGTAGGTGAGGAATGTAGAATGGTAAGAAGTGGGGTGGTATGAATATACTCAGATGGTCCTCTGTGCGTGAATCTAATGTCAGCCCAAGGGGATTGCTACTGAGAAGGTTCCTCTATATATAATAGTGGAGGGAATCACTGAACCAGGCTGTCGGATAAGCCTGGTGAGGTGCGTGATGATGAGCGAAGCGCAATGAGCGGAAGCGCTACGAAGCGCTACTGAGCGACGAGTGCAATGGCACACGCTGAGTGTGAGCGAAGCGCGCGTGCGGGTGGTGGAGCGCAGCGACTCTTAAGTGAGTCGGGAGACAAGTAAGACGATGTTTGTATATATGAGTATGAGAACTGCCGCTCGTGTCGGCTTTTAGCACTTAGTGTCGGTCGGCGGATACGACGGAGATTTTAGACTTAGAGTCCAACATTTGTGTGGGCAGAAAGATGATCCCCATTCTACATAGAGGCAAGGTATATATATATTCTAAGTAGCGTTAAGCGCTAAAGCGAGCTGGAAAGCGAAGCGAGTACATGATGATATGTAATAAGGGTCCGTGACGAAACATACGGAATATTATGCGCAAGTGCCGGAGATATGTCAGAATACATGAGAATAAGATAGGAATACGCACCGACGAACCAAACGGACATGGAATGGATGGACAGAGGACAAGCAACGGAAACGAAGGTGCGTGCGCTGACGCGAGCAACCGAAACACCTGTGCGCGCGAGCGGCCGATGAAGCGCCAAGTGTGCAGAAATGAGATACGGGTCGTGCTGTGTTTGGGAGGTGATAAGGACATTGGAGAATTAGACCTCTACGAGGCCACAGAGATGTTAGTCTCTACATCTCATAGGAACTTTAGCTTCTGACTGTCCCCAGTCAGTGTACATAGGGGTGGATGGACTTAGCGAATTTTCGACAAGGAAAGTCACGTGATCGTGGGCGAAACACGCTAAATCGGATGTGGAGCAGATCCACTGTGGTCACATGAAGTGTGGTGAGCAGTCGGGATTGTGCTGACATAATGTGGTTCATTTCTGACATAAAAGCCGGTGAAGGTTCAACGAAACAGCGAGGCACGAACAATGCTCCTGACTGTATCTATAATTGTTGTAAGGTCGTGCGTTGCCTAGTCTGCTATACTTGAGACGACAAGTGCGTTCGACCCTAAAGGGGAAGCGAGTGCAGCAAGGATCTAGAGGTATGTGCTGAAAGCGCTACTGGTTGGCCAATGCGAAGCGCGGGAAAGCGCAGGTGCGCGCGAGGCGCGGGAATGCGCACGTGTATGGCGTGAAGCATGGGAAAGCGTGCGCGTGTATACAGATATGAGAGAGAGTAAGAGAGAGTTTGCTTAAGTGATGATATGATGTAAGACAAGAGAAGGGAGATGCGAGGTGTAAACAAATAGATTTCTACTATGTTCTGCTAGGTGAATAGTGGGTAGTAACCAGTAAGTCCTCTGTCGTTCTGGTGGGAGAGTAAGTGAGTAAGTAAGTATGTACTGCTGGCGCTTAAGTATGGCGCCTAAGCGCTGTCATGCGGAGCCGAAGCGCTACCGAGTCAGGTATGTAAGGATATATGTAAGTAAGGGTCCATGATAAAAATAAAGATGGAACAATATGCAAATGTGAGAAATGGAAATATACGCACTAGGGAACTTGGTGGACAGTGGATGGATGCTTCCAGATGGCTGGCGCTATAGGGCGCTCAAGCGCGGGAAAGCTCGCACGCATATACATCGTGAAGCGCGGGAAGTTGCGCGCACATTGCGCGATGCACGGGAAAGCTGCGCCTCATGTAGGAATAGCTGTGGATAGCATACAGAGTGATGCTACATGTTCGTGCCATGTACTCCCTAGTGAAAACTGCGATATTGCACAATGAGAGGCACAAGTCTCTACATCGCGCTCGGACTTTTGACCATTTATCGTTTCACTAACTACAGACCATTCCAAATAGCTAACCCCTCGGATTGAACGCACTTGTCTTGCAAGTATAGCAGACTAGGCTGTGCACGACCACAACACTTTATATATTGCTAAACACTGACTTTGTGTAGTGTTCAGCAATTGTTGTATCTCTACAACAGCGGGTATATCAAAGTATAAGACTTGCAAAGTATAACTAGGCAAAGTCTATCAAAAGAACTTAGAGACAGCAAGATGCAAAATGGCAGCGGTCAGGCCAAACAATCATTCCGAATGAACAAAGATCGATTGCATGAAGTACGACCATCTGAAAGTGACTCTACTGACTATGACTCATAGCAGGGAAAGTGAAGTGAAGTGCGAGTAGCTAGCGAGGCAGATTATATGTATAACCAATGGTTTTGACGGGCCGACAACATATGTGCCCCTAAGACATAATCAATAACAGATAACCAAGTGAAAAACACACCAGCGAAGTCAAATGGACACAGATGGGACATGGTACAGAGGATCGGAAGAGTATACAGGCCTCAGAATTGGATGGATGACCTTCGGACGACTCAGACGAATGCGCAGAACTCTCGGAAGGTAAGAAGAGTGTTGAGGAGTATGTATGTGGGATTCCTATGAGATTGGCATGATATGAGCCCAATGCCTATCCGAGTGCTACACCGAACTTCGGGATTTGCATTCCACTCCTCTGCCTTTAGCCTTTTTGAAGGTATGTACTAACTAATCAAAATTTTGTTTCTCTCACACACTGACATTTGTTTAAATATGTCGCAGTTTTAGCATTTGCTTATGGTGAATGGTGAATCCACATCAAGGGCATGGAGCATCTGGTTCAGTGTGAATCTCCTGCCCACATCGCCACCAGCATCAACTGTGCCACCACCACCAGCACCACCGCCTGCTGCAACCACTACCCCATTCCAGCAACAACCAGTGTCTAGTGCATGTGCCCAGCACACACCAGCATTTGCTGGCATGGCTAAGACAAATGCAGATGACACTTTGGTGAAGGAGCAAGGAAGACGCCGGGGAAAAGAGAAAGGAGAAGAGGAATGGGAGAATGAAAGTCGTCGATGAGATGAACAAGGTGTGCTGCCCACTCCCAACCTACCTCAATGACTACCAACTAATCTCCATCAGTCCAAGGACTCATAAACCTCAGTTCCAACAACACCACAGACCCTGCCCGCCATGCACTCCTCATCTGCACTGTGACACTCGGACCTGCACTGGGCAGGAAAGAGCCTATTTTCATATTGATGTCAAGGAGTATAGAACACCATCAGTTTCCCTATCCTTATCCGACCCTCATACATCAAGTAACCCCTGTGCAAAGCTGAACCCGCACTTTCCCTGCACATCAGCCACATTGGATGTGCATTCCCGTGCTTCGGATACCTTGGAAATGCATTAGGAAGGTCCCTCATCTATCCATAGTCCATCCAAACCCCATTGCTATGTGAATTTCCTTACCTCAAGGCTTGTAAAATGTGTTGCAGCCTTATTATATGTCCTTACATATTTCCTATATTTCCTATCCCTTCCTTCTCCAGGTGAGAGTCTAGATAGTATAAATTACCTATACTGGGACTATTTCCTCACTACACTTCCCTCGTACTGTATACCTCACCCTATAGGTTTACCTTCGGAGTAGTCCCTTGTAGTGTGCGCTTTTTAGCCCCTATTAGGTTCCTTATATCTCTCTATACCTAGACTTTCCTTACCTCGCAATATACCTTTGCCCTCACTCTCTCTGAACCTTGTTCCTTAACCTCCCTATACCTTGTCCGCACTTTCCCACGCTTTCCGCACATTGGGCCACGCGTTCCCACGCTTCGGATAGCCTTGGATACATTCCCGCACCTCATGCATACCTTGTCCGCTATTTTCCTGTGCTTAACGCACCCTCGGGTCACACATATCCATCATCATTCTAGTAGCAATTCCCTTTAGGGTTGAACGTGTCTGTTTAGACATAGCAGCTAGGCATTAGCTTGACCCAACCTTTTCTTGCCACCCAGCAAGATTGTTGTCTCCACAGCGCCAACATCCTCGACATCCAACATGCAGTAGCAGCATCTGAGCAGTGCCCAATCCCTGTGATAGCAGCAACACATGGGCTTGTAATCAGTCTTGGGATAGACCTCATCTCCATATGTGACGTCTGGTACACAGCATCAGATGCCAAGTTCTCCATCAAGGCTCATTAGTCACATGGCTGTTCGCTTATTTGTCTGATGCAGGCTGCTTGCTGCATATAGGAAGTCAATGTGGGGCTCGTGGTTGATGCTGGGACACTGGCTTATTTGCAGAAGATTATAGGGAATAAGTCATTGGTTTGTGAGCTTGCGTATATATGGGTGTCTGTTACCATTTTTGGATTAATTCATTGTTTTGTTGATAGTGTTGCTGAGAATCTGGAGTACCCTCCCACTACCTCTCTGACTCAGGGACTGATGCTCAATCTCATACTGCTGCTCATTGCTATCTCCCACTGCTGCTCACTGCCATCCTTGACCCATGCTCATGAACGCCATCCTTCGCTGCTGCTTTCCTTGTCAATGTTTTTTTTGTGTGCTCTATTTTTTTTGGTTCAGTTTGGGTTCGGACCCCAAAAAAACCAAACTGGACCATAGAGAATGGTTCTCTATGGTCCAGTTCTGGGTTCAGGCATTTTGTAGAACCAAACCAATGGTCTGGTTCTTGGTTCTCATCTAGGACCCTCCAAACCAGACCGAACTGGACCATGGCAGCACTACTGACAATACCTCATGAATTCAAGCCATTCTTACGTGAGGGTGACTGTAAGTGTCTGTAGTTGTTGAGAGTAAACTCGTCAATGTTTGTTTTCGCTTGTTATTGTCACGGACATACTATATCATATCATTGTCTACGGTTGTTTACACCTCAGCAGTTCTTTCATTAACACTGAGGTATGTATTGTGTTTGTCTGCATGCTCATTGTCTCTTACAATTATTTGTCTTTAGACTTATTTATTAGGTACTGTCAATGCATAGCGGTTCTTTCATTAACGCTGAGACTCGTCTATTAGCTTCACCTTTCTACAGTAGTGATTGTCCTGTTATTCTCTAATGTTGGATATAGGTGCTATCACAGCTACTGATGCATATTCTCTCGCCTACAATGGTCAACTTGTTTTCACTTCACCCAACATGAGTTTCATTCCAAAACTATACAACAATCCTTCCAATATCATGCAAGCAAGGGTGGTGTAGGTTTACAACTCAGAGTGGTGCTATAGGCTCCAAACTGATATCTTTATGTTGTAGGTGTGGGATTACATTGCGAGTAGAGTATTTTTCACTGTCCTTTACATCTTGTATACTACTTGTATCTATACTATAACTTCGCTAATAGAAAGTAACTGGTCCACTGTGGGTACAACAATTCTGATTGTGATTCAGAACAATGTGTTGGGTCTTGCAGAACCTAGCTGCTATTCGACCCTAAAGGGTTTCTGGACCAGGCTCAAGGCTCAGAGGAGAGGAAATGTCATGAAAAACTACTGAGGACTCAGACTCATACTGGTACTGGTGAAAAGGTAACTTTTTTATGTAAGCTACAAAAGTGCAAACATAACACTAAGGTAAGAACTGTCTCTGCAAGCCTAGCCAGGAATCAGTTCCTACACCGCATAATGAACATAAGTATTTGTAAGTACTGGGCACTGCATATTACAAAGAGTGGAAGATCTGTAACGTTAGCGCTCGCATCATACTCCAACAGTAGGTCGTACACTGCCCAGTCTGCTATACTTGCGGGACAAGTGCATTTGACCCTAAAGGGGAAGCTAGTGCAGCAAAGGTCTAGAAATGGACACAGAAGGTGCCACTTGTCAGCTGATGCGAAGCGCAGGAAAGCGGTGGGTGGCATCCATTCTAAGGTCTTAAAATATAATCATACATAATTTAAATAAATACATTAAAATGGCCTGTGTGAAAAACGGTCCTTAAAATGTCTATGGTGCATTTCACTTAGAGCCTGCTTACTTTGTGCAAAATTTCTACATCTGTCAAAAAAAAAGACCTGACTTATTCCTTCAGTAGAAACACTCCTTTTGACAGTACAAACATTTCCTCTGAAGCGATTTTCATTTACTTGAAAACTGAGGGAGTTGTAAATTTTTGAGAGGTCCAAATTGGTGGATATGTACCAGAAGTGTTATACAGTATTGAGAGCATGTGCTACAGTGTCTAGAATATGTCTGTGGGACTTGTACTTGCAAGAACTGAATGTCCTGACCTGGATTTGAGCTTCTGTTGTGCCCAGGATTTAATTTCAACGTCATTGAGTGCCAGATTTTCGACTTGGGCTTTCATAGCCAATAACCTTGCAGCTGCTTTGCACTTGTCTTTGATACCCATTGCAACTTGGAGGCGACAGGAATAAGGATAATTCATGTTAATATTTCTTTTTTTTTGGCTAATAGTAGTATTTTTTCGTGGGTCGATTTGGCGGTTAGGTGCCCATTGCACAAAGTAAGCGGGCTCTAAGTGAAATGCACCATACCAATGATTTACAATGGTCCCTGGAAATTTCTGACACACATTCCGCTTAAAATCTAGAGAACAAGGTTCTTAGACATCAAAAGCACTTTGGTCACCCCATTGTGGACACCTCTTAGGTTGATTGTTGCCTATAGAGGTTTATACCTAAGAGGTATCTTTCTGCTGGTCTCCCCGGTGTTTGGTGGTCTTTCCCTATTACTTTTGTGGACCAAATGAGTATATATTTTACATAGACCAAAGACCATTGGGAATATGTTATGGAAAGGACCACACAGTAATTTAGACCATATATATAATGAAAATTCCCTATTATATAGGAGTGTCCGGGGTCCATATTTCTAATGTTTTGAATCAATTTTCTGTCTATTTTTATAGTGAATAGCACTACTATGATGGACCTTTGCATTACATATAGTATATAATCATGATTTCTTTAATAAATATTTTACTACATAATTAGCTGATACCAGTGTATTATTGGTAGAGCTCACCCTAACCTATTTCAAGATGACCAGGTTTTTTCAGCATGTAGAAGACAAAAGGTTGGAAATTGAATGGTATCTCATTATGAGCTCATAAGGACTTCACAGATATGATTGCTAAATTATCATATGCTGTTATCAGAAACATGGAGGAATGTCTGTACCTCTTTCATCTGCCCAATGGTAAGAATATCTTTCAGCGTGAACTACTTGCTATAAACATTTATGGTGTATGCTTGCAAAGCAGCAACTTGGTTAGGTTGCACTATAGATAAATAATTCATTTGATGGAAAAAACCACAAGAGTTAGTGAAATAGACAATATTATGATATTATATAGGGAGGACTACAGCATTTGTGGAATAGACCATATATATAGGGAAGACCATACTAAGAGTTAGTGGGATGGACCACTTGTATGGGAAGATCATAGGCACATAATGTATTGAATAGGGAGGACCATAAGAGTCTGTCAGACAGACCATACATCATATAGGGAAGGCCATAAATATATAATATATTGAATAGGGAGGACCATAAGAGTCCGTCAGATGGTCCAAACATTATATAGGGAGGACCATTAGTGTCAGTGGGATGGACCATATATACAGGGAAGTCCACAAATATGCAATGTATTGAATAGGGAGGACCATAAGAGTCTGGCGGATGGTCCAAACATTATATAGGGAGGACCATCAGAGTCAGTGGGACGGACCATATATACAGGGAAGTCCACAAACACACAATGTATTGAATAGGGAGGACCATCAGAGTCAGTGGGACAGACCATATATATAGGGAAGTCCACAAACACGCAATGTATTGAATAGGGAGGACCATACGAGTCCATTGGATGGACCATATGTTATATGGGGAAGGCCATAAAAGTTGGTGGAATGGGCCACATGTTATATAGGGAATAATAGTGCAAATAGGAAGGACCATAAACATCAGTGGGATGGACCATAAGAGTCAGTGGGACAGACCATATGTTATATAGGAAAGACTCCAAATAAACAATATATTGATTGGATAAAGAGAACCTCAAGTTGATGGAATCAGTGTTGTCATTAGTTTTGTTATATATATTATATAGAAAAGGGGAAGAACAAATGTGAGAGGATGGGCATGAGAAAATGAGTGTGAGAACAGCAGGTAAACAAAGGCTGCAGGAATATCTTATTGAAGGGCTAAGACAATCAAAAATGACAATAATACTTACAATTGATATTGATTCAGGCTTCACAGCATGTCTCATAGGAATGAAAGGCTAGTGAGAATATATATTCAAGAAATGAGATAACAAAAACATAACACACTTTACAACATATTGTAGCGACATGACACAAGGGAATGGGCACGAGAAAACGGGCATAACAGAACATGTACAATACAGATGATGCAAGGTGGAATATATCATTAAAAGTAAATTGTGTGATCTACATGTGGCACTGCTTGTGTAACGATTTGATTGGGGAAGAAGGCATAAAGTCATCATCAATATCATCCAAGTCATCCATGAACTCCATATTCTCGCCATACCTATACTCATCTGCTAATGCGATCTCTTCGATAGCATCCATTAGTTCCTCATCATCAATCTCACCATACTCCAGGTCACTCTCACAATCATCCTCTCCCTCTACTTCCATAGTCTCGTCATCATCCTCATCCCGAAATGATGATTGTACCTGATTATAAGCAGCTTGAAGCAAAACTTCATCAGAGGGTCCCCAACTCCCAATCATAGGCCACGCACATGGAATAGACTGAACCTTTTTTTCCAGATAACACAGATATTGACAAGTTCATCTGCACGAGCCCCAAGGTGGAACGACATCACTGGATCGGCCACTACGAAGTCATTAGATACCGTTAACAACATTTCATGCTGACACACCTGCTTTATCCAAGGCAGCTTGTATGCTGTCCCACTCTGCTAACGTCCATTCTTGAATAACAGCCCTCTCCCGCATCAGTCGAGCTTCCTCCTCATTGCATCGATCAACCTCAAGTTGCAGCCGGATACCATTCCTGACAGTGTTGTCCGATAGCCATGCTGGGGGGTTCAAAGTGTCATCATCAAGCCCAACGTCTTGCCAAATGTCATCATCAACATCAAGCAAAAAAATGCCATCACGCGGGATGATATGAGGGGGGACAGCAGAAGGGGGTGCTCGCTGTTGTTGTATAAGAGATCATAGTTTAGAACACAGACCGTTGTATGTAGATACTAATTTGAGGATGCCAGGCTCTCAGTGTTTGATTGAGTGCTGGGTATTCGCATGAAGCTTATGTTCAGCTGGAAAATTGTGAGACACGCGTCAGTGAAGTCGAACTATTAATGCACTGTTGACTGTTGCTCTATACGATCTCTCGAGTCTCTCCAATTCAAACTTTCATTGACGAAGATGATTGCGAATACAAGTTTTGACTGCACGAGCATTCAAGCGAACCGTAAGATATATATCCTTCTTCATCTTCTCCAGGTTAACCTTTTCCTCAATTCCAAGTGCAGCTTGACAATGCTGGAGAGTGTCAGCAGTTCTCTTGTGACAGGACCGAGCATCTACAAGCTGCAAATTGACTTCCCCAATGTCAGGGATGCAGACACCATGTAGCCGCATCTCAAGTTCCTGTATGGAAGCCTCCTGAGCTTCTAATGTCTTCTCCAGTGCTAGAATAGTAGTGATGACCTCCGCTGCCTTGTCTCTAGATTGTCCTACATAACATTCAGTTAAGCAGTAGGTAAACTTAGTTATCATATACATACATGGTGCGGGTCGTGTCTGGTGATCAACCTGAGCCTTCCACTCTGCTCGCAGCATATGCTCGTCCAACTCCAAGTCGTGTAAACGGTCCAGTGCATCATTCTTCTTCGTTTGACAGTGGATCCAATGCCGATGGAGCCAGTGTCCAAATCCTTGCAAGGATTTCGAGTCTAAGTGACGAATTTGCGTATTGAGGACAAAAAGTCGCTGATTAGACTTTGAGGGGGAGTGAGATTAATAGAATGATTAAAATAGAGAATACACACCCCTGAAACACACAAGGAAGGGATGAGAGGCTTGAGGAAACTCCACAATCATTCGCATCCTTCACCATCAGACAGGCCGAATCCTTCTCACTTCCTGGGGTGATAGATTATCTGACATGGCCACTGGTGACCATAAGCATGGAATACAGCAATAGCAAATGCGATGCGAGATATAATAGAATCATCCATGAATTTCCACTTGCGACAGCTCTGTTCGAGCTGGCATCTGATGTCGTATAAAAGTCTAATAGTCATCAGAGTAGGGATATGTTTAAATAACCGGTCTAAGAGAGCAAGCGCATAATGTTGCTTTTCTCCCGCAGATGTCATGTTCGCGATCCATAGGACACGGTCATGTCTACAGACCAGTGCCATGAGGCCAGTATCGGTAAAGAAACAAGTACTTGCCTTCTCCTGCTTTTCATCTGCAGCAATGAAGGAGTCACCGCACCCATTCAAGACCGATACTGGTATGTGCATGCCCTCCTCACAGCCATCTTCATCTGGCCCCGACCTTGAGGTCCTTGCTTGACGTCTTTCTCTGCAACACCTTCCAATGAAATCTTCCATTGCTTTCACATTGTCCGTCGGTAGAAAGAAAGACAGTGTCAAGTTGGGAGGATTGCTACCAGCAGCCCCACGAGGATTTGCAGAACATTTTTGTGTGAAGCACGCTGTAGAGACTCATGCCTCTCATTGTGCAATATGGCAGTTTTCACTGGGGAGTACATGGCACGAACTTGTAGCATCACTCTGTGTGCTACCTGCAGCTATCTCTATATGAGGTGTACCTTTCCCGCGCAACGCGCGCCATGCGCGCGTACCTTTCCCACGCTTCACGATGTATATGCGCGCGCGCTTTCCCGCGCTGTAGCGCCCTATAGCGCCAGCCATCCAGAAGCATCCATCCACTGTCCACCAAGTTCCCTAGTGTGTATATTTCCATTTCTCACATTTGCATATCGTTCCATCTTTATTTTTATCATGGACCCTTACTTACATATATCTTTACATACCTTACTCGGTAGCGCTTCGGCTCCGCATGACAGCGCTTAGGCGCCATACTTAAGCGCCAGCAGTACATACATACTTACTAACTTACTCTCCCACCAGAACGACAGAGGACTTACTGGTTACTACCCACTATTTACCTAGCAGAACATAGTAGAAATCTATTTGTTTACACCTTGCATCTCTCTTCTCTTGTCTTACATCATATCATCACTTAAGCAAACTCACTCTTACTCTCTCTCGTATCTGTATACACGCGCACGCATTCCCGCACTTCGCGCATTCTCGCGCCTCGCGCGCACCTGCGCTTTCCCGCGCTTCGCATTGGCCAACCAGTAGCGCTTTCAGCGCATACCTCTAGATCCTTGCTGCACTCGCTTCCCCTTTAGGGTCGAACGCACTTGTCGTCTCAAGTATAGCAGACTAGGCAACGCGCGACCTTACAACAATTATAGATACAGTCAGGAGCATTGTTCGTGCCTCGCTGTATCGTTGAACCTTCAATGCATCAATGCAAACGATAACATCTGGCCTAGAAATAATTAACTGATGCAATAAAATCGTAAGAATTAAATGAATGACACACATAGGAGAAGAATCTCTCGCTCCATTTTGCCAATCGTTCCCTCCAAAACAGAGTGGGCACCGCGAGCGGAGATAATCACTAGGTTGGTTCCTACGAGCACCATCTTCCTGTACACCAGCAACGAACATAGAGATGTGCTCCTGAGTCAATACAGTCAAGACCCGGTACCAGTGAAACACATTGCTGAAGCGACACCGCAAACTATTCTGAAGGAAGTTTAAGCATGGATATACAACCACGAGAAGGGAAACACTGACCTTCAACGCCAACTTGTATTTCATTCCATTGAGAAAGGTCTCCAATGCATTACACCAAGCCGTTTGGTTGGGGGACTGACGAAGAAAGAGAAGGCGGACGAACTTGAGAACCCGTAAGTCTACTGCTAGGGAGGGTGCCACGGGTGCGCATGGAAAAAGCCTGCGACAAAGAAGCTGAAGTGGGGCGGGTAAACAAGGGCAGACAATGATGGCAATTTCCTCAAAAGCTGACATGTACATCAAGTCAATGTTAGAATAGAAAAGACAGCAACATACCATCAAAAAATACACATGCAACTGTCACACTGCGAGTTTTGCACCCAGTCCCGCACTCTCCAACATCCTGATGACATATTTCTGGTACGTCTGCATGGCGTAGCGATAAAGTCTCCTGGATGTATGATAGATAGGGCACTATCATACACAGAATAATATCTTCTGACCATCTGTGCCATTAATTAGCCCTTTTCTGCGAGCTGGTGAGATGGTGGGGACCAGGGTCATTAGAAAAATGTAGGGAGTCGCTGAAGGGAAAGACAGCTCCATCATCCCTCTGTTCTAATTCTGTCCTAGATATCAATATTGAACAAGGTAACCTTTGCTGTGCTAGGCGTTGTTGTCCTGGCATTACCAAGATGGGAGGTGGACCCGGAAGATAGAGGTTGAGCTCCGTGGTCTCGCGGGGACGTTTCCATGTATTGACCATCCCAGGTTCACAAATGCTAGTAGTCGGCTGACATATCGGAGATGATGAATTGTGGTTGGTTGCCTTATGACGTCGAAGTTTCGGACGACGGACTGCCATTGTGTATGGCCTTGTGACTCGAAGTCAGCAAGGAAGGAAACAGTGACACAAAGTCAACTGGATTAACTCAGCCCATGGACATGCAGTCTGCGGGAGTTCAATTGTGGTGATCGGCGGTAGTGAACATTGATGGACAAAGTAGGATCACTAAGAAGAAATCAAAATGGGTACGCTGGGCTGAAAATTCACTTAGGATTGTTCAACGGCCTTCAACAATAGGATCCACTCGCAGATCTTCAAAGCAGATTGAGTCTGATCTAAGTGCGGATATACTGTGGTATTTGTATCCTCACACAGCTTGCCATCAAATAACGCCAAGGAAGCAGTGGTTATCCAGTGTTCCAAAAGAAGTCAGGGCAAGGTTTGATGTCATAGAATGGGCATATGAGAAGGTCGAAGTTGCATGATTGTACCATTCCTTCGCTGTGTTGCCACCAGTGCTTCTCTGGTTCATATCCGAATGATGCACCTAGCGAATATATATCTTGATCTTGCGAAGCCGGAACTCAGAACCAAAGAGGATAGGTGATACCATGACGCCCAAGTAATGAGGGTGGCATCATAGTTCACTGATGGTAACCATACAATGCCGAATAATGGAGCATCCTACACAGGAACATCAAATACACCTGAGACCATGTCACTCACCATGTCACGCAAATTCAACTAGCAGGAACATGGCAGCATCAATTTGATTACGAGGTAATGAGACCGAAAAGCAGATTGTATGCAAGGACAACATGGCAAAATTATGAAATTATGATTGCATGGGAAGTGAGTGGGGTACAATGGGAGGCCTGCCGAAATGATCAAAAAATGTTTGGACGTAAAACGTTGTTGCCACATGCCTGGCTTCCCAGCACTTTATATCTGTAAAGTTGTCCGATGTCAGTGGTGTTATAAGAAAAGGTGGCATGTCATTCCAATTGCAAAGCAGTCGTCGAAAATTCTCAAGATAAGGAAGACAACCCATCAGAGTGTTGTCCCACAATCTGTAATGTTCCGACGGAAATGGCTCTGACCACATCACTAGACCAGCCTCGCCCGGGAAGATGCCGTGGAGGAGTTGCTCGCGACCGACTGGATCATTGTTCCATTCTCCCCATGCCAAGCAACGATCAAGATCCCTCAACTCATATCGAAAGCCTAGTTCGAATAGCTCCCATGTGATCTTCTGGGCTAGAAGTGCGGGGGGATTAGCAAGACTGGCGATGGGGACTTGTTCACCCCAAAAATCAACAACTCCTTCTGGGGAGAATATATCACCCTGTGTTTCTAACAGGTCATCACCGAACAAGTCCTGCATCACTTGCTTCCGCTTCTTGGCAGCCGTAAGACCCTTTCCATCAGAGTCTTTCTCCTTATGAGATTGTGGCTGGGTGGAGGGCACACTGCCAAGAAAATCACGCCAGAGTTGAGGAGTGGGATAAGTGCGCGGAGGATCATGATTGACTCGGCCTATCCATAGTGCATGGGACGCAAGCCAATTAGCAAGATATAGTTGCAAACATTCAGGTAGTTTTGGGCCGATGAGAAGAGCAGGCTCAGGGAATCTATACCCCCGATCAATAATGTAGGGCGTGCGAATGCGAGACTGGTCTTTAATGGCAATTTTCATTGCAGCCTCCCAATGCAGATTCGATGGTGGAAGGTGAGGCGTGTCAGGGTCTTTCCACTTGTCCCTGGATTCACCTGACTGGGCAGGATGTGCAGGGCGAGCTTCAACTAAGTCTGAAATCATAAGCACCTAACGTACACAAAGAAAGAAAAAAGATACTTACATGGCTGGTACTTCGGCTTGCCCTTCTGTTGGGACAGCGCCTTACCAAGAGTAGACAATTTAGAACCAGGATTCGAGCTGGATGATGGTTGGGGTGTGTCTACCTCGGGGTCTAAGTGTGTTGTGCCTGCATATAGGCGACAAATGTGCATGTGACGTTCAAGACCACCGGGGCCGCGGTGTGGGTACAACAATTCTGATGGTGATTCAGAACAATGTGTTGGGTCTTGCAGAACCTAGCTGCTATTCGACCCTAAAGGGTTTCTGGACCAGGCTCAAGGCTCAGAGGAGAGGAAATATGATAGAAAACTGCTGAAGACTCAGACTCATACTGGTAACTGGTGAAAAGATAACTTCCTTATGTAGGCTACAAAAGTGCAAACATAACACCAAGGTAAAAACAGTCTCTACAAGCCTAGCCAGGAATCAGTCCCTACAGCGGTATATGACTTCGAATGGGCAAACTTTTCTGCCCTCTGCGTACATGGAAATAACGATGTGATCCGGACGTGTAAGTAAAACAGGTTCGATGACCTTCATGTTCGGGGGAATGTATATGCTTGCACGAACATACCAAATGGGGACACCGGCACAGAATAACCTCTCACAGACATCACTACTCTGCACGAAAGTGCCCATCCATTCGCCATGAGCTTCATGACAAAGGCCCAAAGTAGTGAGAGGCTGTGCCAGAAGCATCCAGTCGATGTAGGAGTAGATGTCGAGAAAGAGGCGCTGAGCGTCAGTAACAAAAATGAGAAGATCGCGGAAAGTAAGGGGGTGCGACTTCAAGCATGCGACAGCGTGTTGGAGGGACAAGAGGCAACTGTATATAATTTGGCCTCTGTCTGGCTGGGCCTTTCTATAATCGTGGAGTTGTTGATCTGCCAGCTTGGAGAGGGATTGCAAGCCATTGACCTTATCCGAAGCCAGTGTCCCCACAGGAAATGAATTCCCGGGAATGGACTTGAGGTCATTTTGAGTAGGGGTGAACCAAGCCCAATGTAGTGGGTGAGGGAATGGAAATGCCTCCTTTCGAGGAATGCAGACGGCGTGACAAAAAGCATCGTCGTAGGCCTGAGGCCACTGAAAGCAGTCGATAACGCCAAAGCGACCATCTGCGCGAGCTTGTAAGACTTCGGCCTCGAAATGGTGAAATTCCAGAATGAAATGCATGTTGGGCATCATGATAACTAAGTTACCCTGCACGGCAATGGCACGGGCGTCGAAAGCTTGTAACCAGCCTGTTGCGAACTTCAGCATCAGTGGATGAAAGAGATGGATGGACAGATACATACTGTCTGGGAGGGTGGTATTCGCCTTGAACAATGTCAGGGCGTCAGGCATAATGTGTACTAGAAATTGTAAGTGCATAACGAAAGTGAACAAGTAGACATACCTTGTGTCGGTTTGCAGAGTATAATCGTGGGAGTTCGACTTGCAGATCATGAAGAGAGCAATAAAACCATGACAAGGATGTGAGAGGAAATGAGGGAAGGTAAAGGAAAGACAAGCATGTACACTCACCAGTGAGAGGCTCAATGTAAATGTCAATGCAATGAAGCGAAATGCACCGGAGAGATATCAAATGTAATGCACTCCCAAGGAAGATCTTCAACCCTACTAGTGCAGCAGCGAGTGAGCAGCAAGGGCGATCCTCCAGACACGTAGTCTAGGAGTGATTGACCAGCAACGCGAAGTCAACTTATCAAGATGTGAACGGCACAAAGCCAGTTCAAATAGAGATGGGCTGGGAGTCGAGGGATCCTGGCAGGAGGACGGTAGGAGGGATGGGACGATAGGAGAGACGGTGATGAATAAAGAGAGTCTAAGAATCGATCTTCCCTTCCAGTTTCATGTGCCAGTATAGATTTCTTTCATTCTGTTAATCCCTCCAATGCCTGAAGATCATATTTGGTGTGTCATGCTCCTTTTCTCTGATCTTCCCTTCTGATCTCATGTGTCAGTATAGATTTGTTAATCCCTCCAATGCCTGAAGATCATATTTGGTGCGTCGTGCTCCTTTTCTCTGACCTTCCCTTCTGGTTTCATATGCTAGTATAGATTTCTTTCTTCTGTTAATCCCTCCGATGCCTGAAGATCATATTTGGTGTGTCATGCTCCTTTTCTCTGATCTTCCCTTCCAGTTTCATGTGTCAGTATAGATTTGTTAATCCCTCCAATGCCTGAAGATCATATTTGGTGCGTTGTGCTCCTTTTCTCTGATATTCCCTTTCGGTTTCATGTGTCTGTAGATGTCTTTCACTTCATTAATTTTTTCAATGCATGAAGATCAACTTGTATAGCAGGTTTCAAGAACAAATCACCGGTGAGGATAAATAACCACCAGGTTGACTACTTCATTTACAAATGCCTCGCCAGGTCAGAGCTACTAACAGTGACCACCACTTGGGTAGCGAAGACTGCAACCACCGTCTTCTCTTTGAGAACTTGCAAGTTAAAGCGCAACCGTATGAGAAAAGGTCAGTCTACTACACATTCCAGAGTTTACTCTGGTGTTCATAGTTATTCAAGTAGATCTTCTTATCAACCCCCACGCCCTCAGCCTTGTATTTGCATTGCTCGATCTCATTACTGTAAAACGTCGCCCGAGCCATCTGCCAACTTTGTTCGGCTTGCAGGTGAGTTCCACTGTAACTTCATTTCATTATTACACTATTCTTCTTTATTATCTGGATGAGCAGGTGTATCATATAGCAACCAGTGTCTAGCCCTCTAATAAACGCTCATATTCTGTGTTGAAGCACCGATCCAAAAAGAAACACTTATGATTCATCACACTAATCTCTTTAGGATCTGGCTGCTATATATAATATGCAATCTCTAGGCATCTCCCAATTTCAAGTTCTTATACTCGCTCTTACATTCTGAATTCTTTCACATTTGTCATACCTTACCTGACTTTGTGTCGGTGAAATAAAATTGTAGAGAAACTTCGTGTTTCTTTCAACGTACAGTTATCAACGGCTCTTTGAGACAGTAAATTCGTTTTTTCGCTATCATTGTGTTGTGGTTACTTCTAGCGGCTCAACTTTATTTTTCCAGGTAAGTAGCCTATCTCTAGAATACGTATTTACATTTTCAAAGAAAAATATGCTACAGTTCAAGCTCAACGTCCGAAACAATGAGGAGACCTGTTTTTCGGCAAATGTCGTTCATTGAGACACCTGACTGATTAGGTAATCTTGCGCTAGATTTCATTATCGCTATCAAACATCAACGTTCAACATTGTTATCATTCTTCACTGCTGTCGTCTGACACATCATTAAGGTCAAACTCCTCCCCACTGGCTGACTCTCCATCATCGTCTTCGCATATGTTCAACTTTGGCCTCGGAATTCCACCCTGCAGTTTACCAAGGGCAGGTTTCTTTTCACTAAACCTTCGTCCTTCAGCCTTTGCCCTGGCTTTCTCTTCCTGCCACTGTGTCAGAGCATCGTGATACTGTGCTCATTGGACTTTGTTCTGACTTTTTCGTTGGTCCTCTAGCCGTTTCCATGTGGCAAGTTCTTCTGCTCTCCTTTCTCGATCTGCTTTCCTCGTCTGCTTATCAGCTGCAGCCTTCTTCTGCTCGCGCTCAAACTCCACCACTCTCTCATAAAACTCGTCACCGGAAAGTAATCATGGTAAGCCGTCTCCCACCAGCTTTCTCTTTGCCTTTCCTTTTTGCTTTTTCTCCTCCTGATTTGCAAGTTGACCTCGTAGGACATTGCAATACATCTCGTTGAGGACATTTGCTGCCTGAAGCTCCAGCATGCAGCGCTTGAGTGTAGCATTTGCTGCCTCAGCCTCGCGAAGTGATGAAAGCAACAAAACTTCGTCTGCAGTCTTTGGCAACACATTGTGGTATGTATGTCGCTGCATCTGTTTGACTGGGGAGATGATGTGCGTGGCACCATGTTGTAGGCAAGTATTGGAAGTCAGTGGAATGTCCGAGACGAGTCCTGACAGGGACATATTTTTGAGTTTTTGAATAACTGACTCGATTTCAGATTGCATCACAGGAATGGGTTGTAGGATAGCTGAGTCATTGTTGCTGTCATTGTGCTGCTCTGATGACAGTTTTTGAAGGAGATCTGCAACAAGTTTCACAGGAGAAGATGGTGTGATCGGAAGATGACCTTTCCATGATGTTTCTTTACTAGGTGCCATCATTTTCTCGGTGATGATGTCTCTGCTGACAGGCCAAACTCCAGTCTTCCGAAAAGCCATGCGAATAAGATCTGGTGTGAGCACACGAAGATGTGCCCGTCCATAAATTGTCAGGAAGTTACTTTTCGTGATTCCCTCCCCTTTTTGCCTTTCCCACTTATCTCTTTCTTCGCTCCAGTATCTTTTTAGCACCGCAAATATAACCACATCTAACCCTTGGTACACATGGGTTGCATGTGCAGGGTAGCATATGACGCGAATCTGATGTGCTCGAGCATATTGAAGGAACCCTCGAGTGTAATGTGAATTGTGACCATCCACAATCAGAAGGCGGTCGTGTCCGTTAGCCTTTTCTTTGGTGTGTCTGTCAAACTCTTTTATCCACTCAACACCGATTTCTCCGTCTGTCCAACCTTTTTTAGAGTATCCAATGCTATTGAAAGTCGACGATGATCATCAGCATGTAATTTGTCATCATTGGTCTGTTTGCTCACGATGCATTTGCAGGGTTATCTTGCTTCCACTTGGCTTGATAAGCATTGCCCTTGAATATAACTGCTGGTGGACTTGACGTGCCATCAGCACAGATGGTCACTATTACAGTTGTGTTTTCTTTGCTCCCAGTTTGTTGTTGATACTGTGGCCCAGGTTTACGACTTCCAATGACTCGTTCGGCTTCGCCTGATTGTGCAGAGATCCCAACCTCGTCGACTCCATATATACAATCTTCTGCAATGTCATATTGGTCCAACACATTCTCGAGAAGGTCAAACCATGCTGTGTTTGTGTTTGCATTGACAGCTCGGCCACGTTTTGAGTCGAGTGAACTTGCCCAAGATGTTTTCAGACGGTCTGAGTGCTTCTCAACAAATCTGCTTGTCCAGCGTGTTCCTACTCCATGAAAGGTTTCTCCGAGACGGGCATGGCAAATTTCATCAACATGCTCTCGAAGCTGTTGGTGACTAAGTGGAAAACCTCGATTGCCCACCTCTTCTGCATATGTAAGGACATGCTCTGTCTCCACTCCAGTCAACCACCCCTTGAGAGCATTAGCCACAGCTTTCGTCCTTCCACCAGCTGCCAGCCGGACCAGTGTGGCATGAGATAATTTGATATAGTTGCCAGTTGTTTCCAGATTCATTTGTTCAAAGTCTCTACAGATAGTTCGTGAGCTGCAACGTTTTAAACCCTGCTTCTGGTGAGCTCAGTGCTATATGCAGACACAGCCTTAGCCATGAGATAATCATGAGCTTGACGAACTTCTTGCTGTTTTTTTGTAGCAGATTTGGCGTGGCCTGGCATAGTGAGAGGTAGAGACTAGTTCCAACTAGTTTGTGGCTGCAACAGTGTCTTTCACATAGAGCCTCTCCAACCCTAACTTGGTCCGAATAGCATTTCCACTAGCTGACAAACATTCCTTTGCTACACATGTTCTGAATAGCTAGACCTGTTATCTATACATCATGAATAGTTTCATGTCTCTCTGATTTGCTGTTGTTGTGAAATGTGGAATGCAAATTTCAAATCATCTAAATTTAGGGTTTTGAGTAGTAAAGACACACGTCTCAGTACTATTTTTACTGGTCAACATAATACAATATTTTTCATGGGGCAAGATACACGTTGTCTAAATGCACACAAGCAGTTTTGAGAGAAGAAACTGCGTTGTTGTTGTGTGAGGCATGTTTTGTATCAATGAACCATAGTGTCTCAATGAGCCATTGATGACTGTATTTTCTTCGTATCTTCGAGGAACAGTCAAAATATGCCCCCTACTACGTGTTCTGGGTGTAAGACAAAAAGGCCACTTCCAGCTGACTATGTTCGCACCTACGTGTCAAACGATCGAGACCGAGCCCGTTCCTGCCCTTGTTCAAAGTCAGTCCAGACGCAAGCCAATGTATGTCTATAGTTATTATTTTATTGTCTACTAACTCAATGTCAGTCGCATCGCCCTCGGCCTAAGGCTCGTCCTCTTCCAAGGTCTGAGTGTTCTGACCCCATGACATCATCTGCTGAGGAAGAAATTTTCTTTTCCAATTTCTCCAGGCGTCCGTTTGTCAGGAACAAGTCCAATGATGAGGATCCTGATACCCAGTCAGCTGACACATCCCAATTTCTACTCTCTGACCACTGATGATCCTGCAGATGGCACAGATAGTGATGGATCATCGGGTAGGTTTTGTCTTATGCGTCTCACTCTCATTAACTGTTGTCCCTCAGCTACTCACAGGGAAGACAGTCCTGGTGCTGTTAATAGCGACATAGATACAGGTATTGTTTTGCCCATTTGCAGGATGGTGTTAAATATTGACAGTATTATAGTTACAAACAACGGACACAAGACTGCACGTAAGTTCCATTGTATGTTTCATTTTGTAGATAAGGAACATGTTGTATTGCAGTTCCATCCAATGGGGAATGTGGTCCTGCAGTGACAAATGAAAGGGAGAAGACCTCTGGTAAGTTTTGTATATACTTACGGTACACGCCTAACGTATCTAATTGCAGTTCCGTCTGATGGTGAATGTGGTGGTCCCGCAGTGACAAACGAAAGAGAGAAAACTGCTGGTGAGTTTTTTTTCATACATCTCGTGGTACATGACCAACATTCTTCATCACAGTTCCGTCCGATGGTGAACACAGCGGTGCTGCAGCAATGAACAACCAGGCGAATCCTGCAGGTGAGTTTGACGGTATATTTTGTAGTAAAATGACTAACATGTTTTTGTTTTTGCAGCTCCATCCTCAAATGAATGCGATGGTGATGCTGCGGTAAATGAAAGGGAAAAGAATGCATGTAAGTTTTGTTGTCTATCTTATAGTACATAAACTAATGTATTTTATCAAAGTTCTTTCCGACGGTGAATGCGACAATGCGATAACAACAAATGAAAGGGAGAAACATCCAGGTAAGTTTCATCATACATTGTGAAGTACACCATTGATATATTTTGTAGTTGCGTCCATGGCCCTTCGCCCACATAGATCTAGTGGTCATAAGTCATACTTTCCTAGCTACGAGAGGGGATCCACAGAGAGCTCCGGCTCTGACAGCGACTGGGCTGAAACAGAAGAGCAGCGAAAGAAGGCAGAATGTAGTGCATATCCGATGGAGCCACCCAGACTGTCTGCCGAGGACAAGCAGAAGGGAAAAGCAGTAGAAGATGGCCATGTCAATGATTCAGAGGGCTCTGATGAAGAAGGCAGACCCAAGGATGAGGCTGAGGCCACACACAAAGCGGGCAGACTATCCAAAGAAGCCATTTCAGTAGTACATGATTTCAGGAAGAGGGTCGAGGTGGAAGCGACCGAAATTGGCAAATGGTTTGGGAAACATCAGCAGGTGATTCTGATGGAGGCAGGACTGGCGAGGAAGGCAACTCGCAAGGAGTTGATTTGGAATCAGCATCAAGCCTGGTTTAAAACTGTACTGCACCCGTCCAAAGCAGGTGTGTTGTTGCATTTGCGGTTATTCTGATATTTAATCATGAACTTCCAGCGAGCTTGCAGGCATGGAAAGCCAAACAAGCCGAGCATTACCATGCCCACTCATACAAAGACCCTAAGAACGCAGCTCTATGGAAGCAAATCCGAGAGCATTTTGATCATGCGGTTGCCACTCCCAATGATCTATCCTCGCGCGAGTCATGCAGTCTTATGATGGCAGTCTGTGAAATGTTTGCAAAATCGGTGAGTTCTCCTTAGCGACTAATCTTCATCAATAACACAATATTCGGAAGGCTTTGTATTGGCACCGCACACATGGAATTCACGTCACTGGCATTGTGATCTATCCAGGGGATGAAGAATCTGGCCGCCAGGCCTCAGGCTTTTTTGCAGGGTCTGATATAGTGAAGGCCCTCATTGACGCTCAAAAGGTAGATGCCAAGCACATGATTGATGAGATCACGACAGTCCTTAAGTATGCTTTGATTTTGCTCAGGGTACGTCATGCTAACATACTTGGGATGTTTTACAGGTACAAGGACTTAGAGGCTGCGCAAGCAGAAGGCAAGAATATCAGTTTTTTCCTGCTGCCTGTGCAACTCCCCAATGGTTCACTTCTACGCAACGGCAAATCTGACAGAGATAGAAATCGTATGGTGGCGCCTGTAATTATCAGTGAAGCATTTGGTTTGTATCTTGTCCGGTCCTACTGTTGGTATGCTCACATTTTTTTTGCTAGCTGATGCCGGTCAAGCGTTAAAAACATCTAATAGTAGATGGATGACAATGCTCGACGTCCTCTACTCCTCAAGGTTGTGCATCCATGACTGGCCCACAGGAGTTCCACCTCCTGGCCCTGACTTCAATCTCAAATCATTGTCTGCCAGTCAGTTATGCACCTTGGTGGGTCCATATCTGAGGAAACATCTTGGTGCCATGTATGAGGCCGAGTTGGGCCGAGATGAGGACGATGACGATAGCGATGCAGAGAAAGCTAAAATGAGCAAGCGGAAAGGCAAGTCCAAGAAGTCTAATGAGAATCGAAGGACCAAGGGTGCATTTGTGGAGGAGCCTGATGTTGTATTGTGTATTAAGGAGTGGAGTCCTCGTACGTTTTCCAGTAGTTGGAATCATGCACCAACTAATGTTTTTACATTATAGTTCAGATACAAGACCTCACTTTGTACTTGGGTGAGGTGTATTCAATCCCTCTTGTCATTAACACAGATGGTGTCATCCTACGGCGCCTTCAGGATTCAGAGAAATTTATCAAGGACATCCCTCCCCATGTTACTCACAAGCAACTAGTCACAACGATTCGTGAAGAGCATCCAAACTCAGATGCAAGTGCAGAGCACTCAAACCCAGAGGCTCCGTGTCCTAACTTAGTAAATTCATGATCTAACTTGAGAGTTTTGCACTTGCACCAGCAGGTTTCGCGTTCACGTGCATCTACAGCTCCGCATTCCAAATCAGGAGCTCCACACCCACACCATGAGGCTCCGCGCCCACACCATGGGGCTCTGCACCCTGACTCTGTGGCTTTGCGCTCAAACCAAGGAGCTATGCGCTCCAACTCTGGGGCTTTGCGCTCAAAACAAGGGGCTTTGCGCTCCAATCAACCTGTTTCTAGGCACACTGACTATGATGATATCTCAGACTATAATGACCTCCCACCATCATCTCCTTATGAGCCTGCTACGCCTAAAGGTTCAAATGCAGCACCTGCTATATATGACTTGCCAATACAACAATCCAAGTACACCCGCATACGTCAAGATATCCACTGCTCTAAGTCGGACACTCAGAAACCTTTTACATCGCAGGACAGGACAAGCATGGATCAAAGGTCCATTGGTCATCAGTATGTCACAATTCTATTGTCATTTTCCGGTGCTAATTGTGTGCTATTCACTCAGTCGTGAGCTGTATGTTCGTGCTCCATCAATGACACACTTAGGACCCATCCCAAATACTGCATGTTTACCCTCTCGTTCGGCAGCAGTGCCCTATGCTAATCGCTCGCCTCCATGCCAGTACGGCCGTCGACTTCCTGCTGAAGATGAGTATGAATTTGAGTATAACTGATCTTGATAGCGTTTACAACATGTTGCTCCATATTTTGATTTTGGCCGTTACTGTGCTGTGACTTATTGTGCTACGTTTGGCTTTGATCAATCATAGTGTTCTGACAGGTCATTCCTTATGTTTTGCCCTATATACCTATGCATATGCCCCCATCACCTATGCTTTATGTTTTTGCTGTTGTATGTAGGTTGTGATTGGACGCTTGACTGACATTGATATGAATTCTATTATGTGATTTTCCGCTATGTGTATTGTCCTCCCAGCCTGTTAAAGCCTGAAGTATTGATGACCTTCAGGTAGAGAACTGATGGGTACGAGTTGACATTCCAATCCTGTATACCTGCACTATAACATAACATAACCAAAATGCACTGGCTTTGCAACAGCAGAGGTCCTTTAGGATGAACAACTTGATCCTCATCTGTTTCAAATTACCAGTTATTTGACCACCACAAGAACAATCCAGGATGATTTGCTGACTCCATTCTTGCCTGCCCTCCATCATCTCGCAGCTGTTTTCTCATTTTCTCATACATGTTCTCTCATCACCAGGCTCTTGCACCTATTCCCTTGTGCCCATTATCTCATTCTAATTATACTACATCTTCAGTTTGTATTGTCTTAGCCTTTGTTTACCTGCTGTTCTCACCTATTTTCTCATGCCCATCCTCTCACATTTGTTTTTCCCCTTGTCTATATAATATATATAACAAAACTAATGACAACACTGATTCCATCAACTTGAGGTTCTCTTTATTCAATCAATATATTGTTTATTTGGAGTCTTTCCTATATAACATATGGTCTGTCCCACTGACTCTTATGGTCCATCCCACTGATGTTTATGGTCCTCCCTATTTGCACTATTATTCCCTATATAACATGTGGTCCATTCCACCAACTTTTACGGTCTTCCCCATATAACATATGGTCTATCCAATGGACTCATATGGTCCTCCCTATTCAATACATTGCATGTTTGTGGACTTCCCTGTATATATGGTCCATCCCACTGATACTGATGGTCCTCCCTATATAATGTTTGGACCATCTGATGGACTCTTATGGTCCTCCCTATTCAATACATTGCATGTTTGTGGACTTCTCTATGTATATGGTCCATCCCACTGACTCTTATGGTCCTCCCTATTCAATATATTGTGTGTTTGTGGACTTCCCTGTGTATATGGTCCATCCCACTGACACTAATGGTCCTCCCTATATAATGTTTGGACCATCCGACAGACTCTTATGGTCCTCCCTATTCAATACATTGCGTATTTGTGGACTTCCCTATGTATATGGTCCATCCCACTGACTCTTATGGTCCTCCCTATTCAATACATTGCATATTTGTGGACTTCCCTGTATATATGGTCCATCCCACTGACACTAATGGTCCTCTCTATATAATGTTTGGACCATTTGACGGACTCTTATGGTCCTCCCTATTCAATATATTATATATTTATGGCCTTCCCTATATGATGTATGGTCTGTCTGACAGACTCTTATGGTCCTCCCTATTCAATACATTATGTGCCTATGGTCTTCTCATACAAGTGGTCCATCCCACTAACTCTTAGTATGGTCTTCCCTATATATATGGTCTATTCCACAAATGCTGTGGTCCTCCCTATATAATATCATAATATTGTCTATTTCACTAACTCTTGTGGTTTTTTCCATCAAATGAATTATTTATCTATAGTGCAACCTAACCAAGTTGCTGCTTTGCAAGCATACACCATAAATGTTTATAGCAAGTAGTTCACGCTGAAAGATATTCTTACCATTGGGCAGATGAAAGAGGTACAGACATTCCTCCATGTTTCTGATAACAGCATATGATAATTTAGCAATCATATCTGTGAAGTCCTTATGAGCTCATAATGAGATACCATTCAATTTCCAACCTTTTGTCTTCTACATGCTGAAAAAACCTGGTCATCTTGAAATAGGTTAGGGTGAGCTCTACCAATAATACACTGGTATCAGCTAATTATGTAGTAAAATATTTATTAAAGAAATCATGATTATATACTATATGTAATGCAAAGGTCCATCATAGTAGTGCTATTCACTATAAAAATAGACAGAAAATTGATTCAAAACATTAGAAATATGGACCCCGGACACTCCTATATAATAGGGAATTTTCATTATATATATGGTCTAAATTACTGTGTGGTCCTTTCCATAACATATTCCCAATGGTCTTTGGTCTATGTAAAATATATACTCATTTGGTCCACAAAAGTAATAGGGAAAGACCACCAAACACCGGGGAGACCAGCAGAAAGATACCTCTTAGGTATAAACCTCTATAGGCAACAATCAACCTAAGAGGTGTCCAAAATGGGGTGACCAAAGTGCCAAAAGCTGGGTGCTAGGGAAGTTGCCGATAAGAGCCTAGCGCCCGTATTCCTATCAAGACCAGTAGCATCACAGAGAACAGCGAGCCCATTGAAAAGAAGGACAGACTACTACTATTAGCGATATCTCCAGCGATGATGCAAGAACAATTTAGCTTTCCCAATATTGGAGTGTGGCGCCCAGAGTTTCAACAGCTTTCAATCGACACAGCCCAAAAGCATGGCGTCAAGATCAAAACACAGCTGTAAGATTGATCGAAGGCAGCAAAGATTGTTGTATGTACAGCTTAGATCTCTCAAAGCTCCCAAAACCCTGATATCACCCTCGCCATCAACTTCATCTGCCTCCCCATTCTCGTCTTCTCCGAGGACATTCCCACCAACACCTCCCATGCACCACGGAAGGGACAAAAAAAGCCTATGTGTTCAAGGCAGCTGCAGTTGAGCAATACCAGTGCGATCAACAGCGCGCAACCAGCCACCTAACTCAAGCACAACATCCGCATACGTCCATCTTCCTGGTGCACACTTGTCACTTGCTCCTCCTTGTCCCAACCAGGTCATGACATCACCTACACCTTCCAATGCATCCTGCTCCTTATTATGCACATCAAACCATGAGGGCTTGCACACCTTCTGTCCTTTTCATGGAACCAGTGTCGGGAGAGCATGAAGCATGGACAGTGCAAGTGTCAGAAAGGCGTGTGGGGTGGTAGACGGAAGGTTCTGTGTTGGGGAGATCACGAGGGAAATATGATAATATTTGTACTCATACCACCGACACATAGGGAACTGCACGGGTATACCCCGGGGTATCTGGCGGGTTTTGAGTATTTGGGATGGTAGCCCTTCATTCTGCGACAAAAACAAAAAAAAAGTTCATGCAAAATGATCCAGGATTGGCTGAGATATTGCTAGTCCAACCACTCAGGCTAAATCTTTAAAGCTCATCCCTCCACATGTCAATCTTTGCAGGGGGGTACTCAAAATGTCAAAAAACTCGCAAAATCATGACTTGCTTGCAAAGATTGATGTGTGGAGGGATGAGCTTTAAAGACCCAAGTAAGCCCTTCACAGACCCCATCACATTGATCGACATCAGTACAGAACATAGTGTAATTTTCGTGGATGTACAATCCCAGGAGTGACGAGTCAATGGGTGAATCTGATGCAATCATCTGCCAGCCAAATAAAAGTTCCTCAGCATACATTAGGATCACACTCAATGGACATTGGAAGTTGTACCTCTAAGGTAGGAGTCGTGCAGGATTCTACGTACCTCACGTGATTGTGACTGACCTGTGATGCTGTGCAGATAAGTGTGTAAGCATCTGCCGAGCAATGCCGAACATGCATGAGCAATACAGAATAAACAAAAAAAGTATTGTGTATATCAAGCTCAAAGATAAAATATGTGTTGCTGGTGTATGTAAATAGTTAGCCAAATGTATAAGTAGTATATGAGTAGTAAGCAAAATAATGTGTTGCTCGATGTATAACCAGTCAAACGGTTGTCTGGGTCCAGTCTGTTTACAACTCACATTTTCATCATTCTCTGACACAGAACATGGAACTGAAGTTTTTTGCCTTTTTTTAGATGCTCATAATACTAAATTGTCTCTCGAGTGCTTCTGCCTGCATGTTTTGTTGCCCATAGCGCAAGGGTAGCGTCGCCGTGTCGGCAACACAGCACTGCACATCGGAGTGTCAAACACATACGTTGACCTTACACTCTGTTTCTGATATTTTAAATAACAAATGTTCTACTCAATTTCTGTTGATTCTGATTAACAGAAAATGACCGCAGTATTACTACCAATGTAACTGAGTAGCCAGTTTGATGCAGAAAGCTCCCAATCAATTGATATTACAATTTTTGTATTTTGTCACACTTTCATCATGTTTATCACAGTGAGGTATGTAGAATCTGCACAACACCTACCTTAGGCAAACTCGACTCGCCTTCCAATCATGTTCTGAAAGCCAGTTTGGCAAAGGTGACGGGTCTAGGAGTGTTTCATTTAGCTCATGCTCCTTTGCTGCATCTCTGACGGAGAGATATGTTGCCAGGAGGGTCTCCCTTGCCTGCATCTTGTCAGGTTGATCCAAAGTGGCAGGTGAAGCGAGTACTCACGTTTGTTATACAATATCTTTCCCATCAGATGAAATAGCACTAGACTCTGCTCTCTTCGCGTGACAGCCTCCAAGACAGCCCGTGCACTTCCAGCCACATTCTGTCAGGTCTTTCCCTTCCCACCGCCCTTGGTCAACTGTTACTACACATGCAAACTCCAGTGCCATCACTGCGCTCCTAATATCCCCGTTCGACGACTCGACAATCATCTCTACAACATCTTTGGCTGGTGGCTTTCCAGAAGTAGACGCAAAATGCTTAGTGAGCATGGCCTGCAGAGCCTTGTTCATCAGCATTGGTGCAATAGGGTTGAAAGCAATGCACGTGACATATGGGCTAGTGGAAAGATCAGCTCCGAGAAGACTTCTTATGTCTCTTTCATATCCATCCAAGAGTCATCTGGAAGGGAGAGTTAACAATCTCATACAAATAGTACATTGCGATGCTCATGACCCCCAAAATCATCAATCAAAGTACTCGGGCCATGTTCACTCATACTGTTGTGCCACTTGACGATTTCGAAACCCATCTCTCGAGCTAACACATGTAGTGTAGTTGTCTTTGCGGTACCAGCAGGCCCAGTGAGGACCAGAATCTGCTGTTAGGAGATACGCAGGATGTGACTGAGTCATGGATAAATCAAAAGGACAAGACATACGCAATATTTTCGCAGCTTCCCAGCCAGCCCTCCTTCAAAGGCCTCCGAGAGCCATCGCCGTACATCCTCAACTTTGTGCTTGTGCACTGCCAAATCAGCCTATGGGTGATACCCAATGAGAACAATTGCACTGATGTTCAGCTGGGCACAACCAGAGATGAACTGAGGCAGACCTCAATTGTTGGCTCATACTTATCCACCCAGAGTCTATCATCGACCCGATAAACTACAGGCTTTCCCTTGCCCTTCACGTCCTTCCTTTGGATCTGCAGCTGCAGATGTGAGGGTTGTTGCAATGACACGGGTGACTCTTGGGGTCGCGGCTGAGGTACAGATCCTATCAGATTAAACACAGGGTGGTTTTGCAGACTGATGTGACAGTGAATGCAAGGATGATTTAGCTTGTTTTGACATGTAGTATAAAACCGGGCAAAAACTAGTGATGCATCGGGCCTGGCTTGGCCTGAAAGCCCTGGCTCAGGCCTGGCTTTAGAGGGCTTGGGCCTGGAAAAAACTCAGGCCAGGCCCTTCTGGAGGGCTTGGGCCTGGCTTGGGCTTGGCCTGGGCCTGAGCCAGGGCCTCAGGTGTAAAATAGAGTCCTCGTGTGTACCTGTGTGCACTAGAGTAAGAAGTTAGTAGTAGCATTAGAATTTAATAGTGAAATGATTTGTGTGCTTACCTGTGTGCATGCTTAATGAATGTGTCGAACGAGCGTCATCTGTGAAGGATGGCTCACTGGCTCAACGAAGGTGCTTGGCTATGAAAATCAGACAGTGAGCATACCAGCACAAAGATTGATAGTACTTACCCTCGGATACTGATTTGTTGCTAGTTAACTCGGGTGTTGCGCTATTATTGGAATCGAGAAGTCGAGAAGAAGGTATAATTGTTCGTTTAGAACAGACTGTGACGGCAGCAATTGCGTCATCATCAGAAACGACTGTGAGAGTCATCCTCGGGCTGGGTATGTTGTTCAGCCAACTTCTTCCAGCGGATGCAGTTGTTGCAAAGTTTATGTAATCTAAGTATTGTACAGTACATTTCGGAACTTTCCTTCACTATGTAGAAGCCCTGGCCTGAGCCCTAGGCCATGGCCTATGAGACACCCAGGCCAGGCCCAAGCCCTCATGAGGCCCATCAAGTAGGCCTGGCTTGGGCCTGGCCTATGGGGGCCTGTGGGCCAGGGCCTGAGGGCCTGAGGCCAGGCCCGGCACATCACTAGCAAAAATGTGTTCCCAAATTATGACAGACCTACAGTTCTCAGTTTCTTGTTCGGAGGCTCAGAGGACGCGTCGAGTTTCACGGTCTTGAGTTTTGTTTTGTTTCTGGACGCCTTGGAAGTGGAGCCAGAAGACAACTTAATAGTATGCATTTTCAAAGGAACAGCGGCTTTGTAGGATGTACCCAGCGGTCTAAATTTAAAAAGCAGTCGAAAGCTTTAAGATTCAACAAGTACAAACAACTATTGTTATCGTGACTCATAACTTGAATATATAGCCCGTCAAAGGGTGCACGGTCATACTCTTGGCAGGTTGTCTCTCCAATTTTTGAAACTATATCTGGATCTTTGGAAATCCACTTTCATCCGTGATTATTATACATCATTCAAGTACATGCAACGCAAAAGCCTGGGACATGAGCGGTGACCCAGGTCTGCCAGTCTGCGGAACAGTGGACCGAGACTGTACCAGTGCGGACTGCTGCGGATGGCTTCTTATTATGCTGGCAGCCAGCTCAGTCCTTACTAATGCACAATGACCAATTTCTATTGCCTAATGCTTATCTGAGTCACATGCTCAGTTTTTGTTGGTCCCCCAGCGAGTCTGATCATACGGATAACGGAACCAAAATCTTCTCATGAAATTGATGCTGACGTTCTTATACTTCTGTGTTGGGTGCGTACCCGTATCTCGTGCTTCACCTAACCGAACTTTCCATTTCCTTTTACTAACCAGTAATTGGACATCGGAAGTTGTGCTCGAAGGTGTAGAACATCATGCCTCCGTACCAGTTGCTTTTAGCAGAAGCACTCGTCGGGGCGGCAGCAATCAGTAGCCTCGCGCTCTTTTTTGCGCACTCTCAACAGCGGAAGATACGCTTACCGACTACCCAAGATGCTAGTTTGGTTGGCGATGTGCACCAGGATGATCCCTTTAATGTGACCAAACCGGAAGATTTTATCGACGGAGAACCAATCGACGAAGATGCGTTTTGGTTCAAAGTGAGCATTATAATGGTTATAGGTCGCGTATGACGAAGGGTCTTATCTTGGTTTAGATGCGCAAGAGGAAATTACTCCTTGTGTTGCTCTCAGTCGCCATTCTTGTGCTCGAGGGCGTTTCCCTGGGTTGGTCGGCCTACCCAGATGCTCAGAATGTGCTTGCAGAACACATATTTCGGACCACGTTTGGACTCTACGTTGGCCTTCTAGTTCTTCGTTCCGTTGGCCAATCCACCACGGATCGCCATTCCGAGTCGGTGATACATATCACTACCTTGACCTTCTTCTCCTCGGTCCTTCACTTTGGCGTGGCAATCCTTCCTTCATCTGATTCTATCTCGTCACACAATCTACAAGCTTCTCCTCCTTTACTCGCTTTCTGGTATAGCATGACCGCATTGTATACCTTGACTTTTGCGATAATTGCGACAACATCCTGTGGACCACCGTTACACTTTCTTCCTTCACTTATCTACTCTAAAAAAACTATCGACGACACGACCAATAAATCATACGACAACGTCTGCGGCCTTCCGGGCACCTCTGTCATCGATTATCTCTTTTTCCGTTACGTGACACGCGTCTTTCAGCTTGGAACTTCCGTTTCTGTCGAAATTGGCGACTTGCCAATCCTTCCGGCTAAGATGCGAGCGACCTATCAGTTTTTTAGGATGCGTACAAATCTTCGTGCAAATCCTCTGAAGCCAGGATGGGACCTCGCTTGGCGCCTCATAAGTGTCAACAAGCTTGCATTTACTGCAGAGATAATGCTGGCCGTTGCAGCCGCTCCAATGTGGTTCGGGTCCCCGTTCTTCCTTCGCAAGCTCATTGCATACCTGGAAGATGATCCTGATCGCCTCGATAAAGGATGGGGATGGGTATACGCTTTGGGGCAGTTTGCATCCCTTATTATCGTCACGCAACGTAAGTTTTTCAGCGCAACACCCTCTAATTTGACGTTGACATGCTGCAGTCGAATCCCAAATGTGGTACTTCGCAACTTCCGTTATCCAAATACGTTTGCGGACGCAGCTCAATACCATCCTTTTCGCAAAAACACTAGTTCGGAAGGATGTTGTGTCTTCTAGTACCTCCACGTCCAATGAGAAAGATGATAAAAAATCAACAACTACGAACGGAGAAAACAAAGAGAAGGGCGAGGAAGAGAACGAATTTTCGAGCAAATCCCAGGTCATGACCTTGATGACCACTGATGTTGATCGGGTCGCCGAGTTTCCTTATCATCTTTTCGTCATTGCAGGTGAGATTCTTTGATCATGTCATTGTTCTAGTTCTGATTTTTTCCAGATTCTCCGGTCGAAATTGTTGTAGGGACGATGTTGCTCTACAGCATGCTTGGCGTCTCGTGCTTTATTGGTCTTGCATTCATTTGCCTCTTTTTGCCATTGAATCACCTGGCAGGAAAAGTAGTGATCAGTACACAGGACAACTTGATGAAAGCCAGGGACGAACGGGTCTCACTCATGAACGAGGTAATTACCTTGTGAAACACCTCTTGACTTGACTTTAACGACACCTCTGACAGATACTGGGTGGCATACGCATGCTGAAGGCAATGATCCTTTGCATACAATTTTCTGAAATCCTCCCTCATCGATTTACAGTTCATGGCATGGGAACGCAGCTTCGAAAAGCGCGTGATGAAGGTTCGCGAGAGAGAACTGAAATATCAAAAGTTGAACTACAAGATTGAGGTACGTGATTTTCCTTCTCCTATCATCCGACTACTAATGTGTCCACCCATCAGGTCGTGTTCGCTGCTCTCTGGTATGTTTTTCATGCAGGTTTCCTCTGCCTTATCTAACGGAAAGCTTAGGGAAGCATGTCCTCTCATTGTCACCCTGGTTTCTTTCTGGCACTTCGCAGTCTGGCGTCAACAGGCATTGACACCCTCTATCGCCTTCACATCTGTAAGCCTTTCCTTGTCAGTCCACTTGATGTTTACAAATTGAACCCATTTGCTTAGATGATGGGTAGGCATGTATGATCTGCATGGTGCTTGAGCTAACAAGTCTAACGTAGTTTTCGACGGAATGCGTTTTGCGATGAACGCACTCCCAGAAACTTTCATTAATCTGCTTCAGGTCCATGTTTCACTCATGCGGATCGGGAAGTACCTCCAACTAACCGAGGTGGCACCTGTACCTCCGCTCTCGGCTGCACCAGCCATTAAAACCATCGCTGTTCAATCTGCTACCATCACATGGCCTCATGATCGTTCTGCGGATTCGTCGACAGCTTCCACGCCCCGGCATAAATTTATGCTCGTTGATCTTGCTTTGAAATTCCCTGAAGGACAACTTTCACTCGTTTGTGGTAAGCTGGGCAGCGGAAAGACTCTGTTGTTATTGGGTACGTCTTTTAGAGCGAATTCTGGAATACTGCTCAATGTCACGGCAATGCAGCTTTACTCGGCGAGGCGGACGTCCTCACCGGCCAGGTCATTGGTCCGCGTTCACCACCAGATACGCTTGCTTCCTTCGCAGATCAGAAGGTCACACAGGAAGAGTGGATAGTACCCGGCGTTTGCGCCTACGTACCACAGGTGAGCGGCAGTGGTGGTGGGGTATGTCATGAATTGAAGAACTTGATACTTCAAGGCTGCCTGGCTGCGAAATGCTTCTATTCAAGGTGAGCCACGAACGTTCAACCATTTCAAGTACGCTTATCACAATTTCCAGACAATATCCTGTTCGGTCTGCCGCTTGACGAAGAGCGATATCATAAGACATTAGAGGTCAGCCACACTTCATGGGCAATAAAAGCTCGACTAACTGTATCTTTAGATCTGTGCACTCATAAGCGATCTCAAGATCCTTGAGGACGGAGACCAATCCGAAATTGGCGAGCGTGGTGTATGTTACATTTTGCCACTTAAGGTCATGCATACCGATCGAAGTTGCGTTGGCAGGTAAACTTGTCAGGCGGACAAAAAGCTCGAGGTCGGTGAACTGACATTTAACTTATCATACATATTGAATTTCCCTCAAGTTTCTTTGGCTCGTGCTGTTTACTCTCGAGCATCCGTACTGTTACTCGATGACGTTCTGTCTGCTGGTGCGTCCGTTTTAAGCGCTTTGCTTCTAAATGCCAACCTTTGAGTGCAGTTGATGCTCACACCGCTCACCACATCTACTCCAAGTGCATTAAAGGAGACCTGATGCATGGGCGAACGGTGATCCTTGTGTCACACCATGTCCAACTTTGCTTGAGCGGTGCTGCATATGTCGTCGCCTTTGATAACGGCCAACTTCTATTCGCTGGTGAACGTGAAGCCTTTGAAGCATCTCCTGTGAAAGGGACATTGGTGCAGACCATGGGTGGCGCTGGCAAGAAGCAGGGCGCGGCAAGTACTTCGAAGAATCCATCGGTGCCTGCAAGCCATTCTCCCGTTTCCACACTCGTGCAAGATGATGTGGAACCTAACCCAATATCTGAGACGAGCTCCACTGTGATCAATGAGCCGCAAGTAAATCTGGAGCGGAAAGCACCTAGGAAAGTTGTGCAAGACGAGAAACGCGCTGTGGGGCGCGTTAGTCGTGATGTCTGGAAGCTTTATGTGAAGTCGTGCGGCGCCTACGGATACTGGGTATGGTTCTTGTCCGTTCTCGTGTTGGGTTCTCTCTGTCCTGTGGCAGAGAACTGGTGGCTTAAGTATGTTCATAATGTTAGCAGTATACTGTTGCATGATTGACATTGGCATCTGTAGGACATGGTCGGGATCGAGCACAGAAGAGGCCGACGCTAAGGGACCGGTGTATTACATTGTCGTTTATGCTGCAGTAAGCACAGCTCTACAGTATTATCCCTCACCATGACTTATGTCCTTGCAGGTCACTCTCACAGGTTTGAATCAGTTGGCTTGTACCACACGGTGCTAATTATCTTTCAGGTGTTTTGATTTCGACTTACAGATACTTCGTACTGTGTATGCAAACCGCACCCGCTCTCATGAACCCTTACTGAACCATTTCTCATTCAGATAACGGCTCCATCCATGCGTCTACCGTTTTATACCAACGTGGGTCGAGGTTAAGATGTTACTTTTGACTACTTACTTACATTACTCATGATAGAACTTCTGGAGACCGTGCTGTTTGCGCAAATTCGTTTCCATGATACTGTGTCGCGGGGGAGACTCCTGAATCGATTCGGGAAAGACTTCGAAGGTCCGTTTTCTAAGCCGATGTTTTCTTGGCCTATACAATGACACGTAACAATATAGGCGTTGACAGTCGACTCGCGGATCACTTTGGTCGAAGTCTCATATTTGCATTTTCTTTCTTCGTCACGGTCGTGTCTGTTGCTTTTGTAGGCGGAGTTCCATTCCTCATTGCTATCATTATCTTGGGCTTCATTTACTATGATGGTCTGCAACTTCTTTCTCGATCGATCGCTCAGCACTAATTGTTGAACTCGTGTTTAGTTTCAAAGGTACTTTTCTGTCATGTTCTTGCTTGAGGAGATGCTTAAGCGCCTAGGACTACGGACAAGCTGCTAGAGATATGCGGCGCCTGGGTAAGCGTTCTTCATATTCAAGAGCGACCGATTGACTTTAGTTACCTTAAGACTCCGTGGCACGGTCTCCCCTCTATTCGATCTATGGTGAAACCATTGCTGGAGCGCCCATCCTCCGAGCTTTCGGTGCTTCGTCAAAGTTCATGCGAGACATGCTTTGCTACGTTGATACGGTAAGTCAAACAGAATTCGCTTTCACTTAATCTGATCGATGCCTACTAGAATACAAACCCGAACTATTGGCAATTGGCTGGTACGTCGAGCGGTCGTTTGATTGTCGAGAGTGGTTGACATTGGCTGATGTGTTTAGTCAATCGCTGGCTCTCCGCCCGGTTTGACCTTCTGTCCGCTGTGACCGTTGGTGTAGCAGGTTGTATTGCCGTTTCCACTCCAACCATCTCAGCTGCGCTCGCTGGATTCGCTCTTTCATTTGCTGGAAGCATGACGTTCACAGTATGTGCCTGCTTGTCATGGACTATGGAACAATATGCTGATACTGCCTGCAGTTGTTCTACCTAGTAGGTGAACTGGTGTCTGTCTGGATTTCTTATTAATCTCGAACTCAGGTGCGACGGTTCGTCGGCCTTGAACAATCTATGGCTAGTACCTTAGCATACTGTGTGACGTGCGGTGTTATTGATGGACCTCTAACAGGTCGCCCTGGAGCGTATCAAGGAATATTCAGAGCTTCAGCGCGAGCCTCCTGAATATATCGAGCCGCGTCCGCCAGCTTCCTGGCCAGACCGAGGTACCATCAAGTGCGAAAATTTGATCATCCGTTATGCGGTAGGCCAGTTTCAGTGGGAACCTCTCATCAGCTCATAACCTTTCCCATAGCCCGAGTTGCCCGATGTTCTTCACAACTTGAACTTCGAGGTCCACCCTGGGGAGAAGGTACTAGATATTCGAAGACTCCTGTGTCAGCAACTGAGTTTTGTTCTTAGGTTGGCATCCTGGGTCGCACGGGTTCTGGAAAGAGCACCCTTGCACTCTCGTTCTTCCGCTTCGTGGAGGCAACAGAGGGTTGTATCACCATCGACGGTCTGGACATCTCCAAAATGGGACTTTCGGACCTTCGTAGCAAGCTTACTATCATTCCTCGTGGGTGTCCTGCCAAGTGAGGATTATCATACTTACAACAAACAGAGGACCCTACCATCCTTAGCGGTACTTTGCGATCCACGTTGGATGTATTCGACGAGTACGGGGACGCGGAAATTGTCGGTTTACATTTATATTGGTTGACCGCAACGGTATACTAACTGTTCTTTAGTTCGAGGCTCTTCGACGTGTTCATTTGATTCCGTCTGATGCCGATGATGATGTCGAAATTGACGGTGTCGTGGTCAATGTTAATGTTTTCCGAAACCTAGAGTCGTCAGTATCGGAAGGAGGGGAAAACTTCTCTACAGGGTTAGCGCTTTGTCAACGCCACTGATTAACCTTGCTCACGAATTTTCTAGCGAGAAACAGCTTCTATGCATGGCTCGAGCAATCCTGAAACGCTCGAAAGTTTTGGTCATGGACGAGGTGCGTTTTCTTGTCCTTCACCTACGTTTCATTCCTCAAGGCTACGTTGCAGGCAACAGCAAGGTGATATCGATCGTATGATAGAAGCTGAGATTTCAACTGACATAACTTAAGCGTTGACTACGCGACTGACGAGCTCATTGGAAAGACTATCAGAGAGTTCGTTTTGTGACATTAATAACACTCGTGAGAAATTGACCACGCCCAACAGAGAATTTGCAAACAGCACCATTCTCACCATCGCGCACCGACTGCACACTGTTATCGATTATGATAGGGTATGAAAAATCCACCTTACATGGTTTGTGCATTACTTATGGACTACCAGGTGATGCTCCTTGACCAGGGCAAAATCGTTGAGTTTGACCGGTAAGTCATCGTGAAATATATGGTGCAGAAAGTTAACTAAGACCTCCAGTCCCGCTGTGCTGCTTTCTGACCCCTCGTCGCAATTCTACGGGTTGTGTGAGGCAACGGGCGAGAATGAATTTGCGATGTTGAAGAATCTGGCTGGGGTGTGATTACGAAAGTGAATCACTGGGCGTTTACCATACCGTACAAATATCAGACAATGACATCTTGGACGTTACACACTAGAGTGTACTTTGTACATGTCTCGAATGGGTACATCCAGAGGATTGACAACAGGGCACTCAGGGTGACGTGAGGCTGACATTATTTACAGGAGGGGATACCCTGGCATTTCGATCATCTCAAATGTCGTATTGTATTTGTCGCTCTGATAGATCTGAATGTGTCGATTCATTCGCAGGGATATCTGATTGCACAAAGGACAAGTGAGATGTGATAGTATTCGCCAACAGTATATACCGTCAAATTCCGCTAAATTAATAGGGAGCAGCGGCAGCTTGGCACTGAAAACACAATTAGTCACAAAACTACATATAATTGAATGGATGCGCACAGCCTTCAACTGGTCAAGGTACCATGAGCAACTTGGCAGATCTGCCTTGTCCAAACACTTGGTGAACTCCTTAGCTTGGACTTCACAAGCAGCACCAGTTGTCTGGTATGCTTGTTGTTGCTGTACAGGTGCTGCAGGCTCCGCGGGTGCTGCAGATGAGCTGGAACCAAACAGCATGGAGGAGATACCATGACCGATGGTAGATCCAACAGCGACGGAACCAGCAGTTGCGGCCATTTGTGCAAACATCCCGGGACCACTAGATGTCTGAGCGGGAACAGGTGGTGCGGGGGCGTGTGCTGGGTTATTGTGGGCTGCAGCAGGAGGCATTGCGGCCGTATGAGCACCGCGAGACTGCTGAGGAGCTGCAGCTGCAGGCTTAGCAGCTGGACGAGAGGAACGTGAAGAACGCTGTGAAAAAAAAAATACAAAATAAGCTCACGGTAAAAGACAACTAGTTGAGATGTCTTACAGGCATGATGATTGAGATGGCGGTTCAGAGCAAAGGTGCTTCGGGTAGAACTGGATGGAATTTTTGGCCGGCGAAGCAAACCTTTTATATCCGTCTTCCCCGGCTCGAACACACGCGTCCCCGGCTGCCGAGTTTGTTCGCACGCATAGATTCCGGTGACATCCTTTTTGAGAAATTGACATTGAAATTTAAAGTCTTTACTCGAGCTCGCTGTGTTACACAACAAGTTCCAGCTGCAGGGGCGATGGTGATGGCAACGGTGAAGGTGCCCCGTGTCTCATTCGGGTCCCAACTGAAGAAGAGATGTTTACTCTATCCACAACGCTCGTTCTCGGCCTTAAAATCCGCTACCCAAACAGCTCCCCCCCCTTCAACGTCCAAGGCTTCTACCACGAGTGGGCAAGCGTCTGCCACAACGTCGTCCAATGCATCAAGAAAATCTTCAATTAAGAATGAGAAGAAAGCGAAAAAGGCACTCACTGCTACAGACAGCACGGAGGCGCAGCTCAAACAAATAGAGAGCATGATGAACATGGCAAACACGTCGAACCTGTTTCCAACCATGGATATGTGGGGTACTAAGTTAGTGACTCTTGGTGCGTGTATTCTTTATAGAAGGATAACTCAAACTCAGTTTATTACCCATTCAGACGTAGAAATACCACGCGACGCTTCACTGCGTATGCTTTTTACAAACCCAGGCGCGTTTTGGCATGCGAAACAGCACAATTTCTCCAATTGGTTGAAAAACACGTTCAGGTTCGCGTCCAATGTTTCATGCATCTTTCGTTCCTCTAAGCCTCATTGTGCAGCATGTATACCATCGCCAAAGCTCGAGCTTTTACGGGAGTAAATCATGATTTTCGATTTAGTCACTTGTTCCTACCACGCACATGGCGTCAACTGGGCAACGTAACCTCACATTCTTCAGCATCCTGGCTAGCACCAATACGACGCATTGCGATGGATAACTATCTGGCTATAGGCCGTGCCATAGCTGAGTGCGTATAATTTTTGCTGACCCCAATTATATTTAATTATATCAATAGCAAGGATGAAGCCACTCTGAAGGTGCTGACGACAGCCGACCATGCCACCAAGGTGAACAAGATTGTTCGCACTCGTAAACCTAACGAGGTTTGGCAATGGAAGGTTCTAAGCGACGTTTCAGACAAAGCCCTATTCCAAGAGAAAAGCTGTAAGTACCGACGTTACGCTCTCCAATTTTTTTATTCACAATAACACAGTATTACGTCCACTTGCAATATTACCAGGAGCTACCATCGTATCCATCCGTTCCGGTGAGGTTTATGTTGCGAAGGAACCCCCGAAGCGCGGCAACCGGCTAGTCATACATGCACTAGTCAAGTTCGAGACTACGCAGGTGGATGTCCTTCCAGCACACGTAAACTGTATACGAACTGACGCTACTCCAGGAACTCAAGGTGTTTACCAAGCAGGGCCAGGCACTAGATGCTAAATCTGCAGAACCTCATACTGTCGTGGAATATCTCGTGCTCGAGAAAGTGGGTTGGTATGACAATACGTGGCAGGTGCGGGACCAGATCTACAAGTAAACGGGTGCTGGATGACGGATATAATGGGAGTTTGTGATTAGATCTCTGTCAGATTTCATTTGCGGATTTGCGAGATAACTATGTAGCGGTCGTGCGACGGGCTACGAAAAGTGCGAATTACCATAGTCATTTTCAATAAGGAGAAAATAATTGTAGGTACCATATAGACCCCAAATATTCTCAGTCGTGGATGTATTGGATACGATGATGATCGATATCCTAGGCGCTCAGCACAGTGGCACTCGGTCCGGTTTGATGATGTCACGTGAATATCAGCGCGAGAGTTAAAACGTTAACGTTAGGCGCTTCGATGATCTGCACAGTCAGCGCTGCAGCGCTCCTGTCCAGCCTGAGAAACTCACAACGTGTAAGCCATAGAAGAACTTAAATAACGACCACCCTCCCCACTTGACTGTGCATTGGATATCACGCCCAGCCGCACCCACTCCGTTGTAGTCTTCATTCTGCATTCGTCTTTCTGTGCACGTCTAGGTTCTGATCAAGTAGGTGATAGTTTCGTGTGGGATTTAATCAGAAGTTAGAGCTGAGACCGTCCTGCACCCATCAGAATCCAGATACCAGACACAACATTTTCGACAGGGAACACAAAGTACATCTGCTGGAGTCCAGACAGATTCAAGGGCGGCTGGTGCCAGTGAGCGGTGGATGCGAACTTATGACAGACATAGAATGTGGAATGCTGATGGTGGCAGGACAATCCCCCGAGTAAGCATCGTGTCATACAGTAAGACAGTGCAACTATAGAACCTCGAGACCAATCAGCCCATCGGAGTACCACTCCACCCATGAAGACCCAGTTTGCTGCACGACCTTTTCTGTAGATGGGAAGCCCTGTCCGACAATGTAAGCTTCAATTTGGATCCATTTCGTTTCGATGATGTACGAGATGCTGATGACATGATCTTGACTGAATCCCTATGGGCCACACCATAATCACCGGAACCCAGCACCCCGTCAACGCTCCAGTTGCTTGTCCTCCTTATGGCGTCACTTCAAGCCTTTCATAGCAACTGAATGCGACACTCGACCCCATTTTTACCTTCTCAGCTGGAGTCGAAACCTTGTCTCTGGCATGGTGCACAGACGACATGAACCGGAATTGCGAGAGCTGCCAATAATCGAGGTCTCGTGCATAGTAGGCAGGCCTGCCTTTTCAAGTCTTCCGAGTCTTTATCACTGGCTTCTTTCGCGCAGAGAAATTATCACGCCAGAAACTTCATTTCGCCCTCCCAAATTCAGCGACCTAGCGCAGCAACTCAGAGCGCACCATCATCATCGCAGCCACCATCTCCACCTCCACCTGCTACTACTTGGACACTTTCCGCCGTCGCTGGTACTGCTGGGCAATGGAAACGATCTCGCGTCCTCGTACAACCGTAGGACCTTTTGGGCAGTCCAACCATAAGTAGTGGCCTTCTGGCTGACCCAGAACTTTACAAGTTCGCATGGATAGGTCTTATAAACGCAACAACGATCAACCTTTCAACAACTTCTCTTTTCAATTCGCAAACAGCCGCAATGCGGCGGGCTTCCTAAGAGCGCTGGTACGACCTGCTGCTTCAACTTCTCCGTCAAAGCTATGCGCAGCCATGCATCGACCTTCTCATTGCCCTATGCAATATTCCCGCAAGCCAACGAAAATTGACCGGGGCTGGCTCTCGCCACTCACACACGCCTTATAAACGAACACTTTGCAGGTGGTTTATTATACCACGATCATCTATTGTCCAGGCGAATTGTTACAACTTTATCCTTTCAGAACACTACTAGGGACTTCTCTATATCCCATCCCATATTCTGCAGTCCGGGCTTGACTGCATGTGTTATCATAGCATCAGGACCGCACGCTAGGATGAGTCCATGCTCAGAGTGGCGAGGCATGTGCTCCGACAGTAACACATCATTGATTCGCCCAACGCTGTACGGCCACTCCTCAGGAGCGACACTAAGTGTGTAGTGCAGCTTGAAACGCCCCCTGCCATGCAATGCGAGGAGTGTGTCAAGTTCTTCTCTACAGAGGATGTCCTGCTCTGTTTTGTTCGCACTGATCACCCACACCCGGGTTTCGCTTTCCGCGTTTTGGAAGATACTGCGAAGCACCTGCAGGATCGGTGTTATCCCTGCACCATTTTATTTAGTATTGCACATTTACGATGTTGCATTCGAAGTCGTACCGCTTCCACCGCAAATCATGCCGACTTCCTTGATGGTCTTCCTTATCCCGTTCCACAATGCGGTACTTGGCCCGTCCCAAATGAAGGACCCTAACGGCCCCTTGAGCTCCACGCTATCTCCGATACGTAATTGATGGAAGCCAGTGGACATCTTCCCTCCAGTGGGGATTGACGCGGAAGGAAGATACAATCTAATGAAGAATTCAGTGCGAAGAGCAATATCATGACGAAGAATATGAACTTGATGAGAAAGTCGATGAAGCCTACTGCGTCTTGTTGCGATACCGGAGTATATGCCCTCTGTACCATCTCCCCAGTATCCTGTCGGCGTAAGCGGACGAAAACATGTTGTCCAACTGGCAGACCTAGCGGCTGGTTTCTTTTCAAGGCGAAACGATACAGGTAAGAATCGTGGTTGATCTGCTTGATGGCACACAATTCGACATCCTTCCATCGGCTGCGCTCTAGAAAGGTTTCATCGGACTGCGTTGTAATGGGCCTTTCTCTGGTTAAACTGGCTATAAGGGTACCAATGTGGTGCTGTAAACTGGTCCATAAACCGACGTTCTACGGCAAAATCACGACTCACCTCGGCCAATTTTTGTTTGCCTTCTGCAGAATGTATGGCGAAGAAGTCTTCGGATGCATCTTCGCCAGCTACAAGCAATATAGAGTCGCCGCCTCCTGGGTGGTCCTTTAGAAATGGAGTTCCATCGTAAACCTCGCCGTTGACAACAAACCACGGTTGCTGTCGATCTTGCGCCCTGAACTCTTCCAGGGTAATTTTCCGATTAATGCCAGGCTTCGTCAAGCAGACCTCATCTGATTCCACCTTTGGAGCACGTGGTGCGAGATCCCGTCCTTTTTCGCTGAAGACAGGCTTTGTAATATCCTCCCCCACCACTTTCATGCGCTGATTTGCTACCATCAGCATTTATTTTCTGGGACCAAAGAAGCATCACCTCCATCCATCCTCCATGCGCTGTCCCAGCGAGTGTTGGATGCTCAAATTGCAAGACAATTTTCCCGTCATCGTTGACAGTTCTATGAACGGCAATGCGAAACCACCTACCAGCAGCTCGCAGCAGCCCGCAGAATATAAGGTTTTATCAAGACGTACCAGTTGTTCATCATGCCAAGTGCATGCCAATACCTGTGAACAGTTGATGTTAATGAGCCCACACAGGACGATCCTCCCTTACATGTCTCTTTGTTGGAACGCGAGGCCTTCGTCCATAGCTCTAACCATCAACGCATCACAGCTCGCTAGAACGTCATGCGAGACATCAAATGTCCAGAAGCACCAACAGCTAGACGGGATCTGAACATTTTTCATTGCAGCGGTAATGCTTGCTGCTCACAAAGACGTATCGCGCTCTGATGCGTCAAGAGTTCCATAAAATGGGTCTTGGTGACGCACTTCTCTGAATCGGTCCTCAGGATACTCACTTTTTGACACTGTATCAATGAGGTGTCGATTCTGAAGCATGTAGACGTACATGTTTCCCAATGTCCATGTCTCCCCTTGGTCAAGCGAAACCTCGACACGGGTCACCCTGCGACCTCCACCTGCATAAGCATATCCTCGGATGGGATATGATGCGATTGTGCCATTCTCATCCGGCGTCTTATCGATGTAGAGTTTCTCATTATGATCCGGTTTCGCGATGACGCTATTGACGTTAAGCTCCCTGAAGACTCTTGTTCAATATTTGGTACATAAGAGAGTAAGATTAAACCAACGTGATGATATATCTGAGATATCCCCGACCTGGTGAGTAACTTGCTAAGGAACATCAGAGCACTCAGACTAACCTTGGGTCATACCACCAATGCTTCTCAGCGCGTGCTTGGTCAGGCATAACCTGCGTTGGTAACATTTTGTTGTCCTATGCAACGTTAGTGCGATTCATCCTCGAGGATAAAGTGATCTACGCATACCCAAAAGTGCAGCTGCATAAACAAAATCATCAGTTGACGCTTATTTGAGTTGTACGAGAACGGGCATACGTGGTGCTGGCTTTCACGATTGCTTATTTCGATGCTTCTCAGCCACTAATTGGTATCTAATTGACTGTGGACTCCTTGTCATCGGGAAACACCTTACCTTAACAGATCGTCCACCGATCTGACCCGGCACAATGATGCGCACAGGAAAACCATGGTCTGGCTCCAACGGTAAACCATTCATTGCCCAGGCTAATGTAGAAGGTCAGGAGGAATCGTAACATTGTAAGTGATTCGAATTACCAATGAGCATACCCTTGTCCTTATTGGACGCCCATGACAGTCGCTGCGATGTTCCATAGGGCCCATTCGGAAGCTTGTCTCCGCCTTCAAAGACAACATATTTGGCTTGTCTACAAATTGGTCTCACGTGATCCAATACATCGGCCAGATATACGCCCGTCCAAAGGGCTGTTGATACTTGATATTGATGTTGATGAGGACTTATTTGAATCAACACGAGTTGAAACCTCACCTCCCGCTGCTCCCCAGCTGAAGCCAAGTGTCTTGCGGACGACATTCTGTTCTTTCCGCCTGTTGCCGGCACATACAAGGGTTACAGGAAGGCTAACAACGGGAAACTTTTCTTGAAGCTCTTGCAGAGTGAATGTAACCTCTCGCTCCACCAGACCGTGTACGTGGATTGTCCAGTTAGCAGCTATCTCGTGGTTGACCTGTGGCACTGCACCATGATTCCGCACGAAATGCAGGTGAGCTGGAGTCAAGAATCCCTGCAAAGACACTCTCAGTCCCGTGCAAAACATCGGAAACAAGATACCTACACACTCAAATAGAACACTGAGTCGCGCTTCGGAGTTAAACGGGTGTTTTCCCGTCAATCGTACGAGTTCTGGATTCTGAGCACGGAGGACCTGATCAAAAATCACGCAGATATCATTGATTCACCGTCCTTACACGATTGACCCAGTTATCTGGTGTGTCGAGATCCTGGTGAATGTAAATGTCAGGTTAACGTTGTGCGCTGAAATATCCAGCACAACCTGCTGAGCTACTTCTGTTGGGGTAGCATTGATTGGCAGCTGTGGGAGGCCCTGAGGAAGTTGGGGACCATTTCTTTCGGGCCCGTCGAGAGATGAGAGAAAGAACGGTACAGGTAGACCATCCTGAAGTTTCTGGTTGGTGAGGTCTGGGGAGCGTACCAAGGACATGAAAGCAATAGACGGAGTGGTAGCAGGTGAACGAATTGCTAAGTGAGTGAGCGGACGAACTTGAAGTCCTTGAGAATTGTTGGGTAACAGTCAAATATTGGGTCGCCACTAGCACTGCTCGACACTCAATAATACTAACTTGAACCACCTCCCAAGTCACGCGGGAATTCATCCCATGGTCCGTTCAAGTAAAACCAGTTCGGCCAGATACCGATTTGGTTCTGTCAACTGATAAGCTGTTATCGATTAGCACGCATGGACTTACGGAAGACTGAAGTTGAATCCCTTGGAAAGTTTCGCAGTGCCTGCGGCTTGGCAGACGTAAATAATTTTTGGACTCATCAGCCAAAGCAGGTGCCTGGGGTCCTACGAGTGAAGCTAACATCTCAACATGGCAGTTGCTAAAGTTTCATATAGACCGGACTTGGACCGGACTTTGTTTTGTCACGGTTGCGGCCTTATCGGTACCATTCAACAATCCCGCCTTTGGGCGCACGAAGTACACCAGAGTAACAAGCTTGTTCGAGGCTCATATTGGTCACCTTGATCGTAGCTGCGACAATGTCACCTCTCGCAGCGCACGACTAATATCGATTGATAATATTGTGGTACCACAGTGATGTACCACTAGACCATGCTTGGCCGCAGTGATTCCTCGTAGTGATGCGTTACTCGGTACCTTCCGCTAGCAACCCTTACCCCGGTCATTAGCACGACGGCTTTCTCATCTTTCCAAATGACTGGCCAGCTTAGTGATAAATCAGGATTATTATATTCCTCCACTGATGTGCAACATATATAAAACCTAGCAGTGCAGGATCCGTAACAATCTCATGTCTGACTCCTGCAATCGTATCAGGATGAGCAGCTATTTGGGGGTATCTCGCGCGCGGGACCCGCAAGTAAGCACCTATGTAGCAGCTAGAAGCGGTGAGGGACACAAAATGAAATCTGGTCTATCTAGCTGTAAAAAACTCTTTTACATGTCAAAGACGTTAGTAGTCTAGACTAGTTCAATCGTACACGTTGTCACTCCAAGCATTCTCATGACCCTTTTTGACTGACATCTTTCATTCAAAACTAGTAGGTTGAGCCGATACTCTCCTGCTCGGGCTCACTTTGACATCGACCCAGCCTTCCTGATTGATTGATTCAAATGGCAGTTCGGAAGCGCTCAGCTATCATTCTCACTATCATATAGGACAGGAATATCTTCACATCAGTCAAGATGCAGGGTCATATGGTTGGGCGATACGAACAGACAAAAACATTTTCCTTAAATAAATGTACTATAAGAAGACTACTCAGGTACCAAATATCACCTTGTTCAAAACTGAGGTACACGGATGATACAGAGTAAGAGGTTCACGCCCTGGGGGTATTATCTTAGTACTCATTGTACAGGGTGGGCGGACCCTTTACTCACGACTGCGATAACACCAGCAATCCAAAATGCCCTGCCAAGAGGATATGGTTGAAAGCGGAAGATAATCGCGAAGAATATCCCTCCAAGATTTCCCATTGCGCCTACAATTCCGGTCTAGACAAGTCAAGTTTGAATCATTCTGCCATCACCACACACCAATTGATGTAAGACTGACCATAAATCCATTGGAGTCTTGTGACAGAACAGGATCAGTCATGAAAATTGGCAATTTAGTACACTGAACACGGACTGGGGTTGCAATGTGGAACAAGAGAAAAGTTGGCTCCATTGGCGACCTCATTGAACATTGCGACAATGACAAAAATCACAATGATGACCTCAACTGGTGTTGCTGTCAGCCATCAGTGATAAATTGAGGTCCGAACTCACGGGATGGATGAGAGTGGTTATCAATGTAAAAACCAAGACCAAGCGATAAAAGCCCTTGAGCGACTCCACAAGCAATGGTCAGGTACTTCTTGCCAGGCACCTGCAGAGCCTCTTCAAACCGATTCCATGCACGATGTCAATGGCACTTACACCAAATTTGACATATATGAGATCTCCGAAATATCCGCCTGTAATGAGATGGTGGTTATGAGGAGGAGATAGATTAGCTTGCGAAGAAAGTGACTAACCAAGCGGCCTGAAGAACACGTTAAGGAGACCGTAGATGCCTGCAATCTAATAAATCTGTCATCACATAGGTCATAGCGACTGTTTAAGGAGACTCACATAGCCAGCTTTGGTCTGGCCAAAAGTGGGGGACTTGAATAGGGTATACAGAACGGTCGCCAAGTTGACATCAATAGCAAGCTCGTAGCCGAAAGTAGTCATATAAGCCAACGAGGGAAGCCAGGTCAGTGGGTTTAGAACGATTTCATACGCCGTGTTCAGGGAAAGTGGGTTGTTGACAGCAGTGTCCAATTCTGAAACCAAGTCTATAACATTCGGTTAAGCGAACAAGCAAAATCAACAAAGGAGAACGATAAGCACTGACTTGTAGCAGTAACAGCAGTAACAGTAACCTTAATATTCTTCTCGTCTCCAGTCTCGATATCATCACCAGACTTTGTTTTTATATTTTCGCTATTGCTCGTTTGATCATCTGACGCAGGAAGTGTAGTGGCAACAGCTTTATAGCGATCACTCCATTTGCCCGCGGGATGGTCAGTGCCAAACATTAGAATGGCAGCAGCAACAGAGAGGAGAATGGGAACAGGAACGATTGCAAATGCCACCCGCCAGGCAACGTGCGGGCTCATACCGTCAGCAAGCAATTGATTGAAGAGAGCGATCATGATGATGAACGTGAAGCCTCCGCCCGCATTTCCCCAGCCTCCGCCTAAGGCATTCGCTGTGAATTTGATTATATTAGAATACTCAACACATTAAATTTTTTAAACAGAGTTTCACCTCTACCAACGACTTTTGTGTCAAAGAACGCAGTGTTCCAAGCTTGACAAGAGACAAATGTGGCACCGAGAATGCCAATGAAGAACCGGACAATGTAGAGACCTTGCGCAGTTGATATGGTCCCAGCAAGGCCAGAAGGAATCGCCCCTATAATGAGAAGACCCGCCATTACTTTGCGGGGCCCATATCCTACAAGATCAAATATATGAAGTGCTAGGGTGTCGAACTGTACTCACGATCGATGAGGGGACCTGATATAACCCGTACAACGAGGGTGGCGCACAGCGAAACAATATTCGAATTCCCTTAACAGTGTTTCAGATCATAACTAACGGTACATGGGCTCGGAATTTGAGCGTACCGACTTCCTCAGATGTCAACTTCAAGTCAGTCTTGATGGCATCTGGAATGAGAGGGGCGAATGCGAACCACGATAAGCTGTATAAACAAATCATGTTTAGCGACCAACGTGCACAAAACATCTAATAGTAAATCTCATTCACAAGGCGACAAAAAATCCAAGCCACGACCTGCATGACTACCAATAAGATATGACACTGCATACACTGTTTAGAGAAACGTACAGATGGAAATTGCGAGAGTACTGATTGTTCAGCGAGAAAATAGGGATCGTGGAGCATTTGCGGTTACTGGGATTGATCACTGGGTAGCGCATGCTCGCATACGCATTGCTAATGCCAGAAAGTGTCAGAGCAGGCATAGGCGCAGTCGATAAAATACAGTGTCGAAGGGTGAATTGCAAGAATCTTGAACGAAGTATGAGCGTCTTGGGTTATATTTCAACTACTGACCCAAGCAAGCTAAGACATTGGTCCAGCAGTGAGTGACAGACTTCATAATCATGATAAAACCAGATGGGAACTTGAAATACATATTCACTGACACGGCTGCCAATCATTCAGGCCAGGATGCTGTCAGTGGCGCGTGAAGTGGCTCAAGGACTGAGGCACCCTGAATGCTGGTAATTATCTACTTACATGGTGGTAGGCCCAGGTAGAGAGGTCAGAATTCGAAAGATAAGGTTCCGCAGGTGGCATGCCAACTGAGGTGATCAACGAATTGCCATATCACCGAAGCTGTACAAAAGGCAACAAGATGCCTTTCGAGGATGCAGTGGGAGTAAGTATCAAGTTGGAGTTGATGTTGAAGTAAGTAGCACCGTCACACGGTGGTTCAATTGCATGGTGACCGGGGTCTGAGTCACTAGCTACTATAGTCTATAGAGCTCCTTCCTTATCATTTCGTCACTTTCACCAAGTTGGTTTTCTTGATGCGACCAACTTTATTTCACGACAGGTCCACTATCGCATGTGAAATGTGGCATGAGATCCGATTAGTCTCTTTGCCAGACATTTATAGACAAGAAAATATAGTCTAAACATCTGGCGTACAGGACTCCCTAGCGGCTACTACTAACTCACTATTTTTCTGAGCCTGGCGGACTTCCTAGTTCGCATGCCCTAGCGCCTTGAAGCTCCTCATCAACGCCGTGATATATTGTCATCAGCCTGCGTGTGTCGTCAGTCTGCAGAATTTCCATCAAGATGGCCTCCCCGGAAAAGCCAGTCGTACACCAGGATAGTACTTCCGTGAGTCAGGATCCACGAAGGACAATTTTTGTGGTTGGTCTAGGGATGGTGGGGATAGGTAAGTTGAAACCAGAGATAGGGTAAGGTTAGCTGTTACTTATACGTTTGTTTAAAGCGTTTATCGAAAAGATGCTCACCTTGGATGAAGCCAAACGATACCGATTGGTGACATGCGGCGAAGGTAAGTTAGATACTGTGGTTCATAGTGAAATGAAATACGAACTGACTTGTCGTTTGTTAGAGTCCCATGTGGCGTACAATCGTGTCGCACTCACAGACTATTTTCAACACCGCTCCGTCGAGAAACTCTATCTAAACCAAGGTAATGTGTTTGATAGTACATTTATGCCTTGATGTGTATTAGCTTACCGTGACTGTTTTCGCATTGTCCACTTCCAACAGTGGAGTGGTATACTCAACAAGATCCAGAGCACTTTCTTTTCCATACTGGAGAACGGGTCACCTCCTTAGACACTGTCGCCCATTCTGTTACGACCAGCAAAGGGCGCAATATAAGTTATGATTACTGCGTTCTTGCTACTGGCTCCGAAAGCACTCTTCCGTCATATGTTTCCCCAGTCAGGGCTGAGCGAGCCCAGGGAATATTCGTTTATAGAAATATCTCTGATCTCGACAAAATATTGTCGTATTCCGAACAAGAACACGTTCGAGGTGGCCGAGTGCGTATCATACAACCCAAGACATACTTGCGCGCTGAACTCATTTTCTTCACTCCCTCAGGCTGTTGTCGTTGGAGGCGGTCTCATCGGATTAGAGGCTGCGAAAGCAGTGTTTGATCTGTAAGTGATCCTCTTCCGTTCACGCCAACTTTTATCTCACTGAAAATCGTGGGACAGTGAGACAATATCAGAAGTCGTGATCATCAACCGTCAAGTCTTCCCACTGTCGCGCCAACTTGATGACGAAGGTGGAGAAATTGTCCTTCGACGGATTGAAGCCATGGGTGTACGAGTCCTCACTAGGACGTCTGTCAAAGATATCATCACTTCAGATGGAGTCTTGACTGGCCTCACTCTGTCAGATGATCGATATCTTAAGGCTGAGATGGTCATTCATGCTATTGGCATCACCCCTCGAGACGACTTGGCCCGCCAGGCGGGCCTGAAATGCGTTGAGAAGGGAGGTGTAGTCATCAACGACCTGTTGCAGACCAGCGCCCAAGACGTCTATGCAATCGGCGAGTGCGCGAGCTGGAAGGACAACACGTATGGTCTCATTGCACCTGGGGGTGAGAGCACCTGCATTCGCCTGTTGGTTACTACTGATAGTGTCATTAGTGGAGATGGCTGACATCTTATCATTTAATTTCACGCAAGTTGAGACTGGCCTCGGTGGCTTCAAACCAAGGGTAATGGTAGGTGACTATTCCTGCGTTTGTGTCATCTGTTCACCACTATAATATTGTCAGAATATGCCCGACCTCTCAACAAAGCTAAAACTGATGGGAGTCGATGTAAGTTATCACACTCCGCACCTATTACCGCTCTACATCACTCGATATTAGGTTGCCTCCTTCGGTGATTACTTTGCCGACAAGCGCAGTGCACGGGGTGTCCTCACCAGTAAGGTGGCGGTTGCAGAGCCTCTTACTCGAGACAAAGCCCAGAAATCCATCGACGGGAAACCTACTGCATGGCAGATAAGTCCTTCGGGAAGCACTCCCAGCAACAGAGTGAAGGAAGGCGAAGTTGCAATCAACACTGTCACTATGGGGATGAAGCACGGAAGCCGCCGGGCTGCACTGGATGGTCCTATTGAGTGCTTGACTTATCGTGATCCGTTCTCGTGTGTTTATAAGAAGTGAGTTGCGAAGACAGAAGTTTGTTATATAATGTTCACGGAAGTATAGGTACATCTTCACCGCCGACGGCAAGTATCTATTGGGTGGCATGATGGTTGGTGATACCTCCGACTATGTGAAACTCGTGTCCTTAGTCAAGAAGAAGGTGAACTTCACAAAGATTTTCTTTCCTAGCAACCCTGCTGATGCTAAAAGGTAGAAAGAGCTAGAGGAGCCACCTTCCAAATTCATTATTGGATCAGGCTCTAAAGGCCCGGACGATGGCGCTGACCTCGACGATGACACCCAGATCTGTAGTTGCCATGCAAGTATTATCTCTTCTGCATCACCAAGCTCGCATCCTAATTTGATTGTAGAATGTCACGAAGGGCTGTATTAGCGAATCTGTGAAAGCTGGTGTTACCACTCTGTCAGACCTGAAAGCAAAGACAAAAATTGGTACTGGATGCGGTGGGTGTGTGCCTTTGGCCACAAACATATTCAAGGTATATTAATTTTCCCTTCATCACAAACGTCCAAAGTGACCTGACAAACCTGTAGGCAGAAATGAAGAAAGCAGGACATGCTGTATCGAACCACCTTTGTCCCCACTTTGGTATAGCCCGACAAGAGCTCTTCAGCATCGTGAAGTGTGTCTACAGCGTTGTATCCTGAAAATCTAATTTATCGCGTCCTCTAGGATACGCAAGTTGAAAACATTCCCAGAGATCATGGAGGCTGCTGGTGTGAAAAAAGATTCACTTGGCTGCGAGATATGCAAGCCGGCTATTGGTAGGGAATGATATGATGATGATTCGTCCAATGCTCAGCCTGCCTAGGTTCCATCCTGTCGTCATTGTACAATGAGCTCGTGATCACACCTGTACACCACGCCAACCAGGACACCAACGATAAATACCTTGCTAACATTCAAAGGAATGGTGAGTCCTCGTTTATTCACGAATATGCTCACGTTTATCTTTCCTTTTTCATTACATAACTGATTTTTATTCTTGCTGACAGGTACATTTTCTGTTGTTCCTCGGGTTGCTGGAGGAGAAGTCAGTACAATTTCCTGCCGTTTGTGGGTGAAAATTCATTCGTGACTTTTAGATCACGCCGGACAAACTCGTTGTTCTTGGACAAGTTGCAAATAAATGTGGGGTGTCTTTACTGCATGTTTTCTACGCACTCACGCCATGCTGGCAGACAATTTGTACACCAAGATTACAGGAGGGTGAGTGTATCATATTGTGCAGGTGTTACATGTGAAAATTCGAGATTTATGATATCAGGCAGCGCATCGACCTCTTTGGCGCTAATAAGCAAGATCTCCCCGACATCTGGGAGGAACTTGTTGCTGCAGGATTCGAAAGTGGACATGCTTATGGTGCGATAGAACCTAGTGATCGATTCAAGTTGTCATGTTGATCATCCATGATTCAGGAAAGGCCTTGCGGACTGTGAAGTCTTGCGTTGGTACCACATGGTGCCGCTACGGAATCGGTGATTCTGTCGGAAGTTCGTGTAATCCTGCATATGTTGAGTTTCATCAACTGAATGAGATGTACAGTGGCCATTCACCTTGAAGAGCGGTATAAGGGCATTCGTTCGCCTCATAAGATCAAGGGCGGCGTGAGTGGTTGCGTTCGAGAGTGCGCCGAAGCACAGTCCAAGGACTTTGGCTTGATTGCAACTGACAAAGGATGGAACGGTACGTACTCTCCACTACATCATTGTGACTCCCACGAACCAAGATCTATATCAGTTTTCATCGCTGGAAATGGTGGATCGAATCCGAAGCATGCAACGCTATTTGCTAAAGATGTTCCTCCGTCAAAGGTGGTTCGCATCCTTGATCGTTTTCTAATGTACTATATCCATACTGCGGACAAGCTCATGAGAACTGCGAGATGGGTTGAACAGTTTAATGGTGGTATTGAGGTTTGTTACATGAGTATCGTGTAATCTTTTCTATGCTTATTGATATTATCTTACACAGCGACTCAAAGCAATTCTTCTTGACGACGAGCTCGGCCTCTGTGCGGATCTGGAGAGGGAAATGAGCGAGCTTATCGGATCTTATGCAGATGAATGGAAAGCTGTGGTCAATGATCCTGCAAGGAGACGTCAGTTCCGTCAGTTCGTCAACACTGTCAGTGAAGCCGCATGTTTGGGGAGGACAAGCTATGGTACTAATGGCTTACGTACAGGATGAACGTAGCCCTCAAACGGCAGTCATCACAGAGCGAGGGCAGGAACGTCCAGCGGACTGGCCGAAACAGTTGCCTCCCGCCAAACTTGGTGAATCAGTCATCGTTACTCCCAAATCTGAATGGGAATGGCGGAAGTTGGCCACTGTTAACGATCTTATGCCAACTGATGATGCTACCACGTGAGTTCTTATATACGTTCATCTCTTGCTTCGCCTGATACTAAGGCCTCTGCGTTCTCAGGTCTGCTGCTGTCAAATATGGTGACTCGCAGTTGGCTATTTTTCACATTCCCAAGCGGGGCTACTTTGCCACGCAACAGGTACAGTCCACTTCGCACCCTTTCTGAACATATTTCGAGATTGATTTTGCAGATGTGCCCACATAAGCGGGCTTTCGTGCTCGATCACGGAATTGTTGGCGACGACCTGGATGGCAATCTCTACGTTTCATGCAAGTGACATATCTTATCCGCTATCTGCTAGTCTTCTGAACCCTCCGTTTCTAAGGTCCCTTGCACAAACGAAACTTTCGCCTTACGGACGGTAAATGTTTGAACGACGAAGATTTTTCCATTATTCCGTTTGATGTGAAGCAAGAAGGTGACAATCTCCTCGTGCTTCTCCCCGATTCAGGCAACTTGGATGCAGTCATTGGAACAAGCAAATGGATGATCAAACAAGCAACGGTAGAGGTTTCTTCACGCGGTGGTGAAGGGATCGAAATTGCCGGTGTTGGAATGGGTACACCTGAAAGTGGGTCTACGTGCACTGGGGGACAAAGTTTGTGCAGTGGTGGAAATGCATCATTGGATTGGTGATTCGATGGCACCTGCCGTTATTTATATTGGAGAGTCAGAGTTGGTAATTTTGACACGAATCAGAATCGACGATCCAGCGTCAAGTTATTTCGTGGCTTGATCGTGTGAACTGTGGTAAAAGCTAGCTTGTAAAGCACGCCGACCGCGGACGTGCGTTGGCGAGTTGATTCATGTGATATATATATATACTTAATGAAGGTTCTGGCCCTAGGCACGTTTCTGAGAGCAGTGAAGCGAGGCATGATGCAATATTTGAATCATAATTCGTCACTGAGTGCATGGATCAGGATGGAACATTAAAATCTCGAAGTGAAATGAGCCAAAGTTGACGCTGATTTATAGTTTTGAATCGGTACTACAATCGGCGAAAATCGTAGACCTGAATCGCGTCAAAATTGCCAACTGACTCTATTGTAACGTCTCCGAAATTCCAATAGCTAATCGTCACCGCTTACACATGCAACTCGTATAGATTAATGCCTTAAAGTGTTAAAATGTCTGTCATAGAGTGGTATCGATGTTAGTCCATGATCAGCTTCCCATATTGTGACTAACTCTATTACCAGTACTGAGCGCTCGAGTAGATCATGTGCATCTAAATTAATACGATGGGTAGTTAGAAAGTAATGCCTTCGCTCAGCTTTCTCGCAAGTTATTTCAGGTCCAGCCTAAGCTTTATCATCCTCGTCCTCCTCGTCCTCTTGCTGAGGATTGTCGACCGAATATGGCAATGGACACTCGCGTGTAATTCGGTATTGATCCATGTTACCAAGATGCTCATTCTCGAGACGGTCTGTCAGGTGTTGAGTATTAGCGAGTTGTATAGAAGGAAAATCAAAGAAAGACACTGACAGAAATTCCACACAACTCTCCTTATCATCTCCATTAGGCTGCATATGAATGACCGGAGATTGAAGTATGACCAACTGGGTATGTAGAAGATCCAGAGAAAACGAATGACAAGATTCATGACCTATAGCAGATTGTCTAGAACGAGTGGAGTCACAAGTATACATTCTGCTTACCAGAGCAACATAGTACAGCTGAATAGAATGAAAATTCGGAACGTTTGATTTAGTAAAAGATAGAGCGCACCGGAATCTGTGAGGTGTACACCAAGTCTCGCCTGAGGAGGGGGTATTTAGCGCGGGGTTTGCAGATAGACCAATCCATCGCGAAGTCCTGAGTGAATTTGAGAGTGTATCCACCATTGACTGTTCGTCAACTCACCCATGCACACCCATATAGTGAATAGACCACTGCCGACAAACACCACATAACGAATGAAGCACCGTCGTCAGATTCTCCTAAAGAAGATCAGATGAGAGTGGGGGTGTGAGAAGGCAACCTACCGTCGCGTCTCCAAAGGTAATAACAAAAGTAGTACACTATGCCCATCCCGTACTTGCCGGCCTGCACATTCAACCAAGACGTAAGCTGTTTTTGAGTGCTTTTATTCGATAGTGAAGACTCACGTTAATGAGATGAGTAGGCAACTTTGAATCCTTGTAACGTCTGATGCTCTGCACGAAACGCACTAGAAACGGTAACATGGCAAGTGCGAAGTAAGAACCCCAATTCGTTTCCGCTCCACAAGTCGACCACGCGTTTTGAAGCGTAGGGTCATATGCAGAATGAAGGACTGCGCCTCTTGGCATCAAACTAAACGTCTGAGAGGAGGAAAATGAGCGCGGGAGAACTGTCATAGTGTTGTTGTACGGCGACGACTCGGAGGTAGATGACACATCGGCATGGGAAGAAACATAAGGATATTGGGTGTAGAAACACCCAACAAAGTAGAGGTTCCCCAAACTATAGGCAAGACTGCAAAATTGGTCGCTGTGAAGGTTGAGATGAAGGATACAATGGCGCGGAGTTGTAGACACTAACCCGAGCCAGAAATCTGTGAACTGTCAATCATGTCAACTACATGCTATGCGTCACATGATATGAACGTACTTCGACGCCCCACAAACCGCTAACGCCTAGTCTTGCAACGCTCTTGATAAGCCACCATCGAGAATGACTCCAGAGGATGTTCTATACATTTTTAAAAACATATTAGCTCAAGTCGTGGACACAGATGATATGACCTTGCCGGAATGGGATTGAAAATGACGGTAAGCACAAGGGCAAGCCACACAAGCGGCCAGATGAGTGGAGGACCGACTTGAATGAAAGAAAGCATGAAGCAGTATGCTAGCGCACACAATAGGAAAGCAGGAAGCTAATGTGGAATTACGTCAATGAACTTCACAGAATTTCAAGGCGTCAAACCTCAAAATACTCGCGATGATCAAGTCGAGATCGCACATTAAGTTCTTCGAAGGAAGGTCAGCATGAGGGAGATATACAAGACAAGTTATGCGCACCAAATATGAACACATAGTTGATCCTTTCTCCGGCCCATACGACGAGATTCAATCCGACGAGCAAAGCAAGTAACGTAGGGATTAACAAAATAGAGTAGATAAAAAGTATGATATTCCATGAAGGTAATGAGGTAGCGGTACTGTCACGCAGACCTGCAGGTGGCATAAGAATTCTCTGTGGACGTCAGCATCAGGAAAACACAGCGTACATGTCATGAAACCAGCAACCGTCGCTGGTATGGATAGCCCAAGCCACATGCCTGTACGAAACGTACTGAAATGATGGGATTTCTGTGTCGCACCAACACGAAGACGAGTGATCGCTTTCTTCTTGTCACCACGTTCTGCGATAACATGTAGATAGAGAAAAGGTAGGAGCTTTGAGCGACGTACCGAATCTTGCGGCAAACAGCTCTTCCATCTCTTTAAGCATTGAGCTGACCATTGCGCCAGAAGCAAAAGCTGAGGGCTCAACCTGACCATGGCGTAATTTGAAGATGTTACAAAAGGCACCAGAAAAGTCTTACCCTCTCCTTCATATAAGCGGCTTGAGCAGGCACCTGTGTGATTTTCTCATACTTCTTGACAGCTTTGCGGAAACCAGTGAGATTTAGTATCTGTTTGATTTGAGATTTGAGATTATCAATACGCAGGGCGAGTGAGAGGCGTGCAGTCGTGCAATAGTTTAGTAGTGAAAACGGATATAGCATGCAAATGTCGACGGCTGCATAAGTGATCGAGACGATCAGCATGATGGGATCAGCCACGTACACGGTAATTATTCAGTGCTTCGAGGCCACTGGACAAAGGAAGAAGTCAGCTTTCACTGGCATGTGATTATTAGAAGAAAACTGAAATAGGCTGGCACGAGGGATCCACATTGCCAACACATGGAATCTCGCATCAATCTATCCTCGCCACAAGAAAGCAGAGCAATAGTGCCGAAAACCGGCGACGCAAACGGGACATACCGGTAGTACTCCACGACAGCTTTCTTCAGGCGTTTCTTCGCACTCTGGTAATCCTGTATGCTTGTAAAGGACATACTGTTATTTCTCAGCGGGATATTGCCATTCGCTTTGGTGGACGGCGTTGAACGATTGCTCTTGAGTGACGTAACTTGAGTTGAATCACCTGCGCTAGACGCAGGAATCGGCGACACGGTTTTACGTTCGGAAGTTCCTTCATCTCCAGCGGTGATCGAACGACCTGTTTCCGCAGGCACCGGGATCAGAGGTCCGCTAATGCCCCTTTCAGATAAACGCGCACCTCCCCGACCCGACTCAGAAGCTACTAGTCCTGGTTGATTATTACACTTGTCTGTGTGACGTTGGTTTTTCAAAGCCGCTGTCAGGCGTAGGCGAAGTCGTGAAGCCCAGCTCGGCGCTGTGGCATTTGCATTACATTCCTGCACACGCATGGAGTTAGAATGTCTCAAAAAACAGAAGAAAGTGCGTATGCTGAACGGTAGACTGACATAGTACTTCTTGCGATGGAGCCCAAGTTCATTAAGCTGCTCTTTAAGCAGCTTGCCGCGGTCTCGCATTTCCTTCTCTCGTTCAGAATAAAAAGAGTCGACTTTCTCTAATTCGGAATCTAACAGCTCGAAAAAAGTTGCATGAAGTGGTGGTAGTAGAGGGAGAAGCGTGTGTAAGGGAGGAGCTGGAGAGCCTGCTGGTCAAGTGAGGTTTCTACGCAAGACACTGAAAATACTTGAACCGACCTGCATCACGGAAAAAGGGGAATACGGGTGGCGAGTGCGCAGACTTCGGAGGTAAGGGAGTCGCTTGTGATGACGAACCTGCGAGATGAGGTGGAGGCAGAACACTATGCATCGAAATTCTGAGCGATGGACCTGTCAAAACCCTCCGTTGAATAGAACTTAGCAGACGATGCTGAAACTGCTCACGTATCTGGCTATCCCTTCGCTGTGTTCGAGTTGGGGAAAGAGCTGAAGTCCCTTCAATTGGAGCATCTTGTCGTAGGACGACTGACAGCTCTAAAAGAGTACATTGAAGTGAAATGAGTTGGTGAGAAATTAATCAGAATAGCCAACATACCGTTGTACTCTTCATATTCTTTGGCTTGCTTATGAACTTGATCAACGTCGGTGGTTCCAGTGGAGCTCTGCCTGGCAATATGTTCTGCACGAATTGCACCAATGCACTTCTTTAGGCAACGATAATCACTGAAAGAAAAGCGTAGTGAAATGACGTTAGTGGAAGTGATCAATCAGCACATATAAAGTGTGCGCGCGCAGAACCGGGACGCACATGTATGCCTTTTTCCACTCGGGAGTCTGCAACGAGATATTAGACCAATATAAGTCTGAATTAATGGACTGACTTGTGTATCATTAAGGTATCTGCGGTCAAAAGAAGTCATACGAAATGAACATGAGTAGGGGTATGAAAGTCTGGATATCGACTCACCGTGCAAACTTCATCACTTCTTGTAAGTTGATGGACTTGGTTAGGTTATGATAAGTGGTATGATCCACACAGGATAGTGGTAGTATGGCAACGCAAGAGCAAACGAGCCGTTAAAAAGGCTCGAGGAACGTGAAATGTGCCAGGTTTCATCTGAAGGATCTTATGGACACCGAAAACCTGGCAAAAAGCCTAGAATGGATGTGATCAAAATGACATAGACAACCTGAAATTATTGATTAGTTTACGTTGCTAAAACTGCCATGGGGCGCCGCCTGAGGATGACGAGATTATGGTGACAGGCCACGGTGCTTGTATTCATCGGCAAAAGGATACAACCGCCTACCGTATGGAGCAGCAGGCTTGACTCCAATTTCCAAACTACCACTGCTTGCCTATCTGGCTTCTGACGCGTCCAATTTCCGGCACACGACCTCCGAATCATGCAAACGTGGCAGAAGCTCCTTCACTTCGGTCGGTGACCAAACCTCGAGGCCTGAGAAACTCTGATCTGGTAGTCCAATCATACTCTTCCGATTCGATGGCACACGACTCATTACCCTACTATGCTCGAATTCACGTCTCACAAACTCTTGGTCTTTGACGTCTATGGGACACTCGTTGACTGGGAATCCGGAATATACAACAGTCTCAGGAAGCTCTTTCCCGAGGACACTCCAAGAGAGGAGGTGTTGGAGAAATACGCTGCTGCGGAACTAGATCTACAAATGAAAGATCCGAGCGTAACATACTCGAAGATCCTCGATCTCGCTTGGGTCCAGCTCAGTGGTCAAGCTAACACGAGTCTTGAACCAGCTGCAGTCACGGAAGAAGAGGAGAGGATTTGGGCATCTAGTTCAGCGGTCGCTCAACAACTCCAAGGCTTAGATCTGGCTTCCTCAACGCCACCAGCAAGTGATGCTGAACGCTTCGGAGCTTCCATACCCACGTGGCAGCCATTTGAAGACACCGTCCAAGCCCTCCATAGACTGAAGGAGCACTTTGCGCTAGTGGTTCTCTCCAACGTAGACAACAAAAGTTTTGAAGGCACACATGAGTTGCTGAAATCCCAAACCCTTGAAGCACGCAATAGCAGATACCCGACCGTGACCCCTGACTCCCCCTTCTCACTCATCCTCACCGCTCAGCAACTTAATGCGTATAAACCAGACTTGAAGGTGCTGGAAACTGCACTCCAGCAAGTGTCATCCGTGCCTCGCTTCAACTTACCGCATCCCAGCCCCCCCTGGGCTGTGGAAGCATGCGAAGTGCTTGTAGTAGCAAACTCGCTTCTGCATGATATAGAGCCCGCAAATCTTCACAATCTCAACAGTGTGTGGATTTCGCGCCATGAGAAGAATATTATCGGAACCAAACCCGATTTGAAGGAGCGAGGGGCGTGGACATGGAGGTTTGAAACTTTAGGTGATCTGGCAGATGCGGTGGACCAGGAGGTTAAAGAAAAGAAATGCGTGGCCGCGGCGCTACGTGAACTTTAGGTGCGTAACAGTCATACATGAAAAATGTACCCCTTTCTCAGATAGGACAGGTTGATATAGTTGGACCCTTTGACTGGTGGTGATGTACGAGATGGGGTACAGGTGTGCCATGATTCTATTGTATAGCGGACATCGGCTTGAAAGAAGTTGAAAGGCATTCTTGATCCAGACTGAGCGGGCTATCCAGACATTAAAGGTTCTTGTCTTCCGTCAAGAAGATGATGACTAGAGTGTCAAGCGAGACTTGCAACAGGAATAGATGATCTCTTCCTTTCTCATTATTGACACTTGAGCAGTGAGCACTGCCAATTTTGAATAAGTTGATACTTGAACTTCTGTTTGATCTTGTTTCAACAAATCAGGCAGACTATAGTCCGGCCGAGCGCATTCGAGCCCCGCCTTTGCTCGGTGTGAGTCAACTACCTATGTCGCTTGAGCGGGAGCCCCAGTTCTTTGAATTACGTTGTTCGGTCTCTGTTGTATTTAAATTCATTCCTATCATGTGTATTGTGGGATAAAGTCAGGGCTAAAAATGTTTCTCAGCTATAGGAAGGTTCTTCGCAGCGTTAAGAATCATAGTTTCTACGGAGATTAGCCAGCAAAATGATTTCCCCATCCATGTCATACTACGTGGGTTCGGAGAAATCCGACGAATAATGCGCGTGAACCATCAGATCAATATGGGTGGAGAACCGAGAGGAAAATTGAATACGTGTGGTAGAAGCAACCGTTACATCGCTCTGGGATAATACGCAGAGGTAACGGACCGACTGTTGCAAAGACCCCGAAGTGACGAGGAGGCGCGTTCGAAGCAGAGACGTATATTTTTTGCACCGTTTTCATAACAGAAATTTCTGGGAGAACGTGTGGTATAGTGTGCCGTGCAAGGGACAATTTTTTAGCCGTAAATTTCGAGTTTCTAAGTTGCTAGAGAAATAATGACAACACGATGAACTACAAAATCATGACTTCTCGCGTCCGACGCTAGCTCCACGGAGAAACCTACACGTGCCAGGTGAGAATCCTCACTTCACCTGGGACATGCGTTTTCCTGGCAGGAAGTGTATCCCAGAGCCAATATCGATTTCCTGGGATTTTCGGAGCCGGAGTCAATGTTCTGCTTACCCAAGGCGAGGCTTAGCACAGGGCGTGCCCTGGTGTGCCTTGCAGATAGTATTATATTGCCCCGCGCCCTGTACCGCATGTCGTCATTAATGCTGACGTTCCTGCCCAGTGCTTTACTCCCCGCCCGAATCAGCTTTCGACGTTAACCTCCATTCGTCAACATACAGCAGCGCACAGCCATGTCCGGGACATTCGCTTAGTCTCGACATACCCGTATCCCACAACCACAAAGCCAGGCGATAAGCGACGAGAGAGAAACAGGGCGGGCGACGATATTGTACAGGAATAAATGACTCGAAGTGCATCCGTAGCAGAACATAACAGACACAAACAACCGGACATGGCCCGACTTTTCAGAAATTTCAAGTTTGAAACAATCATTAATTTGCCTTCTACACACGTTCGAACGTCCAAAGATTGATCGATACGTTCGAGTTTCGTGGGCCTGTGGACACCCTTTATCGGTTGTAACATGCTCCGGGCGCCCTTGACATGGCACACGCTGAGCAATCGTCCCAGATGACGGAGATTCTATTCTATACCTAACGCACGAGATCACTGACTTGGGACATCATCGTCGCATTAGGTGCGTACTCTCACTATGAGACTGTAAGCGGGTTCAAGTCACCGGGAAAACTGGTGAATTCTGCGATTCACCTGATAAACCGGTGGTCTGGTGGTGGGACAGCTCGGTGACTCATTTTTTCACACAACATCATCCATTTGTATACCTTGATTCCATGACAGGTCCATGAGAGATATACACCTCTTTCATGTTTCAAAATCACGAATGAAATTGAATGAGAGAAGAACGACAAAACCGATTCATGCCGAGTGTGGAACACCTGAAATTTGTGTTTCACACTGCATGACTATTTGGTTCACAAAGCCATTCAAAACGTTATAATGGCGGATATGTCAGGTGCTCGGCCCACCAAACTTTATCTAAATTGGTAAAGTATAGCAGGAGTAGTACAGGAGGTTGTCCGACCCGAGACCCTGCTAGTAGGTGAAGTGTTTTGATCGACGCTTACACGCCCAAGTTCTAACACATACAATTGGTCCGCAGTTTATGAAACACAGGTACTACTCTTGATCATGAATCAAGTTTCAGGTTCCTATTAATGCTGCGGGTGGTCCCCTAATTTCCGGTGTCCGCAGCGTTGTTTACGCCACGGAACATTAATATTTATCGTGAATTATCAACAATATCATTGGTTCTTGCTCTATAGTTTTCTCCTCCTGCCTCAGGCATTCAAATATTAGGTTTCAATGAACTTGGCCAATTGTCAAGCACCGTCCAAACGACGCAGATAAGCTCGCGTGCTCTCTTGGGTATGCGCTTTCCTTTTTCCTTGAGTGCCCAACATGCTTAATTGGCGCTTAGCGCTAGCGCTCATGACTTGTACTTTCGTGAGAAGCACCAACGACTTGGTGTCTTACCCCTTGCCGATGCTGACTTGCTGGGGATAATGGATTGGAAATTATCATACAGTTCGTCAAACGACAGGTCACTTGATCCAGGGACTTTGAATACGGAATGATATCCATAATTAAACGAGTGCCGTTGTTGGCCAGCCCCTAAGTTTTAAATTTAAGGCATAATCAAGGGTAGCTTCTTCGGGTGAGTGGTCAACTACTGGGCGGATGCTCGGCATTAGAGTTCGCGTAGTCGCATCTCTTGCAATAGGCCACCATGGTCATATCTCATTCCATATGGTGATAATCTATCTAGGGTGTAAGACTACGCACTGATCACTCATGGTGAATAATGGATGACGGTCAATTGCCTCGTGGACTCGACTGGGGCAAGCAATTACGCCCATGCAATCAAGATTTCAAATACGCGGCGAACAGGTCTGAAGATACGTGAACCAGTTCTGAGCCTCGTTTGAATTCGTCGATAATCATAGCATGTAGAGCTGACTTCGCACCAACTCGTCATCGCCGCGGACGTGTGCAAATTGTTCGTCACCAAAGGAGTCAGAAATCAAGAACCATGCTCGTCAAATCTTGATATCCATTGAAATAGTGAAATATGTGAGTCTCAGAGGGAGTTGTTCGTTTTGCGGCGTAACCCAGGGGGCACATGACAAGAACATGTAGTGCGGTGGATGCAACGACTCTCGATTGAATGCTGCACTTCAGCGAACATCAAGTTAGGTTCCTGAGAGCGACGCACACCTGCCATTAAACCAGGTTCGCTCCTTGAGGGCCGGCACTTTCGCCCCAAGCCTCACCTTCTTGCTGATAGAACCTTTGGCTCACTTCGTATCAATCACAAGTGTTTGTGTTGCACTCACGCGAGCAAGGATGCCGCGGTGATGTGATCAGAAAAATTAGACCTAGGTATCGTGCAGAAATCCCGCGGCTCTTACACGAGAATAACCGCCAACAATAAAGCAAGTAGCACAATTATAAGGATAGTTATACACCATCCCGACTTCGTTTCTACTCCGAGAACATCAGTATGTCATAAGGACCGCATAACCGGCTCAAACTCGCCTTCCGTGTCTCGTACAAATTTCTTCATTCTTCGCATCGCATTTGATAGCTTGGAATCTGTCCTGTCAACATTTGCCTCAAGGTCGTCAAGCATTCTGGTCGAAAATATTAGTATAGACTAGCAGCAGCAAATGACATGCTTTACTCGACATGCTCCCCAATCTCATGCCCCATCAGACCTGCTTGTTGAGCTAGGGTATTCAAAGTCCCTGATATTGAATCCATGGCGCGATCCTGTTCCTGAAGTAATAACTTTTGCAGATTTTGCTGTCGGTCTCCCCTTATGAGATGAACGCATGAAAACATACTTGTTGTTCTTCATGAGCCCATTTTGCCTGGTCGTCATTGGGCTCTCCTGACTGCGAGCCAGGTACTGGTTGTAGGGGTGACCGTGAACCACTGGGCAACGATGATTGTGACTGAAGGGAAGTAGACGGTGATTTCCCTGCAGACGGTAACTAATGAACCGTTAGAAACTGCATATTTAGCAGAAATAGACACCGACATTTCGTCCTTCGACGTCCGCCCTCATACCCTGTCCTTAGGTTGGTCATCAAAGTTAGGGTGTGCATGCTTCAAGCTACTTGTGACGGACCTCAATTTCACGACGTACGTAACTCACATATTTCCGCCGTTCAGAGACCTCTGCATCATCCAGTCCAAAATATCTAGGACCCGTGTCCTCCACCATCCTGAGAGTAATAAGTTCCTTGAACTGCGGATGATCATCCCAGCTTACTTGACGCTCTCTTCTAAATCCTCCAAGTCTGTGTATAGAGCAGCAAGCGTGGCCTCCAACTGCGCTCTCATGTCAGCTTTTCATTCGAACAATATGCCAAGGATAACCTCACTTCATTTCGGGCCAACACAAGCTCTTCACTCCCATCCCGAGCGAGGCTGCGGATTCGCAAGAACGAAGAGCGTAATGTCGATGCTGTCTGAAGCGAAGATTGGATCTCCCGCTGGACTTCATGATATGGGTCGGCCGACATGATACGAATGATTCGGAATGAATGTAACGGGTCTGGCACTCGTAGTCGTACCGAGTCCGTGATCAATGGACGATAAACAAGAACTTTGAGCACGTGATCCCGGATGTACTGATTACCCGGTCTGCACCTACTCTAGGCCAACTCTAGGCCAGTCGAATCCGCAAAACTCGCAGGCACCAATGTCTGATTCAAGGCTCATCTTGACGCGGCATATATGCTATGATTATTTCATGATGATATCATGGATTCTCTCAGGTTCCTTTCAGTACGAATGTGGTAGGCCACGGCCCACCGAACCCCCTATATAAATCCTACTAAGGAGCCTTCAATCACCATTCATCTTACAACCATCATGTCCAACATTCCAAAGACACAAATTGCTGCAGTCGTTCCGTTTAATGGAGCTGCTCTCGAAATAAGAAAGGATCACCCAGTCAAGCAACCTTCTGAGCTTGCCCCGGGCGAATGCCTCGTCAAATTATCCTGCACTGGAGTCTGTCATACGGACTTACATGCCAGCAACGATGATTGGCCACTTCACGCCAGCACACCACTTGTTGGTGGGCACGAAGGTGTAGGGGAGATCGTCGCCATTGGGGAAAACACCGCCGATTGTCCTGTGAAGATCGGCGATCGCGTTGGCATCAAGTGGCTTGCGTACTCTTGCTTGAACTGCGAGCAATGCCGAAATGGACGAGAGCAAAGTAAGTCAAACGTTTGAATGTTGAATATGATGCTCAATTTTACACTCAGACTGTCCTAAGGCGAAATTAAGCGGTTTCAGCGTTGATGGCACATTCGCGCAGTACACAGTATGTCAATTCACAGGCATTTTCAGTATGTTGCTGATTTATTCAGGTCTCATACGTATATCATGTTACCCCTATCCCCAAGAATCTAGACAGCAACGCCGCGGCCTCGATACTTTGCGCGGTAAGGTTATTTAGTCTTTTCAATTGACTGTAATTCACTTGCATGCTGCATCAAGGGCGTTACCGTGTACAGAGCTCTCAAACACAGTCATGCAAAGATTGGCGAATGGGTTGTCTTGCCTGGGGCAGGCGGTGGCCTCGGACACTTAGGTCTGTCTCACTACTAGTGCAAATGATATTAATGTTCCGACCGCTGACTTCTTGAGTAGCGGTTCAATACGCGGTGGCTATGGGCCTCCGTGTTGTAGCAATAGGTATTTCTCCCTACCCATGCTTTGAGATGAGACTGATATCGTCGCGTTCAGATACAGGACTCGAGAAGAAGAAACTGTGCTTGGAGCTTGGAGCTGAAAAATGGATTGACTTCCAGGAGGAAAAAGACATTGTCCAGGCTGTGCGAGAAGCCTGTGATGGCGAGGGAGCACACTGTGCTGTCGTCACCACTGCGAGTGCATCTGGTTACACGCAGGCCGTCGATTACCTTCGACCTGGAGGAACACTGATGGCAGTAGGGCTACCGGGTGAAGCAAAGCTCGAGGCGTCCATCTTTTTCACTGTATTCAAGGTAGGTTCTGCAAGGAAAGACTCGAGTTTGGTTTATTCAAGAATCATTGCAGAGCATTAACATCCTTGGTTCATATGTTGGTAATCGTCAAGATGCCGTTGAGGCTCTAGAGATCGCATCGAGAGGTAAGGTAGTAGTGAGGTATGAGTGTAAGGGTCTCTCCGAGCTCAAGAAGTGAGTAGAATGCCATGATCAAGACACATAGCTGATACAATTCACAGTGTTTATGACGCACTCAAACAAGGCAATGTAGCGGGGAGAATCATTTTGGAGATGTCAAAATGAACATGAATATTGTTACTACAAATAGCGTTAGTATAATCAGGAAACAATACCAAGATTGACAAGGCACCTAGCAAGAGCTTGGTTTATCGGTACTACGGGAGTAGATAAGGTATGTGCCAAGTATCAACGATAGTGCAGTAAAGACTCGGAGGATCGGCAAGAGGAAGTATCACAAGATAGCAAGAAAGGTGAAGAAGCTTAATGTAGTTGACAAGATACGGATAAGGGCCGAAGCCAAGCCAAGCGAAAATATTGTCCTTTCTATTATAATAGGTGTTTACATATTATAAGAATGGAGTATTTTCTTCAAGTCCTCCGTCTAAACACCAGGGGAAGGCGGGTTGGTCTGACAGCCATCAATATTTCATCTTACAAGAGTAGAAGTTCAACGTACGACAGAGTGATTTTGCTTCGTGCGTTAAGCACTCTTGCCTTGCGCTGCTCGTACGTTTCGCCAGCAAACTGCGGCTCGTCCTTGATTGAAATGGTATATCGCGAAATTAAAATGGTGAGAACAGCTGCTGCTTCGGTTTCCGAGAACCTGACCAAATTCAAATGGATGACGAAGAATAATGACAATTACTCACTTTCTTCCTACACACCCTCTAGAACCTTCATCGAAATGGGCGTCTTCAAGTTCGTTCTGAACAAGATGTTAAGACACTTACCAGCACTGAAGGGAAGGAATGCATCTCGGCTCCAGTCACCCAAGAATCGTTCGGGCTTAAACACGAACGGATCTTCCCAGTACTTAGCTACAATCATGCGTCAGGTTGTTACTGTGTCTCTGCATTTGGCAAGTATCTTACGATTGTAGTGAACCCCAGTTATGTCCAGCTCAAGTTCCACTCCTTTAGGCACAACGACTGTTTTCATCGTCCCGTTCGCATCTGTGAGGGTGAAGGTCGTGTCTTCGGCACTCAACTTTGGCACGACGGAAGCCTGCACATGAAGTCAACGATATCGCTCAGAAATATACGCTCCACCAACATACAGGGGGGAACATCCGCATTGTCTCGTTGAAAACACTGTCACGATGTCAGCCCATAGCCCTGTCGATTTAGAGAGACAAACTGACGCAGAAGAGTAGGTCAATGATGGCATATCATCATAAGTCTGTCAAAAACATCATGAGCCTGGTTGTATAGCTGCCTGTGATTCAGGGGTCCATACAGGAATTCTTCCATCAGGCAGTACGCTCTTGATGTGCTGGTACATTTCTTCTTGTTTATCGGGATGCAAAGCCAATAGTCCGAACGCAAAAGAAAGTGTATGGGCTGTCGTCTGTGAGTTGTTAGCGCGAGGCAAAGTGTGAAAGGGATGTAGTACCTCGTGTCCCGCGACTAAGAATATGAAGATATTGCCTGTTGGACAATGTCGCCATGTTCTGCTACAGAGTCTGAAATTGCAGCTTACCAATTAATTCGCTGTCGCTCAGTTTCACGTCATCCTTCGATGAGTCATTGTTGTCATTTGCTGACAACAAACTAGATAATAGGTCGTGATTATGCTCCTGCTGGGACCCCTGCCGTTCATGAATCATCTCTGTAAGGTATCGCTACAAAAGAGGGTTATTAAAAATGTCAAGTGTTCAGCCCCAATGATGGTACAAACATGCAATTCATCGAAGGCAAGCCTTGTATGCCTGAAATGTTTAGTGAGTCCCATGACCCATCTCGGTACTAATAATGGAAGGGTGATGTTCTGTGACACTATGTGGATAGCATCTTTGAAGGTCAGCTGGTGTCCGAGTGGGATCACAGCGTCCTCTTTCCAGGATATGGAACGACCAAAGCCTATAACGTGTTCACTATATCGACAACTACTTATTGATGCTACCGGTCATGCTCACCTGCGGCACCGATCACGAACAGGGCAATCTAGTGATCCGAATGAAATTAAAGAAGCGCAGAGGTGGCGTCAAGAGTTCTCACTGGCAAAGTCAAATCTACGGAGTGATCGACAACCACTTCTTGTTGTCCAGCCCACATTGTATCAAAAAGGTCGAGCATGATCTCTGTGGTTGCATCCCAGACCAATCTATTATTCCTCTTCAAGGCATAAGTTAGGAAACTCTGATGTACGCATGGACATCAGTCACTAACTTCTGAAAACGCAGGTGCGACGATCTTGCGGTAACGCTTCCATTCGCTGCCTTCGGAAGCAATAATGTTCTTGCCAAAGAATGCTAATGCGGTGTATAGCTCAAGAGGTTTTGGGAAGCGTCCTCCACGAGACCAAACGATGTCCTTTGATACGACGAATCAATCTGTAGGCTTTCAAGACCGAAATAGACCGACATACCTTAATTACATTGACATCTGCTATCAATAACAACCCAGTTGCTTTCGGCCAGCATGTCGCCTGAGACCATTAACCTCTTATATACCACGGTATTGCAAGCAACTTACAACGGAAATTATATCAAGGCCCCTCTCCGCGAAGGCTTCCGAAATTTACGTTAACTAGGGAAAATGAATCAACATGAAAAATTTCAACGTACGGGCATGCTTCGACAACCAAAAATGATCATGACCTAAGTTCAACAAGGGGATCGGGGGAAATAAGTGCCCGAGCATAGATGAGGCACTAATAATTGTTCTGTATCCTGGAAGATGACTATGAAAGATAATTAGTTCTATGGAAATGATGCGATAAAGCTGGTTAACTCACTGAATGCTCGCCAATAGTCGACGGAAATCTAAGAAGAGCTGGAAGGCGCGCAGTACACACACCAAACCCACTAATGTTGCAAGGGTCGTCAACGACAAACCAGTGACAATCATGGTTGCAGGGGCGTTGGAATGAAGACGTCGTGAGTACGCAACGCACTACGTTTCACTTTATCATATGCACAATTGCCGATTTCAAACCCTGTGTACTGCCGCGTAGCTCCGACCGGACTCCTTTCCGACGGATGACAAAGATCACTGCAGAAAAAACCCGATTAGAACCTGGTGGGGACATATTATGGCCAGTCGCGAAGTGTGGGCACTTGGGCAGATACCGTCGGAACATACATATATATACGAATCGATTGCGTCGACAGGTGCGGATTGATGATTGGCCCGGAAGAGAACAGCAGGTTTGCATGAGCACTAAATTAGTACAATGGGATTACATCGGTCACAACTATTCTTGAATCTCCATCACGACCCACTTGCGTGTCAGCAAATTGAAGATGCTTCCGAAAATCAATGTCATGAGCGTACAGCTGAGGATAATGACGTTGTAAGGCATGCTGAAATCTGGGGTGGGGAGGTCGACAAGGAGTGTTGGGGTATAAATCCTCTCCCAATCATAACTTGAAGAGATGTTGTGAGACAATTGAGAGAGTGGGAAAAACACAGCCCCTGGTAGATCCCAGCCTCTCATCGCATCAGGTGGATGTTCGGTGTATTTCAAAAAGGCTTTGTTGACTTCCATAGAAATTTTGAGCGTGGTCTTTGGTGGAATCGTGAGGACAGCTTGCAACATCGAGGGAGAGAAGCGGTCATTAGATTGCGGCGAAGGTGGATGATATTTTAACTCTGAAAGTAAGTCGCCTAAATACACCAGATAATCAGCAAAGACAATCTTATTATGGCCACAAGTCATACTTCGTATCTGTGAGTTTATTTCGACTTTCAGGGTATGCATCCACATCGTGATGAGTGCAGGCATCATCTCCAAATAACCCACCGATATCTCCTGCGGAGAATTGTTGGTAACAGAGACAGATAAAACGCCCCGTGTTTGTGTTGTACCATGAATTGTTCGTTTCACACTGAGCGGGGTGATCGGTGTTAATGGTGGCAGTGCTGCGTTGATAATTCATCAATGGGCTGTTGTACGGACAGAAAGGGACTTACGATACTGGAAGCTATGCTCACTCGGCCAGTACATGGCAATGTTGGACGGAATTGTGAAATTAGATGCTTTGACACGTTATTGATTCAAATCTATCGCAGGGAGATAGCTGTACAACGCACAGGAGGATAAGTCATAAATGGCTAAACCATCCACATAGGCAGGATTTTCAGGGGTGATTTTGTGGTCCTTCTCTTCCGGTAGAATAACGGTGATAGAACTGGAACTCGCTACCGGGCATGATCGTTCAATGGAGCGATCAAACAGTGATTGAAGATTCCAGTCTGTCGACATTGTCAGCGAGGGTTATATCATGAATCGGTTACCAGCTCACCTCGTCTCTTCCCTGCGCTAGTTCGCACTGGATTGAATACCGCTTGTAAGGACAGTTTTAATTCAATACCAGTGTCCTCCTTCCATATCACGTGAACCCCCATACCATGCCAGTCCGCATCAAAAACCTTCTGAGGATTGAGAAGTGCAGCAAGCCCTGCATGGCTCTTGCACGGAAGTAACTTCAAGAAGGGTGTTAGATTCTCCGTGCAAACATTCTCTGAAGGAAGTGAGGCATGTCGAAGTTCGTGTGGGGAAAAAGTGGGGGTAGACCCGGATAAAGGGAAGGCGACCGTCGGTGACAATGTTCGTCGGGAATCCAGCGACCCAAGAGAAGCGCAAAAGAGTCCTGAAAGTGCGTTTCGGAGACCAGACCATCGTTCATCCACTCTGACAGATTGAATGAGTGAACATGATTATAGCTATTCGTTGAGCATACATACGTCGTTACCTCACTAGCGCCCATCCAAGCCCATAGCTCAGCTCCAGTGCCAACCTCAGCTTCATGAGGATGTCCCCAGTTATCATAATTCCATTTTCCAGCATTGAGAGTTAGATGCAGCTCGGTGATCGCATACTCGCGTAGGATTTGACCAAGAGTCAGTGGGAACAAGGCGTAGTGTTGGGCTGCGTGGCTTGTGTAGTTCAGGGATAAAAAATAGCGATGGTAGACTCACATTCATCTCGTTGTCCCAAGGCCTTCGGATTTCGTGGACCTGCACCCTCTAAAACAGTCACAAAAGAGAATGTCGTCGATACCCGCCCATCTCTAAGTGACTGTATGCGGAGATCTTCCTTATAGATTTCCTTACGATATAGAGCAAAGGATGGAGTACACAGGTAAGCTAAGAAAATCCAGACTGAGGCGCGACGCATTTGTCTACAACTTTGAAAGCAGGAACTTCAAAACGGCTCACTAGTATGAAATATCACGTGATCCATACATACTATGTACTTCGCCGGCAGGAACCTTGTCCCACTGGCATAAATTTGAACTTGAATATCGACGAATTTATTGGCATTCATTGAACATGTGGTATACTAATCGTACATCATCGGTGGTACACTCCACGAAACCATACTACTTTGGAGAGGGGCGAGCTGGCGGAGTGATATACAAGAAAAGCTGCGCAAATTTTGTTATCGTACAACATATCAGTACACCAAATGTGGCCCTTAGACTGTTTCTGAGTAAAGGTTGAGAGGAATGTGAGAGTTCGCAGTTGCTACAAAGCAGACGCGGAAACAATCGAAACAGGATGAACGTGCAACACTACTAAACATGATTGAGCAGGCAGTGGGCTTGAAGGTGATAGTCACTTTTAATGTCGAAACCGATCTGGATGTTGCGAATGGGGCAAGAGGGGAAGTAGTGGAAATTGCGTTGGACGAGCGCGAGTCAAACTTTTTGTTGGCAAAAGCTGTTGTGGTCCGTGGAGTTGCCGGCATATGTTCTCATCAAGTTGAACCGTACCAAAGCTAAAGTTCTGGGGAATCTAGACTCCGGTGTTCTGCCATTTGTCCCCATGCAACGGACATTCCGCATAATGATTGGTGGCCGCGAAGAAGTTGTGACACAGATGCAACTGCCATTAACACCAGCATATGCATTTACAGACTACCGATTGCAAGGACAAACAATCAGCAACGCGATCGTTGATATTGCACAACCACCAAGTGGAAAACTTGCGCCAATGTTGCGTTGTCATGAGGGCATGGACGAGAAAACATCCGCCTTCTTCGAGACTTCGATGAAAAGCTTGTCACCACTCATTCTAATGAGTACCTCAGGCTTGAAGATAGACGTTTATTAGAACTGGACGAGGTAACAGAGAGATGGCGGGAACAAAGGAGGAAGCTAATTTTGTAAGAAATGTTATTATCAATTGACATCATGTAGTTGTACGTTTACACATGCGTGCGATGTATGTATGTAGTACCATAGTGTGGCTGTGATTTATTTGGTCGTTTCCCACGGGGTCAATGTTTGGGCACGCTTCACAATTATGACCTTGTGGTACAAATTCATTACACCACCATCATGTCATTGAATGACTACACAAAAGTTTGTTCTAGATGTCTTTCGGATTCATACAGTGAGTTTCGTGCTCATCGTCGCACTCCATACCATCCTCCACCCAATTCCACCATTTGGAGTTATTACCTCTTTCAGGACGGCCTCCGTCTTGAAGGGACCAGCATCTTCCCAGAGCTTATTCCAGCTTTCAGGATCATAACAATACATATCCACTGTCATACCCAATATTTCCTCCCGTATGGTACCCTGCTTCGGAAGTCCGACATGAGACCCAAATACAATGCTCCCTGGCACAGGAGACAGCAAAGCAGCTACAGCACGGACGAGCGATGCCTGTTGCTCTGCAGAAAATAAGTGAAATACTGATGATGCATGGATGGCAGTAAGTTTGCCATGCAGGTCATTCAGCGAGACGAGTGAGGATAAGTCAGGTGGTGACTGTGATGTATGCCCAGACTCGGACGATAAGAAAGCTGGATCAAGACAGTCACCCGCAATGAACTGTGAGGGAAAAGATGTCGGCGTAGACCGAAAAAGGACATGTCCGAGGTCCCAAAATTCTGTCGTTATAAAGTTTCAGTCTTAACATACATTTTCCCTTGTTTGCGCAGGGAGGTGACTATCGTGAGGCGTACCTTGCCTAAGATCGGTAGCGATTACTTGGGTGATTGGCCAGCCATCTGCGACGGCCTTGCGTGCATCATTGCCAACTATGACGAGGCGAGTCCATGATTATCATCTACCAGAATAAACTGAATGCGCTTACAGCAACATCCAAGATCCAAGAACAGTGAGTTTCTGCAATTACGACCTAGCTGAAGCACGCTTTGGTACTTCGGGTGTCCCGAGATTCGGAGACTAGATAGAATACACGTCAATCATAGAATGTAACTTCCACAAGTACGGCATGCCTTGTGAATCCGAAGCTGTAGATGCAGGGGTACGGTGCTACCTACACAGGTCACATACAACTCGACCTACGCCAATGAAAGCTATCACTCACCGCGAAAGCCTTTGCTTGAACAGCCAGGATGTGGTGCTTCAGATCACCCTCTTCTGTGACACCTGTCTGCTGCTGGAAAAACTCAAGTGCAGCAGGGTCCAGCCTGTAGAGGCTGGGATCCAACGGAGTGTTACTAGTGAAAGCCATACTGCAGGATGATACCGGCGTCCACTTAGATATAGTTGAGGTATTGGGCCACGTCAGCTAAAACGCTAGAACCTTCTGACGGTGCCGTCGTTTTGAAAGACAAATGACTACTATGTCACGTAGGCCGCAGCACCCTTGAAGATAACTGCACTGCATCAACTCAGTCACAGATCTTAAGCAGAATCAGCGTCAGGTGCAAGCCGGTCAGGTCGCGTAGGGATAAAACGTGAGCGCACTGAGAATGAATTCTGCCGTGACTGACTCAGAATGGTCGGAGACCTAAAATGCATTCACGACCGTGAGTCAATGACTAAAATCGCGCACCTGCGGTCCAGAGGTTGCAAATCTGTGAGCTCAGCGGCCATCATGATCATTCAATAACCTTCAATGGATAATGTTCATGTGCCTACTATACAGGCACTTGATAGCTCCAAGACGTCGCCACAATGCGGTCCAACTGGCAACGAATCTTACGTTTTCCTGATGATGTTTTTTCAAAGCTGCGGAGGTATAATTAGATTCGACTCATCATGCATCAGTTTCAAAGGCCGGGTGTTTATTCTACACAGTAAAAGGTGATCTGGCGCGGCAACAGCGGCTACTCACGCTCTTGAAAATTCGAGTCACTAGCTATAGTATTCGCAGAGGCTCCTGAAGATGTGGCGGCTTCGCAGCCTTTCAATAGTAAGCGCCGAGCACTATGAACAGGTCTGACGGGAGTCAGCGTTAGATGCTTCGAAGCAGCTCTGTCTAATGTACAATAGCATTTCCCTCCCTCCCGTTGATTGATATTCTTGGTTTACACCTACTTTTGTTCTAGGGAACATCAAACAGGACATTTTTTCAAATGCGGTGTAACATGGTCAGACCGCCGCCCGCGCATAACCGTTACACCAAAAGGTGAAAAGCTTAGCTTTCAGTATCAGCGATGGTATATGTACTGATTATGAGAACTCAGGTAAGCCAGCGTGCTTACATGCGGTTTGTAGATTCATAACAGGTCGGACACGATAGATAGTAAATAGCCCTCATTCTTAATGTAGAAGTGATGTCCGAGCTGTGATCGTCATAAGTGCGCACAGCGAACCCCTAGTGACATTAATATTGGCCCTTACGTAAAGTGTTCCGTAGGTGTAAAAGGAAGATAACCAATCCCGTACGGTGACACATGTGATACGCCCTAGTTGTCCCATGGCCGTCAAAGGCGCTGCACCTAGGACATCAGCGGCGAAAAATAGCGGTCGTGTATGCGAGACTCCTGTGCGAACAAGAACTACGAGAGTTCATGCGTACCGTAATCCGTTGGATGCGGCTATGCTACAGTCCAAAGGCCCAGAAATCGATAGACACGAGTCATACTACCTGCCTCGCACTTCACCTCTCGCAGCACAAACTAACGTTCCTACCTCCCCAACTTTATCCGCTTCCTAACAGGGGTATTTGAATTCAGAACAGCCGACGGAACGCGTTTCTTGGCACTTATGCCCCACCCGCACTTTCCAAGCAGCAACACATCAGGCGAAGAGTTTGGCAGACACGTTTCGCCCTCAGCATCCTCGTCTTCCTCCATTACATTGCCCAGGCTGTCAGAGGAGAAGTCAAGTAAAGGGACAGATGCGCCAGGAAGCTCGTTGTCATCTGTGTCAAGCGGCGTAAGACTCGAGCTCCGCGCAATCGGAGGACTCGAAGATCGCCCGGTGAGGTGTGGACTTGAACCCCTCCCTGTGGTAACTACGCTCGAACTCCTAGCAATAGGTATAGGACTCGAACTCCGAGCTGACGCATTTGACTTGGCACGGGGAGGCGGTTTCTTCACAGGCGTTGCTGTTACGAGGGTGATCGCTGGCGCTGCGCGAGATTGGGAGGATTGGGACTGGGAATTGGTGCGCTCAATGATACGCTTAGCAGTTGCAGCAGGCATTTTTATATCTGCTTGTGACACCGTAGCTGTCGACCGATCCTTTCCCTTCCATGTACGAGACATGCTGATCTGTCGGGTTAGCGCACGCTGGAGTGCCTTGTCCTGCGTTGCGCCTACGCTTGCTGCACGTTCCTTTTCTTTTTCCTGGGCGAGCGATACGGACAGCGAGCGAGTACGAGCAGGGGCCCTTGTCGCTACACCACTTTGTGAGCCTGTTGCGGCCGACGATGAATGATGAGAGCGAGACCCATGGAGTGATTTCTCTGTTGATGGTCCGGGAGAAGGGGGTTCGTCGGAGAAGGGAGAGTTTGGGAAGAGTTTGGAACGGAGGAGGGCACATTGCTCCGGGAGTTTCGATTTGAACCTGTAATGATTAGATGGTCAGTATTGTGATTTATATATACGCAAGGAGGTCACTTACAGTGGTCCAACTACGTCCTCGCAAAACTTTTGCATCCAGTCACGTTCATTCTTGTTGTGGATCATAATCTCAGTGCGCGATATATTCATAAGTGATACGAGCTGCCACATTGAGAGTTTGTCCATGAATGACTCGAGGCGCTCGATCGAAGACGGGATGATTAAGTTTGGCTTTTCCTTCTTCTTTTTCCATGAACGGCTGGGTTTGACGGGCGAAATAAATGAAATATTATCCGTGGGTGGCACTTCGACAGGTGGTAATGGAGTGCATGGTCCAGGAAGAGAGAGCTTGAGAAAATAAAGCAGGATCTGAATCTGAACTCTACAAAGTCGTTATGATGCGCCCAAAAGCGAGATAAAAGCACTCACTCACGCTGCTCCATGCGCTCGAGCCAACCTGACCTCCATTTCTCTTCTAGCATCGCGCTGTCTTCTCCGGTGAGGTGTTCGCCACGCTCTGCGCTGCCATCGACTTTCTCGTACCCCAAAGCATACCACATCATGCTCTCCTCTGCTTCACCTGCACCGCCTCCGTCTGCGAGAATCTGAGGAAGCTCATTATGGTACTTGTTCGCGGCTGCGCGAAGAGAAAGAAGGAGAGGCTCGATAAAGGCGTGAAGAGGATGTGGCTGGTCTTCTGCGAGATCCGGAGTGCCTCGTATGTGGAGAAGAGATGGAATAAAGAGAGAGAGCGGCATTATTGACTATAGTGTTGTTAGTAAATATATAGAACAGTTAGTGAAGGACGTACATGAGGAAGCCATAGGAAGTGAAGGTAAGTGCGCTGGACAAAGAGGGCTGGGTCTGTTGGATCATGATCTTGAAACGGGTAGTCTCTGCTCAGGCTCTTTTCCTGGGCTGCGGTCCATTTGAGTGAGGCTGGCGTATGCAAAACAAAAGCTCGCTGAAGTGACATCGGCGATCCTTGGTGTAAGTCAATGAAACGCGTCGCACGTGACCGCGTTCAGTTCATATTCTTGTTCGGTAATTTCCTGGCAGTCTCCAATTGCCAACTTGTCATCGATTGTATGTATGCCATTGTATGGTGGACAGTCTCAAAATTACTCCTGCGATGGTCCCGAGTACTATCATGCTGCGTTTTTTTCTTTCTCACTCACTATGTAGGTTGGGTGCTTGAATGTAGTCGTCTTTTTACCAAAGTGGATTCCACGAGCTACCCGGAATTTCATTCAATATAAATACGAATTCTGGTTTACATCAAGTACTAGTACAAGTTGGGACTGACGATGATCTAACACCCCTTGCGAATCATTGCCTATTTTACAGCTGAAAAACAATAAGAAATGATAGTAGAAACAAAGGGCAGCAATATCTCTCTTAGATACATGTTTTAGTCGTTGCGCTTCTTAAGTTGGTGTTTGACTAATAGCCAGAAGGGCCTCTGTCGCGATAAGTGAGTGATCTATTGATCTACCAGGCATATAATAACTTGCGCCTAGAAGGCGAGTCGGGTGAGTCGGCGCAGTCGGGACTCAGGTGAGTCGGGTGAGTCAGGAAAGTCAGGCGAGTCAGGCGAACCATGGTACCAGGGTCCCTAGTGTCAAAAACGATGTTACAGGGAAGGCCGTGCTGACTCTGCTGAGCCAAAGCTGTATAACTGTTAACATATCAGTATCACTTCCACTAGCTAGAGAGGTGCGCGAGTGCCCACAAGTACAATGCGTCCCATTTCTGGTGTGGGATATGCCACAGCAACAGTGGCAAAGCCGATGATCGTGAAAATAAGTGAGGGCTGCACGGTTGGAAGTAAGAAGAGTGAGCGTTGCTTCGAAAGCTTACTGCTTTTATACTTTATTGCGCGAAGTTCTTTCGAACTACCTGAGGAGAACAGGAGGAAAAGCAGTCATATACCCGTGTCAAAAATGAAACATCGGCTGTTGTATGTCCCAAATCCTGCCTGATGATATGATCAGGTCCGACTAATATGTACGTCTCCCTGGACCAACCCATACAGATTTTGCTTCTTGGCTGCTTGCTTTGATAGTATATTTCCCTTATCTCCTCTTCTTCTAGTCCCACACAAAGTCCCTCACCTGACTCTTGAACCACATTTCCTCTTCGCGTGGAAGAGGTTGTGCCCCATGCACATGAAGCACCTTAAGCGAACGCACAGTGTCGTCTAGCTCAACGTCCTTCCATGAATTCTCCTGCCCCGCAACCTCCCTCCGGCTGCTGACCATTGCCTTCAGTATCATCAAAGGTACCTCCATGACGAAATCATCCCTCGCTATTAGTTTTAATGTGGTGACACGGGGCCACAGGGAACAGCTACGACGAGCGAAAGGTGCACCGAGGAAATACAAGATAATCTTGATGCATGAGGAATGGCTGTTCGTGATGGTAACAGTATCACCATTCCACGAGCGTGTTTTAGGTATCCACCGCAAGCCACGTGTGGCAGTGCACCTATCCAACTCCAATGAATTTGAGTGGGGTAGCGATATGCGACGAAGTCCATGGATAGAATCGCATTCCTGGAGAACGATGGTCTGACAATTACCATTGAACGCAGTTAGAGCGTCGTTGATGTATGTGCGCAGGATGACTTTCTCTGTCCAAATTGTGATTGTGTCGGTGTAGGCTCCCGAACGGGCCATGTAAAACTGCAGGTCGTCGAGAATGAGGCAAGGTATTTGCCGGGGTAGTCCCTGAAAGGTTTGACGAAGCGCTATGGGTGCCATTATATTGATCGGAGAGCCGCCGTAAATGGTCAGGACCTCAATGTGTTCCATGTTATTCTTGAACCACTGGAGATTGAGGTGACAAGCTATATTCTTGTCGATGTGAAGGGCTCTAAGGGCGGGACACACCAGTTTTGAACACGGTTCCAAGCGAGTGGCATGATGATAACATCCAACATCTGTCAATCGTAAACAGTCGAGCTGGGGCGCATATCCCGCCAGCGCGTCCAAGTCGCTGTATTCATTGAAGACGCCAGTGATTATGAGGCTCTTGAGTCGTTGAAGATGTAATGAAGTAAAGGATGGGGGAAAAATTCTGCCCAGGAGTTGATCTTTGATTACAAGATGGACTGGGTAACTCCCCGTCTTCTGTAGCTGGGAGCTTAACCACTGGTCGTTCATGGACGGTGCCCAAGATATCCGAGTCCACAGCTCCAGCATAGAAAACACAATGTTTCGCCAGTGTCTGCACACCAAAGCCATGGTGTGAGGGAACGGCATGCCTCCTGCGAGCATACAGTGCTCGTTTTTAGGGGTCGCCGTCATATCATCTTCGACGATACTTTCAAGTACGATCTTGAAGATACTGCACATCGTCTCTGTGGGAAGTGATTGAAAGGAGCACTGTGTCATTTTGCCGTTGACTACTGGTAACAGTAGAATCCTAATGAGATGAGGACGGAGTATGGACCTACCTCCTTGTGTTCCTCAGGGGTGAAGTCAAGGTTCAAATTTCAAATCGAGCGTGCGCGTCCAAATAAAGCCAAATACTCGCGGTACCAAGCAGTAGTGCGCATGCGATTCCTCATAAGAAAAATCGACCGGACACCTACCTGTGACGGCGAGTGATAAGAGGCCGCGTGTGAGGCTGAGAGCTGTAATCAGCGGAAAATGTAAAAACCCAAGATCCGAGTGATATTGAAGACCAGCGAGGTATAAGTTACTATAAATTGAAATTACAAATTCGTTGCTACATACCGTTCCAATGAATGACCCGAGCCTATCCTTATATGATGAGTCTTGCAGAAACCAACGCAATGATACCATAACCATATCTTGACCTATCGTTGTGACGCAATCTTGATAAGGGCTCTGAGCGCGCCTCCTCCCCGCAATACTATGCGGTCGGCCTTCTCTTCACCCATTGTTGCCTAGTCGTGCGACAACTCCGTCCTGTGGTATGGTCATAGTTATTATTTTTCACGGATTGGAGTGTAAATGACTCACCAACTCCACGAGAAGCGCGACCACAATCAGCCTTCGAGGAACCGGTCAGAGTGAATCATTCAACTGTAACATCGTAGTAGATCTCACCAAATAACAATCCACGTTATTCGTTCCATTGCATTGTTGTTCAAGTGATCATGTATAGCATCGAGCTGAAACAAAAAACAAAAACCCATCAGTTGCTTCTCAAGCCAAATTGCAATGAAACACCCACACATTCCGAGTTTCTCGTTCAGCACTTATACGCGTTCATCAATTTCCATGTATTCTCGTACAGCTTCATACAACCCTCCCAGACTTGCTTCGCTCCAGAACAACTCTGGAACGTCCAAGACATTGCTCACGAGATTTACGTCGCGTCTGAGCTTGAATAGCTTGCCTGTGAGCCTCATCGCATCACGGCGTTTGAGGTTGATAGCACCAGAGGATGCGAGCTGTCGTGGTATGGATACGGTGCTAGGGGATGAAAGCACGGAAGAGGCGACAGACTCATAGTGTGCAAGGAGCGTAGACTGGGCGAGGGCATGTGCAACGGACAGTTTGAGCAGATGAGAAGGCGACTTGAAAGCTACGGCGTTTTAGTAGGACTCACAAGACACGGTTTGAAAACGCACTGAAGAAATCATGATATATGCGAGGATATAAAATCGTTGGGTCATGCTAGACAACATCAGATGAGGAGCTGTAAAGGTTACAGAATAATGACATACCGCAAAACGACATTCCTCAATCTCCCAGTCATCTTCTTTCATTGGTCGTTTCAAAATACTTGCATTAGTACTAATGTCCTCGATAATAGCCCGTTCTTGCCCCTCGTCCAGTCCAAAGAAGACAACAACGCCATAAGCAAAGAAGACCACGTCCGCGATACGGTCTTCTTCTTTCACCTCGACTTGCTCGTGTCTCCTGTCCTCTGTCCTCTCCTTCGATTCCTGACTTCTCTCGTTTGCACCATGCCATTCACCTTCACCCTCTTCAGTATGCTCTGCTTCCCCTTCGGCCTCAGATTCCACATCAGGACGAGGCGGGGGTCGGTGAGATTCCGTGTGGGATCCAGACGTCATGTATCCGTCCGAAGTCCGTGGTACGTCTTCCTGAGGGATAAAGTATGAACCCTGATAGCCATTTCCTCAGCTTCAGCAAGGCGTTTCTGGAGTAATTTGGCTTCTTTGACAGGGGCAGCAGAAGAACGGACGCTGGTGTTAGGCCCATACCCAGGAAGGAGCGGCAGGTGATACATCTATATGACACCAAGACAAATTATATGATGCAGATCAGGAACATTGACACGGAAATAAACAACACGAGACTCACAACATACATCGCCTCGTCGAACGCTCTTGGGGTGACATTATGCTCCCTCTTCAAAAAGCTCGCGAGCAACTTCATCCTCAGTTCTTCAGCGATACAATACGCTGCAATTCTCTTGTATCCTGCTCGCTTTCTCTGTTCCTTGCTCATGCACTCGCCAGCTGACTTGTAATCACGAATGACGCCGGTATCGGTCTCGTAGCCGAGGATTGATCATCGGAAACAGTTGTTAATGGAGCTTTGTTTATGGTGCAGAGGGTAAAAGGACACGCTTTTGTGTTGTCTTGGAGCTTTCTCGCCGGTGATGGCGAGTCCTGAAACAGAGGTGCGTCGAGATGCTGGCGCGCGCGGTGCAATAAGGCCATGCGCTGGACGTGGACGGTAGCGTGCTGCTGGTGGAAGACTAGGTGTACGTACTACGTAGCGGGCGGGAACCGGACATGGTCGTTCAGGTCAATTTATGTAAAGTGTCCCTGAACTTCGATCAACACATGAGCGCTAGCGCTCAACTACACACGGACATATCGTAAGACCGAGAGGATACCCGGGGTTGTGATAATCAGGGCTCTTGGTTTACAAGGTGTCATGATATGATTCGAGCCTGTTCTTGCTGGTACCCGTACGAGCTTCAAATCCTTCTCTTCAAGTTGCTGTATTGATTGCTTATGCGAGGCCCTCATGAGATAACTCAACCCAGTCGGATCGCATGCAGGTGGACTGGCAAGTAGACTGTAGCAAGCCCATCTGATACTTACAAAGAAGCACAATTACGCCTTATCGTTAGGCAGTGACATAGTAGCAGTCGTATGTGGCTAGAGCAGACGTAAGTCGCGAATGTTTTAAGTAAATGTTTGGTGCAGAAGTATGGAACTTACTGTCCCGACTCGAACCTCTCGCGAATATAATCTCTAAAAGGTGAAGCCTTGCCAGTAGGTAAGAAACTCGGAATGTGATCGTTAGTGCTCATCTTAATCGATTCAACAAAGTAGTATTACCTGTAGACGGATAGTTGAATCACAGTCGGACATTGATGGGAAAAAGCCAGAGAAGTGATTGAATTCAAGGAACCCCGGACAGAGCCTCAGTGTTATTAAGCGCAAACTTCGTTTGAAGCGTTTGTGCGGGCCCGCCTTTCTTTCGAAAACCAAGAAATGTGCTGCCGTGGCATGCCGCGGATATAGTTATGTAGTGAGGGCCGTGGGGTCGAAACACAGGATTCAGAACAGACGTCCTGCCAATATGAAGACAGACTAGTACCAGTGTTGATCACGATAGATCAGAAGCTTAAGTTTTGCTCGTCGCCATCATCAAGAATCTGGGAGGCTCGTTGTGGTGCTTATTGTCCGTCGGGCAAAGGGTGAAAAGGGTGAGGAGGGGCTCGAGATCGATGATGGCGTTGTTGGGAACGGGCCGTCGTTAGTCAGTATATGATAGAACGGTCAGCGTATAAACGTACGTGGGCAATCCGATGGAAAGTTGAAAGTATCAAGCTAAGTGCATTTGACGGATATTGGGTCTGCTTGCTCGTGGAGCATTAGCAAAGCGCTGCCCAACCAATTGGCGATCCTTAGCGCACAGCCTCATATGATATTCAGTAGTAGGAAAAGTGCTGCATTTAGAGTCTCAATTTGAACCCAGTCTAAGTCAGTAGTTGGACAGGGGCCATTCGGTGCCCACTGCCAACAGTGACTGTCAACAAGTACTTGTCCAAGACACTAAGCTCATTGATTGAGTCCGTCCTCAATTATCTGCTTTTTCGTACAATAATAAGGATCTCCAGAATCGATCTTAACACACCAACCTGAGCTAGCCTGCGTGTTGATGTTGTAGCTCTATGATGTATTAAACTCGATACGTCTTCTTGCAACCCTTCCCTAATTCGAAAGCTAAACAGCAATGAGACTTCATAGTAATGCAAGAAGAAAAAACCAATACCTCTCTCGGATATATTGCCTAGTTGTAGCACTTTTCGTCCTTGAGACGGTAAACAAAAGCCTCTGGTGTGACAAGTGTTATACATAGTGATCCACCAGGCCTGTAATGACTTATTTCTCTTGTGAACACGGTGAGATCCAACGTCCTCGCGCCCCGTGTCGTCACTGTCGCTGTTGTCGCTGTCGTCGCCTCCGTCGGTTTAGTCAGAGATAACGGATTTAGAGTCGACGCGGGAGCTGGGACGTCTCTTGTGGACGTAGTGATGGCCCCTGTTCTTCCGTGACTCGAGATACGGTAGCATTGCAGAAAGTGTGCCTAACGCCAGGCGGGTGCCCTGCCACTTTTCGATGACAGTCACGGTGATGGACGGTCAATAATGGGCAAGTCGCGTATATTTCTTTTGGAATCCGCGCTTCCCCCCTATTGATACCGTGACAGCTTTTCCAAGAGTATTACAGGTTCAAGCCTCAGGTGCAATAGGATGTCACGATGTGCTACACGGTATGATGCTTGTCTGGTTGAGGATAATCGTTAGAGGTAGGCTGCCAAGACATAAAGAATACCATGCAAAGGCGCCTGGCTTGCGGTGACAGCAAAATCAACTAGATGACTGTTAGCAGAAGATATGCGGACGACGAGGAAGCAGTCTGGAACCAAATATCTGCATAAGAACAATTGCTTTGGATACCTCGTGAAGATACTGCTCCCAACGTGGGCCTATAGGCTTGCTTGTTAACCTGGTAGACTCGAAGACGTTCAAGTTGCTCTTCAATTGGCTTCAAGTGTAGTGCAATTTTCTAGCCACCATAGTTATTTGCAACTGTTTGGTATACTGGTTTCTTTCTAACCATACATTTGAACGGCTACTGGACCGCGATGGACTCACCAAAACGCACAGGCTCGCCATCGTCAACGTCAGAGGCAAAACGAATCAAGCTCACAGTTCCTCAGAAAAGTCAAGGCGCTTTCCCTGTAGAACCGGAGTCCGCTCCGGGAAAGCGCAGCGAACTTGACCCAATTCAAGGCGGGGATATTGGCAACCTTCCACCTGATACTGGCGAACCTACGTCAGCAGAGAATGGCTCGGGTGTGGTTAGGGTGCTGAAGGAGGGAGAAGGAGATGAAGATGCCGGGGACGTGTCAATGGGGGAAGCAGCTGATGAAGAGGCGGAGTCTGGAGACGACAACGATGATGAAGACCCTGCACAACTAGAGGCTACTCGCTTGCGACTGGAGGACCAAGCAAGAAAGTACCTCGCCGCGCAGACACACGATGTTATTATTCCGTCTTACTCTGCATGGTTCGACATGTCCAAGATTCACCCCGTTGAACGACGCGCGCTCCCAGAGTTTTTCAACTCAAGAAACCGTTCCAAAACGCCCTCCATATACAAAGATTACCGTGACTTTATGATTAATACGTATCGTCTCCGGCCGACGGAGTACTTGACTGTCACCGCATGCCGGAGAAATTTGGCAGGCGACGTGTGCGCCATAATGCGCGTGCATGCATTCCTGGAGCAGTGGGGTTTGATCAACTATCAGGTGCGAAGGGCAGAAATGTTATCTGAGCACTTTCTAATGACTAAGTACTCTGAAGATCGACCCAGAAGCGCGACCAGCCGCGCTTGCACCACCTTTCACCGGCCATTTCCGCGTGATCCTCGACACGCCTCGGGGCATGCAGTCATTGCACCCCGGGACTCGCCCTGCTATTACACATCCAATGAACGGTGCCCAGAAGCCAATACAGCAACACAGCGGCTCCGGTTTGGCGTCACTTGAGCTGCGAAATTCAATCTACCAGACGACATCCAAAGCATCACGCGCGGTAACTTCTACCGAGGCGAATGCGCTTGCGAACGGTGTGTCGTCGAAAGGGAACATGTCGTACCAGTGCGATACATGCGGGACGGACTGCACTGCATTGCGGTATCACTCGTTAAAAGTGAAAGATTTCGAGCTGTGTGGTCCGTGCTATCTCGATGGGCGATTCCCGTCGACGATGTTTAGCGGGGACTTTGTGAAGCTCACATCTAGTCCGCCTGGTGTAAGCCATGGTGGGACTGACGACGACTGGACAGACCAGGAGGTGCTCCTGTTACTGGAAGGTATCGAGATGTTCGACGATGACTGGAGTGCGATCGAGGACCATGTGGGAACACGTACATCTCAGCAGTGTATTAGGAAATTCCTGGCTCTACCAATTGAGGACCCATACGTAGCCTCGGAAGGCGACACGGGTCCACTAAGGTTTGGGCGGATCCCTTTCGAACAGGCAGATAACCCTGTGATGAGCGTGGTAGCCTTCCTCGCTGGTGTTGTTGGTTCAGGGGTTGCCGCTGAAGCCGCAAAGACAGCCATGCATGCTTTGACAGACGGTGCCCCAAGGGAAGGCACCGAGAATACACTTGACGAGAAAGGAGAGTCTAGTAACAAAAAGGGTGTAGAAGGTGATACTGCCATGGACGAGGATGCTCCCTATGCATCTACGGCGGTGAACTTTGAACCGGAGACCAACACTTCATCAAATACAGAAGGGGCAGAAAACGTATCCACCGACACCACAAAACTGGCGAAGCTGCAGTCCAAATTACCCCAGTCACACGCCGTGCGCGCTGCTCAGCTTGCTCTCAAGTCTTCTGCAAAAGCTGCTCAGAACCTAGCAGACGCTGAAGACGTACATATCCGCTCGACCCTTTCGTCTCTCATCAAACTCACGCTTACAAAACTCGAGCTTAAAATGTCCCAATTCGAGGAGTTGGAGGAGGTTTTGGAAGAAGAAAGGAAAGGTCTTGAAAGCGCCCGGATGGCTCTTGTAAATGAGCGCGTTAACCTCAAGCGTATGCTTGATGGTGTGAGGAGTGAACTGGCGAAGAACGGTCGGATATCCATCCCTCCAACCAACTTGGGTACCACGGGTCAGGGGACGATTGCGACTGAAGTATCATCCAGCACTCAGCTGGAAGGGGATGCAGGGCCTCGGAATGACGGGGAGTTTGCCCAGCTAGCGTGATGGAATAGGACGATATGTTAACTATATTCGTTTGTGTGTTTGACACAGCCCTGTTGTCCTCTTACATAGCTTTATCTTCTCTTAAGTGTATGATATACTAATTATTTTCTGACGCCTGAGTCGAAGTTCATTATAATTATAACGGTCGTGCCTCAGGCGTGGGGCTCGCGTAGATGTGGGCATTAGTGCGTAGTCAAATCCGAGACTCGAGACGGCCATTGGATTCTTTTAGTTCTCGGAGCCTGGGCACTTGCCGTCACAACTACTTTCATATCTTTGTGCAGTGACCATGGATACTTGTTAGCAAGCAGCGAATTTCCGAATTCCCTTCTATTCAGGGTGTATTCCGCCCGAACAAAAGACGGGACCCTTTTGTGCGTACAGTTCCACAAGTAGAAGCGGTAAGAGGACAAAACAAAGAAATCATTCCGATATGAAAGCAGCTGAAAAGGATTGCCCATGTGTATCCTGTCGGCCATCGCAGGATGCATATTTCATCGAGAAATTAAGGAGACTAAATAGCAATAAAGACGAGACAGTTAATAGTCAAACAACTTGAATAAATTATCTTGCTAGAGTAACGTATGGTAGAAATACATCGTGGCGTCTGCCTTCAATCAACCGAACATCCAATCGTCGTCCAACCGCATGAAATGCCTCAGACACGAATTTTCCGCAAAGTCTGGGCCAATTTTCAGTATCGCCAAGGTTTAGTCATGACGTATTATCGCACCGAAGCTATCGTTTGGATTGCACGAGCAGTGTCCTTCCCGCCATTGTCTGCCCTGGGGACAGTGAGCAAATTCAGCGTGTTTATAACCTTCGGACGGATCAGTTATGGCTACGAAACGATATGGCCGAAGCTTACCTATATCTTTGAAGAAATGCAGTTGATCCTTGCGTGTGAACAAGGCTGCGGCGATGCTATGAACAGGTGCATCTCCCCATCTCTGTGTACGGTCAGGATGACACGAACAGGAAAGATATTTAACTTGCCTCATAGTAAAACCCTCCTGTATTCTCGAGATAGTTAAAGAATTTTGTGTAAGCTTCGCCCCTCCAGAAGTCCATATCGGCAATTTCAAAGTTTGACCAAACTGAGTGAGGGGCAGAAGTGACTTTTCCCAACATGATATTGAACAGTTCTTACAGTGACACATGTTGTAAGAATCGCCCGCATCGTCGGATATAAAACCCATTGAGTTGTTTGGTGACACGTATTCAGGGTGGTCCAAAATGAATTCTGGGAGATAGGTTCATCTTCGGCCTACAGAGTACGATGCTTAGTGCTTACCTTTCACCACGGACCACAGCGAGATTATAGTTGATTCCCATTCTGTTCAAAACGCGTTTTATGCTATAAAAGATATGGCAAGAATGTCAATTTACCTGGCATTGAAATGGTGAAGCCTGGGCCGTGGGTAAATTTAGCAGCTGGACCACTGTACCGGGGATCTCTCACCATAAATTTTGTCATGATCTTCCATGAATACAAAAGGGTCATATTCAAGGTCACAGTAAAATCTCACGTCGGGTCTACATAATGGGTCAGCACTTAATTCATCTGGTACGCCGAACGACTCACTCTACTCTCCAGTACCACTTGTATGGCGTTAAGAGCTCATGGCGGAAAAAGAACTACATAGTGAGGTTAGCATAAACGAAACATCCCTTCTAAACACACAGCACCCCTGAGTTAAACCGACACATATTACGGTAACTAATGGCCAAGGATGAGGACGCGGCCTGAATAAGTTGCACGGAGATACGCACGAAACACTGTCTGTAGTTTCAATGGTAAGATGTTGACGACGATCTGATCAATGGACTTACCGCCATAAATGACGTCATCCTGTGTTAGCATATTGCGTCCCCTCTCAGCTCGTTCTTCATCTATCCAGGGTGGTTGCACCCAAGTTTCGTGAGGGATGAGCCCAAATGATACATCGCCGTTAGTCAATACTTTAACACGCCTGAAAATGCATCATAAACCAACTGCACTAATGATGACATGGTATACCTTTTGAACTCGTAAGAGAAGGGTTCGTCGTTCAAAAACACCCAAGGATAGTTGAATTTGCGATTGAATTTTGCCTCCAACTGTTCTACACTGGATATCACGCCATCGAGATCACTGTTACGGGCCAGCATCAACAACGTAGCATTGGCTCGGTGAGAAGTGGAAGGGTCGTGTGGAATGATATTTCCAAAGGAGTGTGATGGTTTACTCTCTGCGGAAGGCGCTAAATCGAGTAGGGCCTCGTCCATCTGTTCGACACCCAAAACACCTGTGGAATCCTTGTATATTGACTGTTCTGTGGACAAAATCTTGGAAGACAAGTAGGCGCCTTGAGGACCAAGAGTCATAAAATAACACACACACGACTATACGGGAATCTGAGGTAGGGTGCGGTACGGGATATGCCTTTGACATACCACAGTGATCAATGCGATGGTGATAGATCTACGATGTGACGCGGTTGATATAGGAAGAACCGTGTTTCGGAAGAGAATCTGCATTTTAACACGATAGCAGGCGAGTGTCGACAGCTGGGGGCTGAATGAGGTTCAGAGAGAGAACACTATTTAATTTTAATAGCCTGTTGTAAAGCTCGGGGAACCGAACTTCCAACTTGAAGAACCTCTGTGACGTAGAGGTAGAGTTCTGAAAAATATATTATTACGAGTATTGCCTTGTCGTATGTTGACGCACCTATATCGTGTCAGTGAATAGCAGATGCATTCTGGAAACCGGAGAAGGACATTGTACATGTAGCTGGTCTAAATTGTTTACCTCAAGTTATAAAGTTATTCTACACTAGTATGATGCGATTCATACTCAGCTGAGTACCGTAAGAGAACCATGAGTGACAAATACTTATAATACTTCCTTTTCAGGATCGGGTCAAGGTTTTACTCCGATTACCACCAGGACTAGCTCATGATTTTCGTACTTCACTAGGTGAAAAAGACAGAGCTAGTGCTGCATTTTGCATGGCAACATGGATACTTGGCAAATCACCTTGGCTGCATACTAGCCATGTGCGCTTACGCCTAGATTTTCTTCCCCAAAAAGTTTGGTCTCAAGCACGCAACAGACTCAACGCGTCTCTCGCTATTTCAACGCAGTCACCATCATCCATCGAGGTCGAACACATGCCTCTTCCACGTCAAGCACCTGATGTGTCGGTGTTTGAGGAGATGACTGCCGAGTATACCTTGGCTATGTCCCAGAATTCGTCTGTATTCACGCCCCAGACCTCTTCTGGCACCCTCGTAAATCTAATACGTAAAGCGGACTACGCAGCCGCGGAATCGTTGCGGAAAGAGATGGTGGATATCAAGATACCCATTCAACCGCATGCCATTTACGAACGGGCAGCGAGAGCTGTTCTTCAGACGAAGGGGCTCAAAAATCGAGGGGAAGCGTTTTCTGCATGGCTTTCGTTGGTGCCTACAGCAAAAGAACAATGGAGTTCATTCAAGGATATCCGTCAGCAGCTCTTTCGTGGATCGAACTACCTTAACATCTCACTCATCATGCGGTTCGGCCTCATCATGGCGTCAAAAGGTTATATCGCTGGCGATGCACAGTCACAAGTGTTGAACACCCTTGCGCGCTATGCGAGTCCTACCACGTCTGAGAGGTACATTCTAGAACTGGAAGCGGTGGCAGATTCTCTCTCGAAATCCGGCCACGTGAAAGTTACTCCAGAACAATGGGCAAGCATCTACAGCCTCGTCATCAGAAACCAGGTCCTGGCTGGCCGAGAGGAGCATGCCCTTCAGCTTGCACGCGTCGCTGCAACACGCGAACGTCAAGTCACAGACTTTACATTTAGATTTCTCCTAGAGCACTCCCCAGACGAAGCATTTACAGCCAGCGTTCACGAATTACGCAAGCAAATATCCAGCAATCCTTACAGCATCCCAGACGTTTGGTATAAGCGGACTTGTTCCCGCACCGATACCCTTGCGTTGACTTCCCACCTGCGTTATCTCCGACGTGCTATCGTCTCGACGAACCCTCCCACTTCTTATTTCCTTTCCAACTTCATGAATGCCTATCATGCCACCGGGCGTACACGCGCCATACTCGCTTTGCGGAAAAAAGCGTTCCAGCACTCGCACAAAGCCAAATCCCTATGGGTCATGGCAGAGATGCTTTATCACCGTTCACGCAACGAGCCCCAACTCGTCCTTGTGGTCTTTGCATATCATTTCCACATGATTGGCGTCCCTCGCAGAACTATTTTGAAAACCATGAGGTTAATATCCCAACGCCGTGCTCCGCTTTCCCAAAGAACATCGCTTCCAAAGCACTTGCTAAACTGTCAATACGATATCTCAGAGAAACTATGGCCGACACCCTATCACACCGCCCTCGTTTGGGAAGCTCTCGTTTGGTCAACGCCGGAAAGCGACCACGAGCGCATGTACAAATATCTCCTCTCCGTCGCAGATTCCAGCACATCCCAGAAGCCCATTTCTTCCCCCGACTCCAAATTCGCTCCATCATTGCTGCAGCTTCCAAAGCGCGCAGTCGACGCAGCTCATTTTTCGCCTTTTGTAAAGTTGCATGCGAAGCGCGGCCGGCCGGAGCGGGCTGCGGGCGTCTTAAGGGATATGATGAAGTTCGGACTGAGCCCTGGGGTCGTGCAGTGGAGTATTGTGGCAAGGGGGTTTGCTGAGTATGGGGATCCAGCCGTGGCGGTTTCTATCATCGATCGGCTTGAGGAAGATAATGGATCGCAGGATCGGGCAGGTGTGAGTGCCGATCATGCGGACCGAGCGCCGTCGATTCTGGACATTGGGCTTTATACGAACGTGCTAAGAGGGTTCGTTTTTGCAAGGAGTTTGGAACATGCTCAGGATATAGAGAGGAGGATTCGACAGAGATTTGAGTATATTGATGGCGAATTAAGGGCCACAGATGATGCGCTGCGTCTGCTGCGGAACCTCGAGAGACAGATGGCGAGTTGATAGAGGCGGTACGAGTATTTTTGAATTGTTCTAGTGTAGATGTTTGATATGTTTCACAGCTTGTCGTCCTAGGGGCCATTCAAGTTGCGCTGTCACAACGTTGCACCATAGATACATCCTATCCTACACAATTTACATTTAAAATGGGATAATGTGGGTCCTAATCTCGATACTAGCTGTGAAATCAACCACCGGATGTGCCCGTTTGTGAACCACGTGGAACGATGCTCAGGACAACTCAGAAGCATCCTGGTTCATATTACTCCCGCGGACTCAGCAGTCGATTCTCCCTCCCAAAGGCATGGGTCAGACTAGCCACGACTCACGAGTCTGTGGTATACAAGCCTCCTGGTTTCTCCGAGTTAACTTCATATGCCCCATCCATCGCTCAATTGATCTCCATTGTCCATGTCTACACCTTTTCCCAGTGATAAAACTGCAAAGCAGGCTTCCGAAAGCGTCTCACAACCCGTCAAAAGCGCTGGAAATCCCAGCCTTGTTGACCCCTCGGATGCGCTAGGTTTTCCCGAAGGTGGTTTTACCGCTTGGGGCACAGTGCTAGGCGCGTAAGTGCATCTGTCCACCTATCCATCGCTGCATACTCATCATCAACCGCGGCCGTTAAGTGCCTTGATCCAATTCTGTGGCTTTGGGTAAATTCAACTCAGCATTTATGGGCCCAAACTGATACGTTCTAGATATAACGGCGCCTACGGTGTCTTCCAGGGCAAGCATATTTGTGGATTATCTTAGGTGGACGAACTGATCACCATGATATGCAGACTTTTACACTCAAACATACCTAACCAATTCTACGCCATCTGCAATCGCGTCAGTAAGCTCCAGATCCACCTGGGTAGTTTCTTGGCTGCTAGTGTTTCTGACCTCTACCGCTGTGTAGCTGGATAGGAAGTGTCAATGCGTTCTTGATATTATTAGTTGGTGTCGTGTCAGGAAGGATGATCGACCGGGGTGCATTGTATGTATGCAAGAAGTCCGCATAAAGACGTCCCTGATCATATATTTTCAGTTACTCTGTGATGAGAATTGGTTGTCTCCTCCAATGCCTCTTCCTCTTTATATTGTCCCTAGCGAAGCCAGATGAGTATTATCAAGCAAGTCTTGTTTCTGTTAATGCGCGGCTCCGTTGACCGTATTGCTATGTATGTAGATATTCCTTTCCCAAGGGATTGGTTTCGGTATTGCAATAGGCCTTACGAATGTTCCCTCCATCGCCATCGTATCGCGTCACTTCCAGCGACGCAGAGCTGTTGCGATGGGAATTGTCGTTGCGGGGTCGTCACTGGGTGCGATCTTGCACCCCGTCATGCTCAACAATCTTATCAATGGAAGACTTGGCTTTGCAAATGGTGTCCGTGCAAGCGCGACCCTGAATGGTGGCCTGCTTTTCATCGCAAATCTCTTGATGCAAACAAGACTTCCACCACAATCAAAGGCCGTTAGCTACACACGCGTTTTGCAAAACTCGTGGAGAGATGGTGCTTACATTTGTGCTTCTGTAGGGTACGTAAGCTTTGCATACTCGATGACATGAACATTAAAATTGCTTTCACTGGTTAGGATAGCTGCTTTTGATTTCGGATACTTCTTCGAAATCTTTTATCTCCAGTTAGATTCCACCCTGCATGGTCTACCCCAGGGTGTTGTCTCTGCATACGTGGGCATCCCGAACACGACCATCGTCTTTTCATTAATATCCTCTGCTGTACTATTTGCAATGATTGGCCTGCACTCGGTCGCCAGTGTAGCTGTTATAGCTGCAAGCTATGGGTTTTTTTCCGGAGTTGGTGCGTGTGTTCATGATGCTCCTCTGACATTCACCAAGTTTCGACCCCAGTTGTAACAATGATGGGCCCGTTGATATCGTATCTGACTCCTGAAAGCTCACAAATTGGGTAACTACTCGATACCTGTCTTTGATTTTCTCTGACACAGCTCAAGCGCACGGATAGGTATATCGTTTGCATTATCTAGTAAGTCTGTGAGTCTGCTTTTGGTGATACCCTGGGTCTTGACACGTATTCACTATTCACAGGTATTGGATCAGTCCTGGGCACGTGCGCCGTTTACTTTTTCTCGACCATCACTCACATTCAGCTCAGGTGCACCGATTTGTGGGGCGTTCCTGACGTCGCATTACATCTGGTGGAAGGCTGCTATCTTTGCTGGGGCGAGTAAACTATGTCAAACTGCATTGTTGGTTTTTGGCTAACACGCTGTCTAGAGCGTCGCTACTGGCGGCTGTATCATGTTCGTATCCATGCAAGTCATCTTGAAGATGCGTCAAAAGACTTCAAGTGTTTGCTCCAAGGAAGCTGGCGTCTGATTTGCGTCACCCCAACATGTAAGATAGACCTCGTTCATACACCGGTTCATCACGTGATTTTAGGTCCTTTTGGCTTGTAACTTTTCTTCAGATCGGATGTAGCAAAATCTGTTCTATCATTCTCTGGAGATGTACTAGAATATTAAAATAGTCTACTCAGAATCTTCAATTTTGGCCGAGTGAAGGAGGAGTAGGCTTATCATAGTGAATGTATCATTGTGACCCATTTGTGACTGATGTGACCACCTGTGACGAACGGCAGGCAAACGAAACAGACAGAACAATTTACTAAGAAGCAGCAGTTTCGACAAGTGTTTGATAGCGATCATCTATGTAGTATAAGTAGGTAGCTATATAATCAACATTATGATCTCTTCCGTGGCATAACAAAGTTAATTTTTAAATCACGTGTGTCTGGATTGACCTGACTGTCCATGCACAAATTTATAATACCACAGGTAAGCTTGCATAGAGACATTCAAGATCAAGAAAATATTGCAGGCGATCTGATTTACCTGCCACCACCTTAGCTGCCGCCGCCGCCGCCACCACATCCACCACCACCACCACCACCACCACCACTACCTCCTCCTCCACAACTGAACCCGCCGCCACCACCTCCACAACTGAATCCGCCACCAGCTCCGCAACTAACTGCATTTCCGCCTGCACAACTAACCACAACTCCGCTCCCAAAAAAAATCCCTCCAACCTGACCTCCACCCCCGCCTTTACCTCCAACTCTACCTCCAACTCTACCTGCACCTCTGCGTCCACCTGCACCTCTGCGTCCACCGCCACCTGCACTTCTGCGTCCACCGCCACCTGCACCTGCACCTGCACCTGCACCTGCACCTGCACCTGCACCTCCCGTCCCACAAACAGCAACACTACGTGAAGTATCAATCGAACAGCTGCCTGTACCCTGTAAGCCTGGCATCAGCACACCTCATTCTCCAAACACAACAACACTCACCGTTGCACACCCCAAACCTCCATTCATCACCGATCCAGCAGCAGCAACGCATCCACCAGGGTAGTACTGAAACATCGGCACAGGATATAAAAATGCAATCCCATGATCAACATTCTCATCTCTCTCCACAGCCTTCCCGTTCCGCTCTTCCCGCAGCTTCCTTTTCTCTGCCTTGCGTGTACGGTTCTCTCGGTGATGTAGGCTTGTGGATGTATTATTTAGGACAAACACGGCATTGTGATCGCTTGGGTGCGTAGCAGCACATGCGTCAGATTTAGGAGGGAGTAAAAACATGTTGCTGGTGGTTTGAGAGGAGATGAGACGTCGGAGCTTTTGGCCGATTGTGTCGCCTGGCAGTGGACACCCGCAGTGCATGTAGGGTACGTGATAATGGTCCTACGATTTAAAGTTTGAATGGGGGTATCGAATTCCAAGGAACTATAGCTTACGTTCCAAGCACGACAGGTGAGGTCGAAGGAGGTCGCGAGGTGACCTTCTTCTACTTTATCATCGCTGAAAAATGCGTATTCGTTATGTGTGTTCCGCATTGTACTCGTGACAGCACCTACTGATCAACATATCGTCCTACGAGCGAGAGGCAGTCCTTTTGATACTGACTCGCCATGAGTTGATGAGTATGCCACCCGAGATCGATGTCGAGCGTGGGCACGAGGAATGAGTCAGGAGACTCTGCCATGATGTTTAAAAAGCTGTAGAGTAATGCTCCTGTGATGTCCGTAGAAAAAAAGAAGCAAGCACGCACGCGTGATACCGAGCTACGCAATGTTGCAGTGCCACTGCGTCCACCTCGTTAGCGAAATATTCTGGCTTGGTCCACCCAAGGCTGACCATCTTCTTCACAAATGAGGCTTGCCGGAGGACCTAGATTGATACATCAGTCCTTGAATATGATCAACGTTGAGGGTCTACTCACAGCACCGACCAAATCGAGTGAAAACACCCTGTCATCCGTGTAGGCACCCATTATCTTATTCCACCTGTTCAGTTGAGAAAACGTATTCACTGCAGCAAAAATAGGACATACCATATTGGCTTCAATTGTACGTTCAACGCGCGACGCATAAGCGCAGTGTCATACCGGACGTTTGTCAAGATCTGGTGCGTGCGAGCACTCGCATCGTTCTTCTGGGAAATGATGTTCAAGTTGAGGATGCGCTTCTTGATCATGATTGCGTGCGCAGTGTCGTAGGTGCTACATGGTGTATGAAGAGTTCCACTATGCATATGAAATTATATTAGATGTCATACAAGACGGTCAGCAAGGCGACACCCACGCCAAATATGCATCAGGTGCTTCTGATTCGACTATGTTTTTCACAAACTTGTGAAGGCCGAGAAGTTCTTTAGTAATCGGCTTAGCACATATACAGTCGATGGTGAAGTTGCTCTGGGTATATCCCTTCCCATCAGGCGTGAAGAACGCTACGGCTGGGTGTCAGAATGGATTCCCATGCCATGAAGGCAGAAGGGACATACGCGAAAGGATAGTGCGATAACAGTAAGGGCACTCGATAGATTTGTGTGTGAGATCCGCAGCAGATGCGAATGGATCATACGGTGATTTGGTACTGCGTTCCCAAGCAGAAACGCGTTCATGTTGTGGTGCGTTAGTGGTTAACAGATCAGGGTTAGCCTGGCACAACGTTCAGCGAGCTCGGGACATTATTCAAAGTGATATGGCGTACGAGAAGGTTAGGAAAGTAATCAGTGAAATGAACGAGAGATTTGAGTTTGGAGATCCGCCTGGTGTCTTCCGCATACCAGCTGCGGATGTGACCAAAAAAAGTAAAAGTTCGTCATTAATGAGGAATTAAAGACGTGCTTGCCTCGGATTCAGAAGGTAAGCGTGCCACACCATAGTGACATCGATGGGAGGCAGATGTTGCTCCACTGTGTCAGATTGCTTGATCGTCAGACACCACCTCTCAAACCTGTGCTCCACCAGTGCAGTGAGTTAACAGTGCAAGCGCACGCAGAAGGCTCGTAAAGCACGCACCGTTCAACAGCCAAATTGACAAACCATACCCAACGTTTCTCGCTGTCCGACTCTAATCCCGCAATAAGGCTCTCGCTGGCAGCGACGCGCTGCTCAAGGTGGCTGAACGCTGCCAGAAGCTGAAGATGGGCCCTGAGTTGATCTGGGCGGATGAGGTGTCGCGTGCTGCGTTGTCCGACGTTAAAGGTCTCTGGAAGAGTATACTGCGGTGGTTCGGGCGATAGCTGGGGAAGCGTAGCATGTGGGGGGCGCTGCTCAGTCATGTTGGAGACTGCTGTGTGGCTCCTGGCCAATATATATATCTATCGGAAGAAGGATGCGGCCAATCACGGAGTGCAGTACTTGACAGTCCAGTAACTTGAGTTAGTGCAGTACACCTATTTGCAATTTGGAATGACTGCATGTGATCCGAGTTTGAGGCTATGCTGTCATAAGTCACGGTATTGGTACAAAGCCAGGGATGGTAGAACGGTAGTTACCTAGGATTGCCAGCATACCTAGTAGCTAGGAATATGTTGATTAGGATGTACCGAAGGTTTCTTTGGGATGCGGACTGTCGGCCTATGTCTCCCTTAGCTTCGAACACTTACAAATCACTGCTTATTGGTGGAAATTCGATGTTAGGTTCTGGCGGGATGCTCGGGGGGTGCCGGTATCTTCAGAGCATCGCCACCTGTACTAGATCAGCCATTTCAGGAACGCCTTTTGCTGACAATATCAATCATTTCGTACCTTGTCGTCTTGTGATGATTTGTAGAAAGGAATTCTGTGGTGCACTAAATGCCTCGCGTTTGAAGTGAACGTTGGGGTAGGTTGGAGCTTGCCTTAAGGCTTGTGGTCAAGGGTATAGGACTTTCCTTTCTCGTCGCCCATTTCCGAGTTCGCTCAGACTACAATCTTTGTTACAAAGGGACAAGAACAGTGCCGCACGCGCCCATCCTCTTATTTCAACTTTGGTACGACGACTACCAAGTACTCTGAGCCACATTCTTTGACCGTCCATCATTCACGACACCGCTAATTGAATGGACATGGGGGACCGTGCTATTGGGTATGGTTGCATTATCGGTGCTGCACGCAGTATCTGCTTTATTGAACTTACTGTGTAGGACGGATACTCTACCAGCCGATTTAACACCCTTCATCACTCGAACAACTCAAGACCACATTTGCGGAGGTGGATTTGGCGATGTCTGGAAATGCAATTATAATGCAGATGGTATTTCAGCCATCGTCAGTTCACGTGTTAGACTCATTTGCCGTGCGCTGGCTTACGCCAAGAAATCGATCAACACATAAGGTTGCGGTCAAGGCCTTTAGATACCCAGAGCAGTGTGAAAATTCAGAGAGAATACACAGGGTAAGAAATATCAGATCCGCACATATAATGGCACATACGACTTATACCATTTGGGTCATCCAGAAAATTAACAGAGAAATCGCCATTTTGACGATTCTACGCCATAACAACATTGTCCCGTTGTTGGGTACAGTGACAGGATTTGGACGGAAGCCAAAGTTGCCCAGCTTAGTAACTCCGTGGATTCCCAACGGCACGTTGATTGCCTACCTGGCATCTAAACGCAACGATCTAACAGTGCTGGACCGTTCACGTATGGTAAGTAGAATTCCCACCACATCCTTTCACTTACCAAGACTGACTCGAAGTTGGAAGCTAGAGGATGTCAGCGCTGGACTGTGTTACTGTCAGTTTCATATTTTTTCTCAAGATGTCATGGTAACCTACCATGAGTGCAGTGCACTCTGTGCCTGTCGTGCATGGGGATATAACAGGGGTGAGCCCGGAGCTGCTAGGATATATTTGAAAACTAATAAAACTGTAGGCAAATATACTGATTGACGAGCGAGGCCGCGCGAAGCTAATTGATTTTGGTCTTTCCACCGTTGTTGCGCCCCTTTTCGGCCAGTCACACTTGGCTATAACATCGATACACGCAGGCGCAATCCACTATGCAGCACCAGAACTTCTATCTGATGATGTCAATGTCAATGACCTACCTTTGGAAAAAACCGACATCTACTCGTTTGGTTGTGTAATGCTTCAAGTGAGTTGGTTATTTGGTCACAAAATATTCACTCGAGGACTTATGGAACAAGATTCTCTCGGGTCGGCACCCTTGGTCTGAGATCAAGTGTCAAACCCCGGAATTCCGTGTCTATGGTTTGAAACGCCAAGGTCATAGTCCGAAGCGCCCCAACGGCCACCCTGCAATAATGGACTCAGATTGGGACATGATTCAAAAATGTCTGCAATCAAAATTTGAACGTCGGCCTTCAGCAGATGAAGTATTCGACTTCGTCACGCGTAGGCCTTGCTCATCAGGTCAGCCTGTATAGTTTGTGGTGCTTTTTTGACCATCCACTCATCTGAGCTTCAAGATTCTTCGACCCTACCTAACGATTCTCCCGATGATGAGCAGGGTGGTTTCCCCGGAGTTTCCTCGCACAATGATTCCAACGGTATAACAGAACACCTACTCAATAGTCCACGACCCCACCCTGATCATGAGCCGACGAATGGAATTATAGAGCCTGGAGCTCAGATTTCTTTGTAGGTCCAAATCGGCACAGATTCACAAGTTTTAATATTCATTTTTCCAGTTCTTCTTCACCAGCCAACACTGATTCTTGGCCATTATTTCCGAGTATCAGTACTGATCCCACAACGGTGTTCGACAGTGATTTTCGTAAGTTACATCCAAGCGTCGAGGCGGATATGTTTCATCACCATGAGTAGTTCGATCGACTAGCAACCCAGGACATGAACAGAAACAATCAGTACCACCGCCACCTCCAAACGCATGGTCAAGCAACCACAAAGTACGTGCTTCTTGAGAGAGACATTACCACAAAGAGAGGTTACTGATTGAATATATCAGACGCACCTGCGGGAAAGAAACATCGTCATATTTGGCGAAACAGGCTCAGGGAAAAGTTCTATCATCAACACAATCGCGCAAGAGCAGCTCGCAAAGACATCTAACGACGCACATGGATGTACTTCTACCTCTCAACGCTACCCAGTAGAAATTTCAGGCCAGCGATTCGTCCTGATTGATACCGTGGGTCTCTGCATGGGGACTGCAGACACAGTGTCAGCGGCGAAAGCGGAAAAAAAGTTGAAGAGTTTGTTGCGTGAGCTCATGAACTCAAAGTTGGATGGAATCAGCCTTCTGGTGTACTGCATGGACAGCACGATTGCCCCTAGCGCCCTCGTTAAGGCCTATGACAAATTCTACTCTGGAATCTGCCAGAAGAAGGTTCCGATCGTAGTCGTCGTCACAAGATTAGAGAAAGAGACCCACATGGAGAACTGGTGGGATACCAACGTGGAAAAATTCAAGGGCATGTATTTCGCAGACCATGCTTGCGTCACAACGCTTTGGGAACACTCAAACTTCCCAGACCACATCACTCATCGTATTTTGGAATCGGGTGATATTCTGCGCAAGCTTGTCGTGAAAAATTGCGCGGATTTGCCAGTTCCCAACGGCTCGGATTCGGCGACCGGCAAAAGCTGGCTCAAGAAGATTGGTAAGAAGGGATGAACAACGAGCAGGAAGTGAAATGTTAAGTTTAGGAGATTATAGTGGTGTACCGTATGTTACATGTTCAAACGTTCAAGTTCGTCGCCATGCTCACCACCTGATTCATTATGATCATTGCCTCATTCCATGTTCGCGCATTATTCTCGAATAAATTTTCTATTCTTTATCCTGCATATGTGACATTGCTATTGTATTAAATCTGACTCGGTGTAAAAGATGTTGTGGGCGACGATATCAAGATTCAAAGGCTAGAAGTCCGACGTAAGTGAACAAGGAAGGCTCGGCCTGCAAAGTCACATCGCGTCAACTTCAACTTTCAAGGAACAGGCCCGTTCAACATCTCGATTCTCGATGCTGAACTGCTTGACCCAGTTTTGCAGATACCTCTGTATTTCCTGATCAATTGTCATCCGTATAGACTCGGATGATTTCGATTTAAAAGATCGCGACGAGGCAATATTCAGGAAGATAGATCTTGATGAATACAAGACTGAATATTTTCCGCTGGGTTTTGTTGATGCATCGTATGTTTGGACAGGTCTCTCAGCAGACCCTTGAGTGTGCCCATTTTACTATCAAATATTATCTATTCGCACACTTAGAATTCCTGTGAGCCTCTAACTTCCATAGAGAAAGAAACTTGCCATGAACGTTGTGAATAGGGCCCGGGACAGAAATGGGTGGGGCCCAGTGAACGCTACACGTGCATATACTTGCATGTTGTTGATGACTGATCGGCACAATGTAGACGCGGTCCTGCAGCTTGAACGGATCCGGTTTATACGATTTTGACTGGACTGATACGTGATAGAAACGAACGTGAAAGTGAGTAAGAATATGACAAGAAAATATAAGCATAAATACAGTTTTCGTCTAGTTGGGCACAGCCGGCAGCGAGGGAAGCTCCACTTGGACTGGCGATACATATTGTCAACGAGGACGGGCTTCGATAGTGTGAATCGTTTACGAGGGAGCTTGTGGGACGGATGGACGTGGCTATTGAAGGGACGTGCAAGGTCATTGATTGGATGGATAGATGCACACCTAGTTAATGAGTGGTGTTTGGGAGGGTATGACAGGCGTTGGAGTGGCAGGTAGCAGTTAGGCCCGGCAGTTACACGGATCAACGCTTGATACACGAGAGGTGCCTTCAATGATGTGTCTTCTGGATGGAAAGTCGCAAACGGCCATGGGAGAGCAGCAGACCGAGGTATACACAAGAAAATTGAACTAGTACGGCGACATCATGACGAGCTCGATGATAGCGACGACGAAAATGAAGTCGTATTTGGGCCAAGGCAGGATGTTGGGATCCGACGAATCCGAGGGAGAGAGAGCCGAAGGGACAAGAGCCGAGGGAGAGAGCAGCAACCGGCCGAAGGATAGAGCCAGAGGAGAGGATGTCGAGTGCGAGCGCATCCAAACGGAGAACGAGAGCGACGTGTCATGGTCGGCTCGTGCGCTGTCCATCTTTTAGTTTATTTTTCCCTATATGACTGTACCTGGGACACTCACCTTATAAGCCCAGGTACCCGCATCCAAACATCTCAGTTTCGACACGAATACTGAGATGTAAGTTAGCCTTTTCGTAACGTTCGACTATAAGTCTAACGTCCTAGTAGATTCGTACCTTTGTTTAGGTACAACGTTTGTCAATAAGAGTTTCGACACGAATACTGAGATATTCGTACCTTTGTTTAGCCCCGCGTGACCGTCTCGCTATACGTTAGTACAAGACAGGACTGTAAACTTGTGTAAAGAAACGTTAGTCACCCGGTGGCACCTACTATGTCGGATGATTCCAAATCGAGGTCCACTTAATGATTTGCACATAAGGGGTTAGCGCTTTAGCTGCGGCTACAGCATGACCGTCACAAAGTGCTACGTCGGTTTAGTATATATGACGAACTAAAAGTGTGCACTAACTAAATCCAGCTCGAGGTATGCATATATGAGCGCTGAGCGCTTGAGCCTCGAAGGACTCTACGCGAAGGTTCGTTTTTTGGATTTTCAACATTCAGATCTTGCTTCTCCCGGCAGAACATGTACAGCTGGCAAAACCATGTTCTGGCAGTTTCAAAAACTTGAAGTACCTCCATGCTATTATGCTATATAGTACTACATCCTCCCACGGTTCTGCCTGTGGGCCCAGGAGTTCTCCCCACAACACTACTAGTTGAGGGCCACGGGACGATGCGCTGCGGAACCTCGAGAAACATATAGCGAGTGGATAGAGACGGTACGAGTATTTTCTGGTGTGGATGTTCATTATGTTTCACAGTTTGTGGTCCTAGGGTCCTTTCAAATCGAGTTGCGCTGTCACAACGTTGCACCATAGCCTATACCTCCTACTATCCTACACGATTTGATCCTGCATCTATATGACAATAATCAAGTAAAATATGACAACGCGGGCCCTAATCCCTTTCCGACACTAGCCGCAGAATCAACTGCCAGGCGTGTCCGTTTATGTACTATATGGAACGAGGCTCAGGACAATTCAGAAGCATCCTGGCTTATACTACTACCGCGCACTCGGATAAGTCGACTCTCCCTCTCAAAGACGTACGCCGGACTAGTCACGAGTCTAGGATCTAGGGACGATGACGGTATAACGCCGCCCGCTATCATGTACAAGCCTCCTGGTTGCTCCGTGTCAACTTCATATTTAAACTCCATTGTAGGATAGCATGTATGCCCCATCCATCGCTCAATTAGCCTCTATTGTCCATGTCCACACCTTTCCCCAGCAATGAAACTGCAATGCAGGCTCCCGAAAACGTCTCGCAACTCGTCAAAGACGCTGGAAATCCCAGCCTTGTCGACCTCTCGGATACACTAGGTTTGCCCGAAGGTGGTTTTGACGCTTGGGGCACAGTGCTAGGCTCGTAAGTGCATCTGTCCACTTATCAATCACTGCATACTCACCATCAACCGCGACTGTTAAGTTTCTTGATTCAATTCTGTGGCTTCGGGTAAGTTCCACCCGGCATCTATGGGCCCCAACTACTAACACGTTCCAGATATGTCAGCGCTTACGGTGTCTTCCAGGGCAAGCATATTTGTGAATTATCTTACTTGGACGGACTGACAACCACGATATGCAGACTTTTACACTCAAACATACCTAACCAATTTCACACCATCTGCAATCGCGTCAGTAAGCTCTAGATCTACCTAGGCCGTTTCTTAGCTGCCAATGTTTCTGACTTCTACCGTGGTGTAGCTGGATAGGAAGTGTCAATGCGTTCTTGATATTATCAGTTGGTATCGTGTCAGGAAGGATGGTCGACCAGGGTGCACTGTATGTGTGCAAGAAGTCCGCATAAAGACGTCCCTGATCATATATTTTCAGTTACCCTGTGATGAAAATCGGCTGTCTCCTTCAATGCTTCTTCCTCTTTATGTTGTCCCTAACGAAACCAGATGGGTATTATCAAGCAAGTCTTGTTTCTGTTAGAGCGCAGCTTCGTTGACCGTATTGTTGTGTATGTAGATATTCCTTTCCCAAGGTATCGGTCACGGTATTGCAATAGGCCTCACAAATGTTCCGTCCATCGCCATCGTATCGCATCACTTTCAGCGACGCAGAGCTGTTGCGATGGGAATTGTCGTTGCGGGGTCGTCACTGGGTGCGATCTTGCACCCCATCATGCTCAACAATCTTATCAATGGAAGACTTGGTTTTGCAAATGGTGTCCGTGCAAGCGCGACCCTGAATGGTGGCCTGCTTTTCATCGCAAATCTCTTGATGCGAACAAGGCTTCCACCGCGACCAAAGGCCGTCAGCTACACCCGCGTTCTGCGAAACTCGTCGAGAGATGGCGCTTACATGTGTGCTTGTGTGGGGTGCGTAAGCTTTGCAATACTCGATGATATGAACATTGAAGTTGTTTTCACTGGTTAGGATGGCTGCTTTTGAATTCGGGTATTTTTTCGAAGCCTTTTATCTCCAGTTAGATTCCACCCTGCATGGTCTAAGCCAAGGATTTTCATTTTATTCAGTGCGTATCAGAGACTACTCAAATAATCAAGAACTGCTTATCACTCCGACAGCTCACAATTTTTAGTTCTGGTTCTTTCATCGGAAGACTTACTGTGGGTTTTGTCTCTGCCTACGTGGGCATCCCAAACACGATCGTTGGCTCTTCATTAATATCCTCCGCCGTACTATTTGCAATGATTGGCTTGCACTCGGCTGCCAGTGTAGCTGTGATAGCTGCAAGCTATGGTTTTTTTTCCGGCGGTGGTGCGTAGGTTCATGATGCTCCTCTGACACTCACCAAGATTCGACCCCAGTTGTAGCGATGATGGGCCCGGTGATATCGATTCTAACTCCTGAAATCTCACACATTGGGTAACTATTTGACACTTGCCCTTGAATCTCTCTGACACTGCTCAAGTGCACGGATAGGGATAGCGTTTGCAATAGCTGGTAAGTCTGTGGGTCTGTATTTGGCGACACCCTGAGTATTCACTATTCACAGGCATTGGATCACTCCTGGGCACGTGCGCTGCGTACCTTTTCTCGACCGTCACTCACGTTCAACTTAGGTGCACCGATTTGTGGAGCATTCTTGACATCGCATTATATCTGGTGGAAGGCTGTTATCTTTGCTGGGGCGAGTGAACCATGTCAATCTGCACTGCTGGTTTTTGGCTAACACACCACCTAGAGCGTCGCTACTGGCGGCTGTATCATGTTCGTATCTATGCAATTCATCTTGGAGATGCGTCAAAGATCTTCACGTGTTTGCTCCAAGGAGGCCGATGTCTGATTTGTGTCACCCGAGCATGTATGTAAAGTCATTCGCGTTGTACATGAGAGAGAATCTCTATATTTATATACCGAACAACGTTCGGACGCGGTGATCCGCGAGCTGTATAGCGTAGGAAAAAGTTATACTTAGTATGAATAGCCAATATGAGTCTGTTTTTGATGTTAGTGTTTTCTAGCTTGCGCTTTCATCCACCCGGATGGTGCCTATGTTGATTTGATATGATACAACCCCTCCATATTCCCCATCTTCATCCTCCTTCACTCGTCACTCGACCCTCGCTACCCTTCGCCCACGCTGTACATAAACACTCACTGTCGATGGGTTGTGATATAATGAGAATAAATGTTGCTAACAACGTCACAAAGTTACATCGATCGACGCCACTTCACTACAACGTCCTTTTATATATAGATATCCGCATATATAAGATTTGATTCCACAATACTAAGACGACCGAGGAGTGGGTCATGGGAAACGGAACTACATGGTATGATATTGCAACATACGTCCGCGTACGTGAAGATGACGAAGCTACGATACTAAAGTCCCTGAGAGTCCGAGTGGAGCCGCTGGGCCACATCGCGACAGAAGCTGATATAAGACATGATGAACGCAGGTGATATAGTTTTTGACGGGGAGACAAGTACGCAGGTGAATGAGAACAAGGGACATGCACAGAATTATGAACGACGGCTTTCAACCTATGTAAAGTGTAAAGGAAAGAGAGAAGACTCGTTAGAAATGTGAGTAAATGCATTTTTAAAGTGAATAAATCAATTTGAGATTGGTTTTCGAAGGTTAGTATATGCAGGGGGAAGCTCGACGGTGTCTGGCTGGCCCTCGGCCTGCTCGTCTGCGGCGCCTGCGTCGTCGTGCTGAATGATGTTAATAGTCCGGAGCTGTCTTGGCGTGGGAGATTTGCGGGAGCTGCTTGGGATTGTACCACCAGTGATACCCATTTCATAATCAGGCGTCGCAGATCGCATATCGCTGAAACTCCCGAACGTAGACTGTCTACGGTCCGAAGTGCCGTAACGTGAGCCTGACATGGCTGTGCCAGCTCTGCCCTCTTCATGTCCAACCATAGGAGATGTTTCTGCCGGCTCAGTGGCAAGGAAGGGTTCGGGACGGTAGTAATTCCCGAGTTCATCAGGTGCTAGATCATGATCGTCTTCTGGATCACCTTGAAAGAGGTCGACGGGACGTTCCTTGGTGACCTTGGTGGCGGTTTTACGACGGATAAAGTAAAACCCTGCGAGCGCAAGGATGACGAGTGCAGCAAGGCCACCGATAATGCCGCCTACAGTGCGTGAGACAAACATTGAAGGAGCGGATATGAAACGAGCTTACCAACTATTGCGCCGACATTGGTTTTGCTGTGGTGGAGATGGTTAAAAATAGCCATCCAGGTGGTGAACAACATGGCCTACCTGCTGCTGCTGCCAGTGTTACTAGTGGTTTCTGTACTGCTGGGGCTAGTTGGGTATGTACCACCTGCGGGAGAACCGATAGTGGATGAGGGCGAGGTGGTGGTTAAACACGAGCTGTTTGGATATATGCCTGGTGCGACGGTATAAAACCCACTTCCTCCTGTACCTAGCCCACGGTCGTCTCCGGCAACTATCATGAGGGTGGTGCCTTCGCGGACAGAGGGTATCCAGCTAAACCCAGTGCCCTCGTTAGATACCTGTGTGATCGAGCCTTCGGGAATTGAAAAGGATTGTCCACCAGGGATGACACCTTGAAAGGATGGAGTGCTGTTGAGGCATGTTGTTTGAAGGAGGCTGGTATAAGGGAGAAAAAAGCGTACCCTTCGACTTGCGTAGGGTCCCACCACAATCTACTTGCATTGCATTGTACGACCTGGTTGGTGGGATATATGTTGAATGGAAAATCTGGCATGACGGTTGTATTTGGGTTAAAGCAACTGTTGTCGGTGCTGCTCATCACATAACCAGCAACGCTAGTCCCGCCAGATCCAAAACCAGTGCTATCGCTGACCTACATACTTGTGAGCTTATAAACGAGACGCGTCAAAAGTGAAGATACTCACCACGGCGACGAACTGGGATGTGGACGGGTATTTGAGTTGGAAGCTGGTGCTAGTGGAGCTACCATCAAACTGTTGATAGACGATGGTGCGGACCTCTGTGTTATTTGGGAGAGGTGTGGGGCCATATGGAATGACTAGAACACTGTATGGAGGAGAGCCAGAGCCAGATATTTGTAGGGATAAGGTGGCGCATTGCTGAGGTGTGGTAGTAAAGGACCAAGTGTAACTGGAGACAAGAGGAGAGAAAGAGAGAGCCAGTTGGGATGCCACGAGATATCGGTGCATTGTCGACGTCATGACCAAGTCGTGACCTCAAAAATCTGTTATCAGACTTTGTGAAACTATTTCAGATTCCTCGGTTCATTCGTAGAGGCGAGAAGGACTTGCAACGGTGGACGCAGAGCGTATTTTAGTTAATACTCGGAAGCGGTGGAGAGAGCCCGACACGCCACAGCCTGTCGTAACCAGTGAAACAACAATATAAGCGCTCGCTGTACGAAATTACGATTAGCTCACTTAATCGCTGTCACGCATGACACGCACGGCCTCCAGTTTTTGCACTGACCTTGACCTTGCAATGATAATGTCTAAGTATTAACAATATTAACCACTAATACAGCGAGCATTACAAGAGATACACCATATTAAGGTTATTTTAATTCCCACGCATCACCTTCTCGAGATCGACGCTAGAGCCTTGCCGGTAACTTCTTGCTTCCTCTCGCCCACAACACTACACGCTGTACCAGTGCATTCTACACACCCTTCTCTACTCGGGCCACTATTCATATTTATATTTTTAACGTTGATCAAACCCACAGATACCTATTATAATGACGTTGATAGTCGACCAACCCCCTCGTGCACCCCCCATCAAGTATACCGCTCATTTAGGAACTCGCTGGCAGAAAGAAAAGGCTGCCGCAGGTCACGGCGCCTTCGAGTTTCCCGAAGATCCGAGGTATATCGGTCAGTGGATCATCGGCGAGTGCGTCGGCAAAGGTGCAAGCGGTCGCGTCCGCATCGCAAAGCACCGTCGTACCGGCCAACTCGCCGCAGTCAAAATTCTTCCCCTTCAACCACTAGTCAACTCCCGTGCTTCCCTTGCCACACAGCAGGCAAAATCAGAAAAGCAGCGGCTGGGTATCGACAGAGAAATCATCATGATGAAGCTCATGAACCACCCAAACATCCTCCGTATCTACGATGTATTTGAAGGCGAGAAGGAACTTTACCTCGTCCTCGAGTACGTAGAAGGTGGCGAGCTCTTTGACTTTCTTGTCAACCGCGGAAGGCTCCCTCCTCTAGAGGCTCTCTCCTTTTTCAAGCAAATCGTCTATGGACTTAACTATGCTCACACTTTCTCTATCATTCATCGTGATCTTAAACCCGAAAATATCTTGATTCACTCACTAAAACCGCCACTCATTAAACTGGCCGATTGGGGCATGGCCGCCTTTGCCCCTCCTGCCCTACAGCTCGAGACTAGCTGTGGAAGTCCTCACTACGCAAGCCCGGAGATTGTCAACGGTCTGAAATACAGAGGCAATGCCACCGATATCTGGAGCTGCGGCGTTATCCTCTTCGCGTTACTTACCGGCAGGCTCCCATTCGACGACAAGAATGTCAGGATTCTTCTTTCTAAAGTGAAGGCGGGCAAGTACGACATTCCAGCCTACATCGATCCTCAGGCAAAAGACCTCTTAACTCGCATGTTGGTAGTAGATGTTAACCGTCGAATTACGGTAAGCGGTAGTTCTTTATTATTTCCAACATTATCAAACGCTCTCAGATTCCCGAGATAATGGCTCACCCCTGGTTCAACAAACCAACTCCCGGGATTGTCTATGTTCCAGCTCCCTCTGTCGTTGAATTAGCTCTTCCCCTCCCGTCAGCGGCCCGTATCGACCCTGATCTTTTGGAATCTCTTCGCGTCATCTGGGGAAGACATGGCGACATCGAAATGATCAAAGCCGACCTCTTGAGCTCACCAGGCGAAGGCACATTGGCTAAGGCATTCTATTTCTTGTTGCAACACTACCGCGAGCAAACTTTGAAAGATCATGGCATTATTCTCGATGTAGGCGAGACGCCTGTGTCTCCTGGCATGAAGGTTATTACAAAACAATACATGTCCCCCCCTCCAAAGAGAAGCGTCGATGCAGATGCGCATTCTTTACGTCTGCAGAGTATTCGGGATGCGCCTCCCCCTCCGTCCCGCACACCATCACCACAGCAACCTGGTCTGGCGTCTCCTTTCCTTGATGGAGCTTTACGAACCCGACCTCCGTCCCCGATTGGACCCAGGCCACCTCGTGTCCGACCTATGTCCTCTCCAGCCCGTGAGGTCCCCATACGTCATAAGAGCATGAGAGTTGGCCATACCATCGCTGATCCTGTGAATGCCCACCCCGAGCCCCAATACAGGACGCGTGCATCAACCGTCTCCCTTCTCTATCCTCGAGCGAATCAGGACCAACACAGTTATCACGCTCACAACCAGCAAATGTTCCAGCCTCTGGCCGTTCCAAGCACACCGCCAATGGGGTCTCGTTTTCCTGGCGCTCCTGCACACCCCGCCCTCAACCCTTGTATTATCCGAGCTCCTATTCCAGTCTCCGCTGTTGCGAACGAACAAGTTTCAGCAAACTCAATAGAAGTCGATATGCAGCCTGCGACGGGCTCTGATCCGGATTGGGTGAACGTTCTTTCTGCGTGGCACACTGTGGCGCAGGGGTACAATCAAGAGCAGGCTTTCCATTCTCCGACTCGAGGATACAGTGAAACATTTGTTAACCGTCATGGATATGCCCCGTTGAATGGCCCTATGGTCGATTATGAGTATGACCGATTCTCCAGTGGAGCCAATAAGGAGAATCACGACCATCATAACTTCCGACAGCCTTACCGGGAGGGCGGCGATATCATGCAGGCACGTGGTGGGCTGTTTGGTGGTAAGCTCAACGAGGGACGCGTTGGTCGCGAGTTGCGCAACAGTGTCTATGGTGCTCGTGAGGTCATGAAAGAAAAAGACAAAAAGGCACGACGTAAGGGTTTTTCTTTTTCTCTGTCGACCTTAAATATTAACATCTTACCAGCCCCCGCGCTTGATTTGCACCCACAAATTCACCCATCCAAGCGTTCCATCCTCGGCTCGCCACTCCAGATCCCCTCACCCGTCATGCCCTCTATCCTCGCCTCCCCTGTCGGCGAAGTCAAAGGCTGGTTTTCCAACCTCTTCAACTGGAAAGCACACACCTACGTGCTCTGTTCGACGGACACGTTGTACGCCACGCGCAACGAGGCCGTTCGCATTCTCGAGCACTTTGGCGTCATCGTCGGCCTTGAGGAGACGGATGGGCACGGGGTTCTTCCGATGTCGTATGAACGACCTTATCGACACGATGTCAGGATCGGTCGTACAGAAACAAGTTCGGTTCCGTGTCGAGTTCTCCTCGTCATCTTCGTCCTCGTCATCTCCACGGTCCCCCACCCCTGCTAGTCCACGATTACCCATGTATCATGCTTCAGGACCGATGTCGCCTACGTTTCGATACGGGTTTGGGAAGCCGTCGTTAGGGAGCGGATTCACCTGCGCGATCCTGCTTGTGCAAGAGAAGGGGTCGTTGTCTAGTTTTAGGATGGTGTGTAGGTGGCTGAGGGAGGAGTGGGCGTTGGATGCTTTGCAGTCACCTGTTGCTGTAACTGGGGCGTTTACGGAGCGGCTTGCGGTGTGACGCGGCGAGACTTACACACTATGTCACCCCCTGTCCTTATTTGACGAGAATATCAGACGACTCGTATACAGGTTATGTCATTTTACATCCGATAAGTTAGAATACGGTATCGGTACAAGAAAGATCCTAGAGTGAAATGAAACTACACATAAACTATACGAGTAATCAGAGTGAAAACAATAATATGAGTGTTCGGAGACAGCCAGCCAGCCACAAACACGACCCAAATCATATAAAGTCCTAGATCAGCCTACACATCACAAATAATACTGGACAAGCCGTGGGACTCTAAACAATTGACGCGGGCACCTCTGCAGGGTGCTCGCTTTCTGTGGCCTCAGCGGTATGTTCGCCGTCAGAACGCGCCACGCTCAGACGCATGAGGCCTGAACGGATGCTATTGAACATACCGCCAGGCGCCGGCGGCGCGGTTGCCAGAGGGTCGTCGTCGTGTTCATCCTCACGCTCATGCTCGTGTTCGTGCTCATGTTCGTCATCCTCATGCTCGTGCTCATCGATGGACGCACGATGTTCATCGTCGGATATATCCTTCGTCGGAGGTGTCGTTGAAATCCGTAAAAGTGAGGTGTAAGCTGAATATGTACACGATATGTCAGGCAAGACGCAAGTAAGATATATGTAGCTTACGTCGACGGCAGACGGGGCAAAACCAGCCTTTTGCCTTCCGCTTTCTCCGCATGTTCTGAGCCATCATGGTGGGTACTGGAGCTGTGGGTGCTGGAGCTGAACCTTCTGTAGCTGAAGCCTCACCACCCGCGGGTGCAGTTGTGGTTTCTTCAGTGTGGATAATATTGCCACCAGCACCGAATTCGACCATATTAATGGCACATTCCTTGCATGCGACGAGGTGGCGGCAAGGGAGTAGAATGACCTCGCGTGGGGAAGAAAGGCATAGTAAACACTCAGATGAAGGTTCATCCTCGTGTATAGGCGCTGCGGATGCAGACGTGGGCGGGTAGGTATGTGCGTCCGGTGTGGAAGAAGCCGCATGTGGTTGAGAGGATGAAGTAGAGGAAAGACCATAGATCTCGTGCAAGTGGAACGTGTGAGGTCCAATCTACAAATCATAAAATAAAAAAAGTATATAGTGACCAGATACGAAACGCACTGTGGCTTCACGTTTCACAACCTTGACGACCCAGGACCTGGTGTCTTCTTTTTCATCATCGGGCGCAGTGCCAAAACGGACGACATGGAGGTATGTTATCTGCTCGTTGACCACAGACAGGTCGGTACCGTCCTCGTCCAACGCTGATAACCGGATAGTGACTCGAACACCATCCTTCACCTCTTCTTTGTCCCCTTTCTCTTCACTTCCTTCAACTGTGGGTGCAGATACTTCTGCATCGACAACGGCGAGCGCCGGTCCTGATACAGACGTGCTAGTGGAGCGCTTCCGGAAATTGAAGCCCGTAAAGCGTTTCCGGACACGGTCGTTCCTACTACTAGCAGGAGCGGAGGAGTCAACACTATCTGCTGCTCGGGACGACTCAGGAACTCCGGTAATCTGGGAAGAGGCAGTCTCTGCTTCGGTATGTTTGTGCTCAAACCTTCCTAATTCGAGGGTTGCACCTTCATCTAGATGCAATACTTTACCAAAACCACCGTCAACGATGGATTCGAAAACGGAGATGCACGAGTAGCCTGTGCTATCTATGGTCTCTGCGTAGGGGTGGTCGGCAGGTAGCACCACACTAACGTTTATGCGACACTTGGCTGCGTCGCAATCATATTCGAATTCCAAACCATGGTTATGGTGAGAATCAACTTGGTCCGGATCATCTCCCGATGAGATGATCAAAGGACATAAGCGGAGCGTGGGCCGCTTGAGATTGACCAACGCCTGGAGAGTAGTCGTTGGCTGTGAAGGCTGTGCATGAGTCAGTACATAAGACGGGACATCAGACGACGCTTGAAACACCTCTTTGCTTCTGGTAATCCAGTTCTGGATGATATTTGAAGAGACATTATCTGCGGGAGCCTTTTGTCCTAAGGATTGAGCCCACTGGGGTGTAGAGCCGACGACGCCAATGTTGGGCCCAAAGAGGGTCTCCTGTTTCTTCTCCTTCTTGGATGAATTATCGTCCATGTTGATGATAACGGCATCTTGTGTATTTGTGCGAGCCATGGAGGTAGCAGTACGAGATGTGTGGGTATCGGTGCGAGCTAGGAAAGGAGTAGCGTGAAGACGACGAGTGCGATTCCAAGTTGAATACTGATTGTGATCTACAAGTCGCTATATGATTAATAGGGATAGAAAAGGATTAGCAGGGTTTAATTCTTACACCAAGTAGAGATGGAAGCCATCCTCGTGGGTTTAGGATGAAGAAGCGCAGCCAGATCTCAGTATAGCAACTTCCGCCTACTGTGGGAAAAAGCCGATGCTCCTACCGACCAATCATTGATCATTCTAAATTAGTCTGCTCTAGCTATCCTTTCAAACTTTGGCTTCAATCTTCACAATTTCATGGTTCACAATTAATTATCGTGTTTCAGGCATGGGCGTTCTTATTGCAGCATGTCATAATAGTATCATGGTGTGTGATAGGTAAAAGAAAAAAAACAATGATGATAGGACTCGGAGCCTATGCCACTAGCGACACGACACCGCCAGCCTCCTTAATTTTAGCTCTGTGCACTGCGTGAGTATACTCTCAGGAATGAGGGAGCGCATTCAACATACTCTGCCTTCTGCGAAACAAAACGTGCCTTGACGATAAAAGGAAGCTTGGGCAGTCTGCTTCAAAGTCAGAATTTATACGAGATCAAAGTAGATCACGACTCACTGTCCATTACCAAGCACCTTTCCATAGCCATGTTGGAGGGTGTCAATGACAGGAACAACCTCAGAGTCCTCCGTCAACCCTTGCTTTTCCGCTTCAGGCACAAGCGTCCATAGTTTATCAACGTTAATGATAGGCCGCCATTGTGCGTTGCGGGTCAAATGGTAGTGGCGCATACCAACTTTACCGAAGTAACCAGGATGGTACTTATCGAAGTTGGTGCTGAGGGTCATCAAATTTAATTCGCTGCAAAGAGCCTGATATCAAATCAAACACACCGGTGGTGGTGCTGACCACCAGCGAGACCGCGACCTCCGGGATGTTTACGGTGCTTTCCAACACGACCATGACCGGCAGAGACGTGGCCACGGTGCTTGCGAGTCTTTGAGAGATGGGTCGGCATTTTCTGTAAAACCAAGCATCCAATATCAATAATCTGATGCATCCAAGTCGGGCCCCATGCATCCAGCAGCAAGATATCATCTCTCAGCACCACGACACCTCCATTCGACAGCTCCGGTCGCGTATAATCTCCTGCTGGATAAACGGGGCGTAATAAACGAGCATGAACTGACCTTGAGGCGCAAGTGTTGATGTCGGTGACCTTGCCTCTAAGTTTCTCGATGCAGGACTGTCGGCGGTTATAGCGGAGTTTCAAAAGTCGGCTTTGCGCCAAACCCCTACCTGTACCACCTTCACGGCCTCAATCTTTTCAGGGCATATCCTGAGGTGAGTTTCATCATCAATCAGCACGCAAATGATGGCCTTTGGTACTATCTTGGTGCATGTTGTCTAAGAAAAATCTTTCTTATGGACACAATTTATTTTTCTGATACTTTTTGTGTTTGTTTCGAGGTTCTGACGACCTCTACCCCAGATATACACAAATTTGCTGGCCGAGACAGTGATAGTAGGTGCGAGCATAGGAGAAAAAGCAGGGCTCTACGTGATAATTGTCATCGCATACTGTGTGTTGAATTGAACGATGTTCGTGACTACCGTGTCCCTTCCTCGCCACTGCGAGCTTATACAAGTCTCCACGGTGCTTCCTTACAGCCATTATGAACGCGCCAAACAGATTTGAGCTCTTTGTCCTCGAAGACGGCGAGAAACCGTGCGTTTCTGCAATTGCATCTTAAAGCAGACGCTTGACAGATGGGTCACAGTGTCGAAGTCACAGAAGACACCAAAATACCCAATGCAGCCACTTTCAAGATCGTGAAGCAAGACCATACGTTGGGTAACATGATTCGCGCGTACGTCTCTACTAAGCACCCATGTTCTACCTCCTGGAGTGTGTGAATTGTCTTCCAGACAAGTTCTTTCGATGCCTCAAGTGCTCTTTGCCGGATACAAAGTACCTCATCCACTACATCCCTATTTCCTGTTGAAAATCCAGACGGATGGGACCATGACGCCGCAAGCTGTCCTGGAGCAAGCCTGCACGAAACTCATCGCCACGATATCCTCGCTTGAGGCAAAGTTCAAGCGAGAGTTCTCCTTTAAGACGACTGAGGGTAATGTGCCAGAGGATCCATATGGCACGACGGGCGCAAGTGCGCAGAACTGGGGGACAGGGAAGGATTATTTGGATTTTTAGGATACACATACCTGTCACGTCATGGTCGTACATGTGTATATAATATCGCCTTTGTTGGGTATACCAAGTTTTGCACCCCGAACCACACGGATCACCGCGGCAACGTGTCTGCAGTGATATTTCACAGGGTGCATTGGGTGCGTTGTCATTGTGCGCAGCTAAACACAATATATGGTTACAAATAAACCATAAGCAATGTAGGGTGCCGTAGAAAACACCGTGGATAATTATGCAGCTTTACGTGCAGCAAACTTCGCCTTGGATTTCGCAGCACGCATGGACTGCTTCTCCTGCCAGCTACGTTTCCTCTCTTGGGTTGTACTAATCCCGACTCCTGACCGCTCGTCCTCGCTCGCTGCCCTGATTGATTCATCTATGCACTCTTCCATTTTCATCTGCACCGTCGATTCAAAATCTCCGCCGGTGGAATTTATAGACGCATCCACCGTCCATTCGAAATCGAAACCCCATCCACGTCGCAGTAACGGTGCATGAAATCCATCCGACCCCGTCGGAAGCTTTTCTGGAACCGAAGCAGATACAAGACCGCCTTCATTGCGCCACCATTCTACGAACCACTTTGCTGCTCTCACGGTATCCTTCTCGCCCCCTCGTAACAGCATATTAAGCCGTATCGCAAGTTGCTCCAAAAAATCTTCCGCATCTGTAGATGGACGTGAACCAGGCGGGAGAAGTGTCAAGTATGCTGGCGCTATGTCTATCGTGTCAGAACCGCAAGGCAGTGACAGTACAGCAGACGCACAAATAGGATTTAGCACGTTCAGCCTATACAGCAAGTATGCAACAAGCGCTTCGATGTCATATAAGCCCTCTTTAATGCCGGCTGCGGTGAAGTATATGTCAGCCAAAAGTGCACCGGTGATAAAATACATTTTACCTATGAGAGCAAGTTTGACTCCTCGCTCTGCACCCCGATCACCTCTCCCAAGAAATGGTAGCATTACACCGGGCGAATCGTATGAATATACGAGCGGATCTTCTGAGAGCTTAAGGCGGGTCGAGATAGCGCGTGTATGGCCAGGCTGTGCAGATGTTTGTAGTGCCTTTGGCGTCCCTGCGTGTATGTGGTTAACTCATTTTGAGGGGCCAATGTATGATTTAAACTCACGACCTGGGATACCCATATTGCGAAGGGAGTTCAATAATGTTGATTTGCCAACATTAGGCATGCCAATCACCAGAACATTCATCTCAGTTGCATGAGGGTTCCTCTTGGCTATATCTAGATTTTTCGTCAGCTCCATTGCGCCAAGAAAAACACGGTAGACATGTCGAGAAAATCAGCCACATACTTATGAGCATCTCGCTCAGGGATCGTATGTCTCGCGGTTTATTACAAGAAGCAAAATGCACCGTTTGATCAGGAAATTTTGTTTTCATGGCTCTCTTAAAGGGCTGCGTTTAAAGGGGGATGAGACAGCACGATAAACAGGGGAGGCAAGAAATTACCTCGACGCCCCATTCAGGGACGAAGTCACGCTTGTTTAAGACCACGATACGTTCGCAGATTGGGCCACCATACCCTAGGGACGACTTCCCAGATGTAGTGGGAGAAATAGGAGTGACATGGGTGGAGTGGTGGCCCCGCTCGGCCCTCCATTTGTTGATAGCACCTGTCAAAAATAGAATTTATCAGGGCCGATAATGCTACCCGTCGTAAAATAGGGTGATTCCAGAACGGAGCAAGAACGGAGCAAGTTCTGGATAAGAAAATAGTCACATAGGTGACAGCGGGAGCAATTATAGGGTGGAACTGGAACTAGACCGAGATAATGTTTTTCTTTCTCAAAACGGCTACGCACCGGGACCGAATAATAGGTAGGCCGGAGGAGATAAGCTTACCTTCTAGATTGTTGTTAATGCTAGTGAGAGGCAGACGAGAGTCTCTGAGCTCCAGGACAACATCTGTACGGGACAGTAGTGCTGGAAGCTGCTTCGTGAATCGGTTCATGTGCCCAGGGAACCATGACGGTGGGGATGGAAGCGCAGGAAGTAACATGACAGACATCATTTTGAGCGAACCGTTAATTAGATATAATACTGTGGATTCAGTCGGTAGCAAAACGGGCTGATGGCTTCCGACCGGAGTTTGGTCCGGGAAAATGGAGAGAAGTGGGCTCCGCTGTGACCTGAGACAATTGGAATGCAGGATAAGCAACGTAACGCCTATAATAAGCGTTGTCCTATTGAACCAGCTGTTATGATCTTCCAGTTGTGTGATGTTGGTTTGTGACAAAAGGATTACCGAAGTATAGTACACTGCTTAGAATGAACATGGTTGTTTGGCTTTATTGAATTCTAAAGCCTCCGGCATCTCGGCACAATCAATCACTACGACTTGGTGAGTGCAAATATTGACGGAACTTCCGCGATTGCAGGGAGATCCGGTTTGGACCGGGCAGTGGATCGGCGTTCCTTGCATGAAACATCCGTTTAAGTCGTGGATACGATGCTGCTCGCAAACTGGATACCGTGAAAGCACAATCCCAGGTTATTAGGAATTTCATTCATCGGCCGACATCAAAATCGGTCATCATACATACATATATTTAGCAAAGAAAACCCAGAAAGGCTGGTAGCTAGATAAAGAAAGCCAACACCATGACACCCGACCAAACAACGGAAGACGACAAGATTGTATGTTAAAACCAGGCGATACAACAAATACAGAACTAGGACCAAAATTGATATGTGTGCATATACTGTAGCTATAGTTATTGAGATGAGCGAGATAGAGGTGTAAGGAACCAGTTAAGATGGTGGGGAATATACCAAAGGGGGTAAGTTGCAATTCGGACGAAATCCTTCCGACCCGTGGGCTGGTATCAGTATGATTTCAAGGGGCATCGCGATGAGAAGGGCAGAGGTATGATGCTGTGTGTAAGGAGCTATAGAACGTCCATCAGATCATATTTTACAGCGGCATGGAAGGCGGTGAAATATCAGACCATTTATACCCAACCATCCTTTCCAACACCTATTGCGTCGAAACTTTTGCCACTGCGTGTGCGTCTCTCCTGTAGCACAGGAACTGCATCCAGATTGATGAGCTTCTCGGACGGCGCTGGCGAACCCTCCACCCAACCCTTCCAGCCCTTCTTCACAGCAATTCTTTTTTTCCGTGGTTGTGGAGCGCTTCTGTAATGGATGAAGGCATCGGAATCGGGGTAGTCATCTGCAGGCGTGCGGGGGCGCTTCGATGATGTACGGGATGTAGCCGAAGAAACTGACGGTCCGGGGGTAGACTGTGGGGAAGATGCCATTGGAGGCGGTGTAACTGATACAGAGCGCTGCATGGTCGCAATGTGTATAGTAGGTCGGTGACTCGTCCCGCGGGCGCGCCAGAAAGAAGAGGTCTGCACGGCAGGGGCACTGATTGATTGGATAGCTACGATGGGCGCAGGTGGAGGTGCAGTGGCACTCTCCACTTTGATAGGTTTCTCTGGAACCTTGGAGGTCGCTTTTGTCCTTTGTTTCTCCTTCAGACGTTCCCTCTTCTCTTTCTTTTTTGTTCTACGCGTCTCTTCCTCTTTCTCAACTTCCTTGTAAGGTGCTACGCCATTGAGTAGGCTAGTGAGCACATCCCGGGGAGGTCGAAGATCGAAATCGCCAGCGAGGACACTAGTAGCGGTGCGGCGTTGCCGTTTATGCGCCAGAAACATTGGCTGGTGGTGGGGAACCAAACGACTTGTTGTTGAGAGGGGCATGGAGTAGGGGGAGGTATAAAAGAAAGGCGCAGTGGAGTCGTGTTTTAAAGTAATTCTCATTGCTTGTTGTACACTTACGGCAAAAGGATAAGCACCCACAAACAAATCATCGTTGATTCTTCCACACCACAACCATATCAATCACGGAACCTTCCACGCTTCCTTGGAAGTCCCTAGAAACATGATCATTCTATACGATCCTGGTCACCGGCCTACGCCAGACCAGTGGCCCAAACAAAAGATATAAGTCATTTTCCCTCTTGAGCTTGACCAAACAGCCTGATGTGGCAGCTGCTGTGCAGCCTTGCACGTTTTTGGTCCAACGCTGATATGGTCTGGGAACATTCCAGGAACTGCGCTCCCGCCATGTTTCTAATCTTGCTCTATTGTGTACTAAGATTGGTTATAATACTCTTATCCATCGCAATCAGATGAAATTAACATCCCCTGAATGGTGCTGATTTTTCTAACAGAGCTTCTACAGCATCTTGATTCTTGATAGGTGCTTACTGGTGGTCCATTTGACTTCAGTCAGTAAAAATATACCTACGGCTCGCCGCATCCGGGCACTCGCCGTTAGGATCCATTCAAGCCCCGAAGAACAAAGAAGGTCTTCCAGATCCCGAGTCCCTCCCGCGCATCCTCCACGACAAACGGATGGGCCTCACGGCGTTATTGCGGCATGCCGTAGTTGTCGAGCGCGCCTTTTAATCGAATTATTAAGACGGTCGCCAATTTACGCACTAGCTCTAGATCTGTCCTACTTTGTAGTTTTCAGTAGGTCTTCTTTACCACCGTAAATCACGCACTGACACACGCCTATGGCGTGTGCTTGGAGAATCCATCACTCCGCGACGATGTACTTCCCTATGGGGCACAACGAGGCCTAATACCTAAGCAACTCTGCTTCCGTCATGGTGGAGCAGATACACGTGAATGAACGTGGACCTTCATTTTGGAGAACGTAAGTCGACTCCACTCATATTCACTAAAATTCAATGAGACAGATCTTGAAGGACGCCAATCACAGCCTCGAGGCTCGCGTGCGGCTCGCGTGTTGTACAAGAATTTGCCGAGTTTCAGGCGGAACACAATAGTGCAGGTGACACATTTTTTAAAAATAAATCTGTTTACTCTCGTAGGCGATGTCCTGCGAAATAATATGCTTGCGGCATGTTTTCAGCAGTCTGGTGTAGCCCTCCCTGCGACCAATCGAGCAGGAAATCTATGCGACAGAGGTCACTGGTTCCTTGACCTGTTAAACCCTTCAAAACCCTTACCGATGATGAAGGATATTAAATGGTCCTAAAAAGACAACGCCCGGCTCATTTTTTGTTTTTGCTTTGCTTTGATTTCGACGAAACGTCATTGGCCCCAGAACAAGCGAGTTGTTGCATGACGACCGCCCGGGGTTACAACACTTCGAGACAACGTGATGTGGATTGAATTGTCTCGTCACGAGTCTCGACCGCTTTTGCACTTTATCGACATCTACTTATTGTGGCACTGGCGTTTCTTGACAGATTATCGATTGATTTGAGTTTAGGGGAAAGTGGCGATAATACGGCGGGGTAGAAACACATCCCCGCCTATTGCTTCTATCCTTGGTGTCCGGCGCTGCCAGCGAAGTGCCGGATGTTGCCACCGAGTATGCTCTCATCCATCTTGGGATCACAATAATATTTGTCAGAGTGCGAGATTAATAGACCAAAGATCTCGGTTTCAATGTGGTACAGCCTCCTTAATTTTTTTTTTTGATTACACACATATCACTATCCAGGGATGCGTCCACCTGGCTCACATGAGTTTTCTCAGGGCAGATGGCTGGCTGTTCGAAAGGTGACATATTGCTGCGCTGTGGCTGGATTTTTGCTACTTGTAAGTACCGCACTGTATTGTTTTTCAACGGGACCTTCCGGTATGCCGTGCGAAGACACATTAATATTACTTGTAGGGAACACATGGAACGGGGCATAACCTCCCGTCGGAAAATTCAATAGCGGATGATATGTGAGCTCCGAGGGGGTTCGACCTTTCCGGGAAAAACAGATCATAGTCCTCACCACTTTCACAAAGGAATATACAAATGGGTTGCCTTCAAATACGTATGTCAAAACCAGTGTAACGCATCTTTCCCGATCCATTTATAAAGGGTATGTATTTAGACCACGGTTGTAATATTCAACAAAACTGGGGCTAGGAAAAGGCTAGGAGGTACCGTAGTGCGGGTCCTCTCGAAATTCTGCTCCACACGGGTGCACAGAACAAGTAGAGCTATGTAACCGGACAGGATTTGTCGACTTAATTGATGGGTGTTCAATATTTCGAAAAGTCTTGCGCAAAAAAAACCGGACGGCGGGTTACACCTCGAGAAACCAATTAAATTATCTCATTATAGTCCGGCTCTCAAACGAATAGCGAGTTGTACAATATAGGGGGATGGATCGGTGATATGTTCGCCCAGACTTCTCAGGTAAAGACGCATGAACTACTGGTCACCGCTCTCTTGATGACCACCAGCGGCAGCTCTATATTCCTCTATATCCTGGTCCAGTTCAGCAACAGACTTTTTGGAAACATTTGATTTATTTATGCGTCGTGGGCCCCTCTTGCGGCGCCTTGACACGGCTTTCGTTCCAGCAGTCTGAACAGTGCGCGGTGCTACTACGATTTTTTGAAGGGGCCTGAAAAATCGGATTCCATCAATAAATTCAGGAAAACAGTTAAAAAGAATATCTTACACGGGCGAGACGTTTGTGTTCAGTGTTTGACTCTGAGGAGCAAGGGGGCCACTCTTAAGAGTACCCGCGAAATTTCCGATGCGTCCTAGTAGCGAAGGAACTGGAGACGTAGGTGTAGACCCTGCAGACCCTGCGGCATCATCCGAATCAACAATTATTTCGATCTTTATTGGACGTCCTAGGCACAAAATCCATATAAACGGGCCGAATGGACAAGAGGAGCAAGTTTAAATGGCTTACTGCCGTCGATGAGTTTACCATCATACTTCTCACGAGCTGCGGCTGCATCTCCTGGGCGCTGGAACGTTATTACCGCCATCCCTTTCGAGCGCCCTTGTGTATTGTATATCACGAAGCACTCTTTCAAAGGACCTATGGTCTTCTTGAACAGTTCCTATGAACAGTGGCTTGTGGTCCTGTGCCTTTCAGGTGGATGTTGGGATAACCACGCACTTCGACTTCTGTTTCTCCAACATCTACAGGGAGCCTGCTGAGCAGAATCTTGCTTCCTCGTTCTTTCTGCTTGTCCTTGCTGTCCCGCCATGCAGGTGGCACATTTCCAGCTTGGTTTCCGAGAAGATTCCGCTTTGCGCCATGGTAAGAAGTGATACGTGCTTGAGGACGGTCTCGTGCAGACATGATATTCAAAAATCTAGTGATAGGCTGATAGCAAACTAGGGGAGGTGCAAGGTCAGTCGCGTCGACAAAGAACGCGAGTTGCTCGGGAAATGTATTATATAATAAACGGAGGGGTTGATGTGACATTAAAATAGACTTGATGGGGGGTTGTCAATGGTGTGATTGAGATTAGATTTTCCATTTTTGTTCTTGGCCTTCGCACTCTGCAAAGACAACGCTGTTCCTAAATTTGCCGTTTTGTTGCTTGCCCTTCTGCGACAGCAGACGATCCTGAAAGCTCTTTGGTATCACGCTGGTATTAGGCTTGAAAATGGACTCAAGTCGTCAAGATAACAATTTGAACCTCCAGAAGGACTTTTTGGCCTTTCTGTTTCCGGAATCTTCCTCTGACCAACAACGAGGCCATGACTCTCAGCAGAACGAAGTTATGAACGCAGCTGCTGTACACGGTCCCAGTCAACGTTCGAATTCTGGGATGCTCAACTTTACTGGAACCGCCAACCCTCCTTTCAATCAACAATTAGATCTTATGGCTATGAACAATCTCATGTCTATGCAGGGCATGGACAACACGTCACTTCCGGCCCTGCCCAGTTCCACGAGCCTTACACCTCAGGTCATTTTTGAACAACAGTACAAGCTTACTCAGCTGCACCAGCTGCAGCAACTTCAAAATCAAATTCAGAATCAAATTTTTCAGCAGCAGGTGAGTTAACACTCCTGTTCCTTCACGTTCTCCCATCTTGTCTGGTGCAGATGCACAGCAGTGTGATTTGAACGTCATGCTAAAGTATAACCACCATCAGCTTGCCCTTATCAGCGGACAGTCAGCCCTCAACACGCATGATACCAGCGTCGAGCCCGCAAGGGATCAGATTGCATCGTTCAGTGGCCTTCCGACTCCAAGTGAGATTCCTTTGATTTGCCTCCAGGTTGACCCCTCATTGCAATCGTAGTGTCTTCCACGGAGCTCCGCCCCCTGCCTAATCCAGAGTTCCTCAACCGTATTGGTTCACAATACCCCAATCCTCCTCAGGACGTGTACTCATCCCATACGCTTGACCCTGTTTCCCTCCCCTCTCCCCATGACGTTTCCGTCTCCCCGCAATATCTTCGCGACACGCGCCATCCAGGTTCTAGCTCCGCACCTGCCAACATAGTCTTCCATCACACAAGCCCTCCCATGCCGCCTCCAGACCTCGACATTGACATTTCTCCGTTGACGAGCCCCTGGCTTGAGGCATACCATAACCAACGTCCCCCAAATAAGCGCACGATATCACCAAGTGCAGAAGATGCGGCGCGTGCGGTGCGAAAGCGGGGACCCTCCACGACTTCTCCGGCATCAACAGTGAAACAATCCGCAAGGCATGCCAAGAGCGCAACAAATACCCCTCTTCTACGCTCCACAAAGTCCCGCATGAATAGCACCATCATGGAGACAGATTCACCTTCTCCTGTCGACTTGTCGATGCCGCCCCCCGCGCCTCCGGGACCTCGCCAATCCCCTCCCAATTCTGCATCACCGAGCACTCCTGAAGCGACATCGCCAATGACCCCGGTCACTCCCGCAAGCATAATGAATCTTGGCCGTCTGGGTATTAGCAGTAGCCTCACTACTATCGCAGCACCCACGTCTCAGAAATCTGATAGAGCAAAAGAACCTGCTAGGGTCAGGATAGCGCCCGATAGCGGTGCATCAAGCAGAGGATCCAAGAAGAGCGCACTACCGTTCATCAGTCCTGGGCCCAAGTTAATCTTACCAGGTACGTTCTCGTTTTAAATATTGTTGAAATGTTTGGTGTGAACTTCTGCTTGTTAACAGCTGGCACGCCATCATCTGTAAATGCAGGCTCTTCTGCACTCTCACCTCCTATTCCTAATCGCAAGTCGCACAAGGACGCCGAACAAAAGCGCCGTGATTCGCTGAAGACTGCGTATGACGATCTGCGCATTTTACTCCCACCAGTTCCGCTACCTTCCGATGAAAACTTCCCTGATGAACCGATCCTTCCGGGTGCTTTACCCCCCAGAGGACCACCAAAAGCTGGTGGGGATGGTCCAAATAAAGGTGTCAGCAAGCTACAGCTGCTCAGAGTCGGGAACGATTTTATTCGAACGCTCAAGGGTCGGGTAGAGCGTCGAGATAGTGAAATAGAGAATCTGAGGAAAGAGGTGTCGAGACTGCGTGTTATTGCTGGAGATGCAGCTGGAGGGGAACATATAGATCTAGAACAGGATCTCGATGCCATTGAAGCTTATTCGACTTTCCGCCAATCATCACTTGGTGCCGTTGCGGAGGGGGACGATGCGGACGATGCTGAAGAGTGAAAGGTAGGCTACTGGTCTATGTCAACTAATTCCCTTGTCAAAATATGTATAGTTATTCTTTCTAAACAAAGGTTTAATCAAGTGGACTTCCGGCTCAATGAACTACTTATAAGTCGGGTGTGTAGCTTATCCTTGCAGGTAGGCTACGGGAGTCTGGAGACTATTTCTTTGATCGGCGACTTTGCCAAATTAAAACAAAGTGATTGACCGCGAAAATCCTTCGGAAAGACCCGCCTCGGTCGTGGGTTTGTAACTTTTGAGCCATGCGTTTTAACTCTCCAAGCGTCAGTTCAGGCACCAAGCAGATAAGCCAACCTTGTTTACGTAACGAAGTGGGAAGGTTCACTTGTCAATTTCCCGCTGCTCAGTCCCACTTTACCTTCACAGGACTAGTTGTCACTTGATTCATCATGTCTGTGCACGCTGCACGCAGCCCGCTGTAAGTAAGGCTCTGTTATACCAAAGATGCGCCTCACATTCACTAGATCTGCTGTATTCCTGCTCCATATCGCGTTGGAGGCACCGCTGGCCCTCCAGGCGTTCTGGTCCCCACAGAGCCTTCCCTTTCTACAGATGAACAACACCACGGTAGTCATGTTGAAGGTTTGCCTATCTCAAGATTCATCACGCGTATAGCTATTCACACCACCCAGTTGTATTCCGCGTTGGTCACTGGATCCTGCATTACCGCTTTCCTGGCATATCCTTTACCAGGTATCATCCGCGCGCTGCTTCAAGAAATATGAAGCGAATAACGTTTTCCAACCAGAATTTCTTCCCGGAAAGCGTGCACTCGCAATAGGATTCTGCGTTTACCACAGCGTAGTATCAACAATTCTGTTTCAGACTCCCAGGTTCATCCCTCATACCCTAGGTCCCTTCTTAGAGTCGTGCGTGTTCTTTTACTTGTTCTTCCAAGGTGATTCGAATGACCACCTTATAGCGTGAATCTTACACCTGAGGTTGTATGGGGTACATTCCACGGTCTGCTGGGACTTGGGATGATAGTGTGGTGGCAAGCAACGCTACATTACGCAGGAGCAGTGAGAGGAGCCACGCAGTAAGCTCTGACATAGAAGGAACAACTGTTTTCATCTGTGTAATACTTGGTCTGTCTGTCTGGGGGAGACTACTATTAAGACTTAGTACTTATAGTGTACTATTAAAGAGCCAAGCGGATATGGTTGCATGAGCGCCTCGAAGGAGTGTGTCCCGTTTAGCTCAGTTGGTAGAGCGCGTCACTAGTAATGACGAGGTCAGTCGTTCAAGTCGGCTAATGGGAAATCCTCAGCCCAGCATTTACTTGCCCAGCTGAGTTTCTTTTTGGTTTCATTCTCCACTGGATGCATAACAATACTAAGTACTATTTTAATAGCCTCATGACTGATGTGAGATGCGACAACGATGACGACCAAAGGAAACTCCAAAGAAAAATCCACAGCAGCTCACTGCTTCACAAGAAACATCTCCCACCCCATCACCTGCACCTTGCGTTGTGGTCGGGTGCCCTTGAAACACTCGTATCCCTGACGCAGCCTGAGATTGACCTGCATGCGTTTCCGTCGGTGTACCAGGATGGTCTAGCGCAGGTCGTCGGGAGTGCCAGGGTCCTGGCGCAGTGAGTAGCAGGAGTCCTGGCCCGTGGTCGGTAGTCCTGTGTAGTCGGTCCTGGATAGAGAAAGCCGTAGCCTCCCGCTATAGAGGTCTGGCCTTGGTTCCCCTTGCAGTCTTTCCCCTTACATCAGGCGTTCTTGAGACACTTGTGTTCCCGACACAGCTCCTTGCATCGAACTACCAGCCTCAATGCAACTCGTATGTCGCACACCTAATATGCAGCCGCTGCTGCGCGGGCCAATTTTGTTGCGGTGGGAGGAGAAACAAAAATTCTTTGCAAATGTATTAATTTCCACCATATCAAAAGGAGCGATGGAAGCCGCTTATATTTTCTTGCAGCCGGCAGCTACTTCAACAATGCGTGTATTTTCCTCTTGGAAATGAGTTGAAATTCCAACGCCGGGGCTTGAGCGGTACTGATCGTGGCATATTTTGAGGTCGAGTGCTAAAACTCAGCGAAGAGTAGACGAGGAATAGTTGGTATCAGAAGTCACTGCCCTATACCACTTGTCAGACAGCTTCGGAACAAAAACTGCACTGACATATCTCGACAGGCCTCTGTTGATAGGTTGCTGCTTGCAGACATGACTAGCATACAAAATGTCCCTGGTAGAGAAGTGAGATACAGCACAAGAGGGAAACGCCGACGACTTGCCTTCAGCTTTGCATCGGGTTTTGCATCGCTCTCATCCACACTCTGAACGGCAACAGAAAGCCACTTATAAATGACCATAACAATGAATAAATACACTCACATGACCGTTTTGAGTGCTGCATCTAGGCACCATACATATATCTTTCCATCCAAGGCAGGGCACCATTAAGGGATATGGAAACAGCCCAAGCTTCGTCGTCGTGTAAGAGTGGGTCTCCGACTGGCTGATTGGTCATGAGGTCCTAGATGCGAACCGAGTAGTCAGTGCTGCGCCAAAAAGATGGCTCTCATCAGGGGAAAGACGGAGGGAGTTGACAGCATCGACGTAGCCCTGAGAAACAACGAGCACCTTCCCATCATACGACGCGGAGAAAATGTGTACGCCGTCCTCGGACCAACACAACCGGTCAATTCCTTGCCTTCCCAAAGTACATCCTGGTGATGCTGTGCACCACATGGTGGCGGATCCTTCTCCTTCATCTGACGGGGTGCGCTAACTACCGGTGAGTTCAACATCGCCTCTTGTTTTCTATCTCTCCGTGTTGTCGGCGTGCTTGACTCGGCCATGACGTTGACGAAGAGAGTTTAATTACGCTGTCTGTACAGACGCATCGACAGAGCTCGATATTACGGACAGTGGATTGTCGAAGGCGAGGAGAGATGTGGTGAAAGTGATACTAGAATTGCTTGAAGCTGGAAGGGATGATATGAAAGAACGTACTGTAATTTTCGGTTAAGTTAAACGTTAAGTACCAAACCTAATTGCCGTGGGAGATAAGATAAGTGACTGCGTAAATGGATATCGACCTTTCCTTGAGTGTACCAACGCCAATCCCCGCATCAGGCGAGGTAGTACATATATCCAACCAAAGTAATTGAAGCATCGAAGCATGGCGGCACCCCTCTACACAACAGCCTCAGGCTTGCTGTTTCATGCTGGAAAGATTCTCATCTTAACAGTTGGCTTACCCGCTCGTGGCAAAACCCACATTTCTCGCGCGCTCGAACGTTATCTCAGATGGATGGGCGTGAAGACTCAGGTCGTATCTCTAGGTGACTATCGACGGAAGACCCTTGGTGGTGCCAAGAAACTGCCGCCAGATTACTTCACGTTAGGTGCGCATACATTCAATATTCCAAGCCCTGTATGAATCGCTACCGGCAACAGGCGAGAAGAGTCCAGAGACCATGGCATTGCGCAAGATGGTGTCGGATGGCTGCGAAAAGCTCATCGAGGACTTCTTTGGGGCCGGTGGACAGGTCGTGATTTATGATGCCAATAATGGTTCACGAACTACGCGGCAGGCCTTGGCAGAGAAGTACGATAAGCAGGGAATTCATGTGATCATCCTTGGTATGTCTCACCATGTTCATTGGGCAACAGTCGCTTATTTTCCTTCGATGTAGAGTCTGTGTGCGATAACAAAGAGATTATAGAGACTAATATCCGGAACGTCAAGATATCCTCTCCTGATGTGAGCTCCCTCACCTTCTTGGCTACCTTTTTGCTGAATCTGGTGTAGTATCGCGGCTGGGATCCAGACAAAGCAGTGGAAGATTACTATGAACGAATCCGTGATCGCGAAAAGTCGTACGAGACGGTTGAAGAAACCACTTGGCCATTTATCCGTATAATAAATGTGTGTTACCATGTATACGAATCTTCTTTCATTTTTTGGCTCACCCGCACGGCTGAAATTAGGTAGGCGAGAAGATCATGGTCAACGTATGTCCCGACGCACTTTCATTTCGGTTGACCTAATTAATCCCTGCGCAGAACATTCGTGGTTATTTGCAGGTAGGCGAAGATTCAAAGTCGTTTTTCTAGGATGACTGATCCTATGAGCAGTCGCGAATCGTTTTCTTCCTCATGAATATCCACAACAGACCCCGCATGATTTACTTTGCTCGGGTAGGTAGTAAGGTATACTATAGCTGTCACTTGATCCATAATATCCTGACAGTCTGGACAATCACTCATTGAACATTCTTACAAAGCCGACTCGGATCTTTCTCCTGCTGGGTGGGAATACTCTGAGCGGCTGAGAGAGTTCGTGGTTGAGCGGCGTGCCAAATCGCTCGAGCAGAATGGGTTCGACCCTAATGATAGACGCCTAGTTGTATGTGGCCTTCGATCTTTATTGTACGGATTCGTTTTAAGACAGCTCACTAGATATGGACATCAACTCGGCGTCGTGCCCATCACACCGCTTGGCCATTCCTGACCCCAACACACTCCACTTCAATTCCGCAACAGCTCCCTCTTGTTTCCTCTCATCTCACTTTGCCACCACAGTCTGCGATTGCACGGAATGTGTTAACCACTGACGAAGCTGGGGAGCTGACAGAAACAAAAGTCACGACTGGCTCGTCTTTGAAAATCAAGGTGATCGAGAAGACGCAGATGTGCGAGATCAATCCTGGGGTCTGGGACGGCCTTACTCCAGATCAAGCGAGAAAGTTCTACCCCGAGGAGTGGGCAAGATTCGTCAAGGATCCATACGCATTCCGCGCTCCCAGAGCTGAGAGCTATCACGATTTATCTGGTAATACTACTTCCTCTTGTATATATATGTGTGTTATCTTTGTTCTGAAAATCCGTTTTGGCTTTAGTTCGCCTGGAACCCATCTTGATTGAATTGGAACGTGAAAAAGAAGACCTCTTGATTATCGGACACTCTTCTGTCATCCGATGTCTTCTCGCGTATCTGATCGGGTTGCCTGCGAGCGAGATACCTGCAATTGAAATTGCGAGAGGTGACTTACTGGAAGTTGTTCCGACTTCCTACGGTGTGCACAGCCAAGCTTTCCACTTCTGGGATGGTCCTGGTCGACGGGGAGAAGGCATCGACGGAGATGGCGACCAAGAGGAGGTTGGGCTGTCAAGGAGAGATGAGACAAACTTTTACGAGAATTATGCGGAGGACACGAAGGGGAAAAAGAGAATGAACGCTGTGGATCTAGGGTTCCTGTCCCCTCGTATACAGGAAGGCAGCGAAGAGGCCCTGGCAGATGGAACCTGACTCGCACCTTGACAGTTTTAGCAATTTCTCAGGGCTGTATACTACTACATATCGGTATCAAACAGATTGTTCCACACTTCCATCGACATGTTCGAATGAGGTTGAGCTGTTCCGGCCGCGCAATTCACTCACTTACTGTACCTAATCTTCTCTGCAGGGAATATAGGATCAACACAGGGGAATTAAACCACGAGTCAACTGGCTGTAATTACCGAATGAATTGAAAGAAGTCGGCGTAACGCGGTTAGTTTCCCCTTGTGGCCGCAACTCGCCAGAGCTTTATCCGAATAACGATACATCAATGCTCAACGGCACTCCTGCCATGAACGCAAGGATCTATTTTATGAAACCACGTCCGGACCAAATCGTAGACATCACTTTTCGAGAAACCTATCCACCACGTACCGTTCAATTACAGAAAGTGGTGAATGATCTCCACACACGCGAGATTTGGACACGCAACATCCTGCCACATTTTCTCTCAAACCCGAAAGCCGGGCGCATATGGGCGTAAGCAAATATCCTTGATTTAGATACCGGCGCACCCTCATACTTTTCCAAGCTCAATTTTGGGTCCCTGTATAACAGGAGGTCACACGCCGTTATCTGTAATAGGTCTTTCACGCCACTCCCTGCTTAGTGGGATGCAGGCAGGAGATGACCTCTCCCAGTTGCCCTGGGTGGGTGCCATTGCCTGCGAGCATCCCCAGGCGCCTTGGCCTGACACTAATAGGGCAAACTGCTACCGTCGTCTGATATCAATTTGCCAGCGGAAGACACGAGACACGGGTGAAAAACTCCATTTCCTGATATCTTCGCATGGGCCGAAGTTCAAAGCATTCTGGGTGAACTATGAAGGAGAGGAAGTTCATCTGGAGCAGATTGGAAATCCATATGTTCCGAAGGGAGTTAGGTATGCCCCAATGGACATTGTGGATGATGGTAGATTCCTCGGCTTTGTGATGAGAAACTTGAAGGTGGTGTCTGCTATTCACAACTTCTTACCTGAGGCGGTCCCAAATTCTACTTTGACACGAGACGCTACCAAAGCTCCCATTAAATAGGTGTTGCACATAAGTACTCTCCGATACAATATTGATGACAAGCATCCGCACAGCACATGGATACCACTGTCTCCGACAAGGACCTACCTCATTCTCCAACTATGATGTCAACACGGAGATCCAGAGTGAAAAAGGAATGTTTCTGCAGCTCCACGGACGGTAGGAAAAACGCCGACCTGGGCGGACGCAAGAATGATTCCTGTGTAAATGAATGAAACGTTGTTAGTGAATTTGTACCCTTCGCGACTTGCACTCAATCTGCACACCCACAATTTATCCACCATCATGGCGCAGCCCAATCAACTTTTGGCACGAAGTCCATCTTTTCCTGGGTAGGGCGCAGTGCAAAGAAGTCTTCTTGATCCGAGCATACCGCGGACACGTCAACAGTGTCGATTAGAATAATCATGCGTTCCTCGTCAGGAAGTTCCTCTTCTTATATGCCATCGTACACTGTGATCCACTTCCGAGTCATGCTTTGGGATTGAAGCAATATTTGTAAGACAAAGTCAATATGAACCCCGAATGAGCTCGTAACCATGATTCCCGGCCATGTCCTCGTAGGTTTTTGCGATCGGGAAATGCTGCCGGGTAGTGTTTCTGCGCAAACTAGATAAGCCGATCACTAGACTGCATATCCGAGGTACTGGACATGAGGTTGCCTTTCTGGACGGACGAGTTCGAAAGCGCTAGGCCAATCGCGTGAGGAAAGTGGCGGCCACTTGGAAAAGAGCTTGTGAGGGTCTTTGGTTCGTCAGTTCACCCGCCGTTTCCTCATCTCTAACTGGAACTGAAAGAGATGGTTTTGGGTAGGAGCTGTTAGGCACAAACTCACTCGCAGATTGGAAGTGCTTGAGTCATCGAGTGACAATAATCCCGCAGGTGCCGAGTGGGAGGGGAGAAGAGTCACGGTTGCTAGTAGCTGATTCAGCCCTTCGCAGTGTGATAAAGACTCACAATGAGTGCTCAGGACCGTTTAAAACTAGGGCACATTTTCATAAGTAGCTCGAGAGGAAAGCGCGTAGAGCACTTGTGTGTCCATGGGCCTGGAGCATCGAAGCAATGATTGACTTTTGAGTTCCAAATTTACGACTTCGTGGGAGTCAGAGCTCGATGTTCTCATTTTGCAAGACGCGTGGCGAGTACTAAGCGAACGCTGACGTCGAAGCACGCAGTGGAATCGATAATGTCGACCGTCGCTTAATATCAGTGGAGAAAATTGCAGGTATGCACATCTCACAATCTCATTAAACGACTCTGCTAATAGAGTGACCAGACAGTTATGCATAACATTATGCTTTAAGGGCAACCTGAGCGTTAGCCATCCATCCCAACAAAAATACTCCAATTATCAAACTTTTCCCCAAGCCAACATCTTTACTAGTGCTACTAGCATTCGGCGTACCAGGAAGCGATAACTCACAAGCACAACTGTCAGAGGTACTATGACTCGTAGTGCAATTTATCCAGAGCATCAATTGGAATGCAGCGTAGAAGAAGCTGACTCAGGAGAAAAGTACATGCATGCGAGCAGTCTGCATGCAGCATCTTTCCTCCAAGTTGATCGCAGCAAAGAGTTGTGTTCGCGACGTCCAAGGTCGATGCAACCTACAACCGACTCAGTTGCTACTGCGGGTCGGTCATGGGGAAACTCTGCGCCATCGATTATCAGCATGATTCTTGGTTGTAGGTTGACAGAGCTCATGGGGGTTTACTTGGTAGAACTAAGTCTCACTGGGACGTGATACGCAACGCTGAGGTAGCTGAACTAAATTGTTAAGTATAAAATGTGAAGGTGTCCAGTAAAACAGAAAGATGCCCAACGCTGGTAGCGTGTTGAACGAAGAGAAACTGTTGGGCTTGCCGACGATAACCGGTGTGGAATGCCGGGGCCAGCAGAGTCTGAACATTCAAAGTTGAGCACATTAATCGTCACACGGACTCCAGGGACACTTTACATAAATTGACCTGAACGACCATGTCCGGTTCCCGCCCACTACGTACACCTAGTCTTCCACCAGCAGCACGCTACCGTCCACGTCCAGCGCATGGCCTTATTACACCCCGCGCGCCAGCACCTCGACGCACCTCTGTTTCGGGGCTCGCCACTACCGGCCAGAAAGCTCAACGTTCTTCCAAGACAACACAAAAACTTGTCCTTTTACCCTCTGCACCACAAACAAAGCCTCTACTAACAACTGTTTCCGATGATATCCTCGGCTACGAGACCGATACCGGCGTCATTCGTGAATACAAATCAGCTGGCGAGCGCATGAGCAAGGAACAGAGAAAGCGAGCAGGATACAAGAGAATTACAGCTTATTGTATTGCTGAAGAACTGAGGATGAAGTTGCTCGCAAGCTTTTTGAAGAGGGAGCATAATGTTACACCAAGAGCGTTTGACGAGGCGATGTATGTTGTGAGTCTCGTGTTGTTCATTTCCGTGTCAATGTTCCTGATCTGCATCATGTAATTTGTCCTGGTGTCATATAGATGTATCACCTGCCACTCCTTCCTGGGTATGGGCCTAACACCAGCGTCCGTTCTTCTGCCGCCCCTGTCAAAGAAGCCAAGTCTCTCCAGAAACGCCTTGCTGAAGCTGAGGAAAATGGCTACCAGGGTTCATACTTTATCCCTCAGGAAGACGTACCACGAACTTCGGACGGATACATGACGTCTGGATCCCATACGGAATCTCACAGACCCCCGCCTCGTCCTGATGTGGAATCTGAGGCCGAAGGGGAAGCGGAGTATGCTGAAGAGGGTGAGGGTGAATGGCATGGTGCAAACGAGAGAAGTCAGGAATCGAAGGAGAGGGCAGAGGATAGGAGACACGAGCAAGTCGAGGTGAAAGAAGAAGACCGTATCGCGGACGTGGTCTTCTTTGCTTATGGCGTTGTTGTCTTCTTTGGACTGGACGAGGGGCAAGAACGGGCTATTATCGAAGACATTAATAATGCAAACATTTTGAAACGACAAATGAAAGAAGATGACTGGGAGATTGAGGAATGTCATTTTGCGGTATGTCATTATCCTGTAACTTACGCAGCTCCTCATCTGACGTTGTCTAGCATGACCCAACGATTTCATATCCTCGCATATATCATGATTTCTTCAGTGCGTTTTCAAACCGTGTCTTGTGAGCCCTACTAAAACACTGTAGCTTTCAAGTCGCCTTCTCATCTGCTCAAACTGTCCGTTGCGCATGCCCTCGCCCAGTCTACGCTCCTTGCACACTATGAGTCTGTCGCCTCTTCCGTGCTTTTATCCCCTAGCACCGTATCTATACCACGACAGCTCGCATCTTCTGGTGCTATCAACCTCAAACGCCGTGATGCGATGAGGCTCACAGGCAAGCTATTCAAGCTCAGACGCGACGTAAATCTCGTGAGCAATGTCTTAGACGTTCCAGAGTTGTTCTGGAGCGAAGCAAGTCTGGGAGGGCTGTATGAAGCTGTACGAGAATACATGGAAATTGATGAACGCGTACAAGTGCTGAACGAGAAACTCGGAATGGCGAGCGAATTTGTGGGCGTTTCATTGCAATTTGGCTTGAGAAGCAACTGATGGGTTTTTGTTTTTGTTTTCAGCTCGATGCTATACATGATCACTTGAACAACAATGCAATGGAACGAATCACGTGGATTGTTATTTGGTGAGATCTACTACGTGTTAAAGTTGAATGATTCGCCCTGACCGGTTCCTCGAAGGCTGATTGTGGTCGCGCTTCTCGTGGAGTTGGTGAGTCGTTTACACTCCATTCCGTGAAAAAATAATAACTATGACCATACTACAGGGCGAAGTGCTCGCACGACTAGTCGTACATGCAACAATGGGCGAGGAGAAGGCGGACCGCATAGTATTGCGGGGCGGAGGCGCGCTCAGAGCCCTTATCAAGATTGCGTCACAACGATAGGTCAAGATATGGTTATGGTATCATTGCGTTGGTTTCTGCAAGACTCATCATATAAGGATAGACCCGGGTCATTCATTGGAACGGTATGTAGCAACGAGTTTGTAATTTCAATCTATAGTAATACCTCGCTGGTCTTCAATATCACTCGGATCTTGGGTTTTTACATTTTCCGCCCATTGCAGCTCTCAGCCTCACACGTGGCCTCTTATAACCCAAGCGTTGTCTCGCCGTCACAGGTAGGTGTCTAGGTTGATTTTTCCTGAGAGTAATCGCATGTGCACTACTACTGTGCCACCGAGTATTTGGCTTTATTTGGACGCGCACTACAGATACGCTCGATTTGAAATTTGCAAATTTGAACCTTGACTTAACCCCTGAGGAACACAAGCACTCAAGTTGGTCGACTCAGAAGGTGTGGGTCCATACTCCAGTGATTAAGGTTTCTGTCTCATTAGGATTCTACTACCAGTGGTCAACGGCAAAATGACACAGTGCTCCTTTCAATCGCTTCCCACAGAGACGATGTGCAGTATCTTCAAGATCATGCTTGAAAGTATGGTCGAAGATGATATGACGGCGACCCCTAAAAACGAGCACCGTATGCTCGCAGGAGGCCCGCCATTCCCTCATACCATGGCTTTGGTGTGCAGACACTGGCGAGACATTGTGTTTTCTATGCCGGAGCTGTGGACTCGGATATCTTGGGCACCGTCCATGAACGACCGGTGGATAAGCTCCCAGCTACAGAAGACGGGGAGCCTCCCGGTCCATTTTGTAATCAAAGAGAATCTCCTGGGCAGAATTTTCCCCCCATCCTTTACTTCGTTATATTTTCAACGACTCAAGAGCCTCATAATCATTGGCGTCTTCGATGAATACCGCAACTTGGACGCGCTGGCAGGATATGCGCCCCAGCTCGACTGTTTACGATTGACAGATGTTAGACGTCATCGTTATACCATTTGCTATGAACCGTGTTCAAAACTGGTGTGTCCCGCGCTTAGGACCCTTCACGTCGACAAGAATATAGCTTGTCACCTCAATCTTCAGTGGTTCAAGAATAACATGCAACACATTGAGGTCCTGACCATTTACGGCGGCTCTCCGATCAATAGAACGGCATCCATGACGCTTGGTCAAACCTTGCAGGCAATACCGCGGCAAATACCTTGCCTCATTCTCGATGACCTGCAGTTTGTCGTTGCCTATCCGGAAACCTACACCGACACAATCACAATTTGGGCAGAGAAAGTCATCCTGCGCACATGCATCGAAGATGCTCTAACTGCATTCAATGGTGATTGTCAAACCATCGTTCTCCAGGAATGCGATTCTATCCATGGACTTCGTCGCCTATCACTACCCCGCTCAAATTCATTGGAGTTGGATAGGTGCGCTGCCACATGTGGCTTGCGGTGGATACCTAAAATACGCCCGTGGAATGGTGATACTGTTACCATCACGAACAGCCATTCCTCATGCATCAAGATCATCTTGTATTTCCTTGGTGCACCTTTCGCTCGTCGTAGCTGTTCCCTGTGGCCCCGTGTCACCACGCTAAAATTAATAGCGAGGGATGATTTCATCATGGAGGTACCTTTGATGATACTGAAGGCAATGGTCAGCAGCCGGAGGGAGGCTGCGGGGCAGGAGGATTTATGGAAAGACGTTTATGAGCTAGACGACACTGTGCGTCCGCTTAGGGTGCTTCATGTGCATGGGGCACAACCTCTTCCACGCGAGGAGGAAATGTGGTTCAAGAGTCAGGTGAGGGACTTTGTGTGGGACTAGAAGAAGAGGGGATAAGGGAAAGAGACTATCAAAGCAAGCAGCCAAGAAGCAGTGGGTTGGTCCAGGGAGGCGTACAGACATTAATCGTCCTGATCATATCATCAGGGCAGGATTTGGGACATACAACAGCCGATGTTTTATTTTTGACACGGGTATATGGCTGCTTTTATGTAAATATTTTCGGGATGAGGTCTTCCGCTGTTGGGTTTGTGATTGCAGTCTTGCTGAGTAATGAGGCCCGAGGTCCCATGCGTTGACCAATGGCGTCCCCTCTTTTGTAATGGCCTGGATCTGGGGTTCCGAATGTATCTGTATCTTATGCTATCAGTCCAGCATGATCCGAAATGTATCTTGATCAATCACTATGATTAGCCTTGGGGACATTTTCTTAGTCTATACAATCCTCTCATGTCATCTAGAATCCGTACAATGTAAACCAAAATACATGTAGCCTAAGTCATATGCTTGGGCCTTGATATCATCGTTTTAACCCGAACATCGACCCCTTATAAATCGCATCATGCACGAATGTGGTGGAAGATGCCGATTCATAATTTAAATTCAGGCTCCTCACTTTCCTTGCGCCATGATTCTCCCTTTCGCAGTACCAATATGACCAATAATTCTGTCATCACGAATACGCCACCCCACGCTGAATACAATCCCCCATCTCCTAGAGCATCCTTCGCGGAGACCGGGCTAGCATCAGAATTTACAGATACAATAAATAGTAAGAGAACTTACTTGAAGCGGTACAGCAATCATAACTGAAACAAAGGCAAAAAAGCCTCGGAACGAACTATTTACGGCAACCGCTGTGCTCGAGCGACCAGGGTTGGCATCAACGAGGTATGTCAATGTACACGTATACATCCATCTGGAAATAGATGTCAACGCAACCACGACAAAGAATGACTGGTCTACCGACGTAGAGGTGAATCCAATAAGCACGAGCATGACGCAAATGACAACGATGTTAACATGCTTTTCGCACACCCAAGCATAACCGATGACAGACAGAGGAACCAATGGCATCACCAGTTTCGAGCTCTCTAAGCGCATCTTCGAAAGATGTCAATGAACTGATCCAGTGTGGGAGCATAGGAAATATTCACTTCTGCGTAGCATCTGCCTCCGTTCGCTCCCATCATTTTCGCAAGCACTCGGTCGGACCAACGCCCGCCAATCACACTCCCAGCGATACTTCCTTCGCAGAAATTTAGTCATCTGCCACAATCTAGAGTGAGGATCTCACCTATACCCAGCCAAAGTAAGACCAAGCCAATTTTAAGGGCTCTATAACCATATCGCTCAGCCAGAGTGCGGCAACACGTGTATGAAAGGGAATAGCTAAATCCGAAGATGAGTCCTTATTCCGAAGTTAAGTCACTGACATCATGTACATGAGGACAACTCTTCACTCACCATTAGCAATAAGAATTAAAACATTGTTCTTGCGCGACAGAATTCGCAAGTATGGTGGAAAGGGGTTAATGTCCTTGAATGATAGTTTGACATCGTCCAGTCCTGGTTTAGAAGTCACCGCTGAGATATATTCCAGCGGTTGGAGGTGCTTCTCGGCGTCCCTGACAGGTGTTTGGTCCTTGCCGGACTCATTCCCAGCGATGATAGATTCGTTTGGACTCCGAACGCGTTCTCTGGAGTCTAGAAGTCGCCGTAAAGCGGAGCGATAGGTGAGACTCCGTTCACGTCGGTATGTATCCTTGAACAGGATGAGGAAGGACAAGAATACGACTGCTGCACAGACAAGTAGGAAGTAGAAACAGGCGCGCCAGTAGAAGGCTTGTGACAACGAGCCGCCGAGTATAGGGCCCAAGGCGGGTCCTAAGAGAGGTGCAGCAAAGAAGATACCCATCGTGGTCCCTCGCTCGCGAGTGTCGTAGATATCGGCCAGGGTCGCAGCCGAAATAGCCATGGCGGCACAAGACCTACAGGAAAGGGCGTCAATGATCGATTAGTACTTAGTGCTTTTTGAATAAATGCTCACCCCGCAGCTTGAAGCGCTCGCATGCCGATCATCACCTCGATGGTCTTTGAAAGTGCCAAAGCAACGTTTCCTGCCATGAACAACGCTGAACCCACGAGATAGACAGGCTGGGATGAACGGGATTGCATTTACCACGCAGATCGAGAAGTGGAGCACCCTGACCAACCTTACGTCCTTTAATCTCACTTGCGGCGCTCCATAATAGAGGAAAGTTCCCTTGAGGGAATAGGAACGCAGCCAGTGTCCAGCTAACCTGGCTGCTTGTCGCATGTAGATCTGCTTCTATCAATGAGTTCGAGGCTGCAAGACGGTATTAATATCAAACAACTCATTGTGGAAAGATATGCGACAAACGATTTTGAATGTTGGAAGCTAATGCAGACACCATTGTAGCCAGTAATACAATCCACAAAGTTCTTGTCTACAGGTGGTACAACGTCAGATTAATTGCATAGTGCATCGCGTGATACACGCGCTTTTCTGGCAGGACTCCATTGACGGGGGTCATCATTGACTGAGACATGTTCTATGTCAATTGTACGAGCTGCGCCAGTGGACAACTCGATATTAGCGTCTTGGCGCAGCGTTGTGGGTTCGGACACAGAACGCGCGTTAGCAACAGTTGGACTAGTCATGAGTCAAAGATTGAAAAGACGTAGCAGGGTAGGTCAGTCTCTGACCCAAGATTGCACGGCTTCTTATACAATCAAAGGGACCACTTGTATCTTGCGCTGTCAGACATCGCGATACTGGTATATTCCGAGCATGTGTACTGAAGCCTAGCTATCGCAGATTGTTCCGACAGAATCCCGAGGATTTTCTGCGGTCCAAAGGATGCTGCTGGTTCCTTCTCGATCGTTACCAGTAGGAATCATTGGGGCGTTGGTCCACATGTGTTTTCTTACCGTTCTCAACCTCACCCACATCTCGTGATCATGATGGGAGCCAAAACTTCCACACTCTATGACTCCAGCGCCTGCTGTCAGTCCCGTAAACATACAGCATTTCGGGAGAGAAATGAAAGACATGTTGTTGTTGTTGGTAAGATGGATACCGGTTCATCGCGCAGATGAAATTAAAAACGCATATAGGTCATTGCACACAACACGAGTCACTATGCGTGAAGTCACATGACCTTCACCTCTCAATTTCCGTCTCAGATGGTACATATATAAGTACATAGAATGGCGCCTTCGGAACTCTATATGTTTGATGAACGCATGAGTCCCCGTCACTGCCCTGGGTATACTGGTCTAGCTCAATAATTGCGATCTGCGGTCCCGGGTCCGGTGCGGCGAACGTTTTCAATGGCTCACCGAATCTTATCCTTCAACACACCAGTGGCACAGTATTCAAGCTTCTTACCAAAAGTGGTCCGTTCCCCACTAGAATTCTCTTTCCAGACTCGGAGTCCCATTTTCTAGCTATTAACGAACGTAGTTGACCTATGCTTGTATTGTAGCTCTATCATGGCAATATCCGCCGAAGATGAGCGTATCGTCGTATATCTTATCATAACTCGGTCATATTTTGGATCTGAAACGGATCTGATAACGTACTAGGCAATGTGCATGGTCATGACCTTTCGCCATTATGCCAGTTCAACACTCGGAGTTTTAAGCCAGCTTCTTCGCATGTAGTCATCGTCGTGAACTCTGCTGCGGAGAAGTCCGCTGGAGAGCACGTGTCCGCGATCGACAGAGACGGCGTTCAGGCTGTTGGGGGACTACAATGGGAAGAGACATATCATGTAAGTGTTTCATCCAGGTACAGTTCAAAGTTTCGGGCGACTGACAGGAAAGCTATCGGAATCATATACAGTGGTCGTCATGAGCAATATACATCAGAATGAAAGGTCCTGCATTCTGAGCTTGCAGTTGCATGGGCTAAGGGCTTGTTGTCAAGGCCCCATAATGCAGTCGCATAGGGTTGCGTTTCCAACGGTAAGTAGCGTAAAATTCTCTACAACTGCTATCGTCGCCATAGCCTTCGAAACTGTTGTTGCGTCCTCATCGGATTTTTGGAAAATCGGAACAGCATGTCTGACTCGCCATCATACTTTAGCCAACATTACGCGCATACTGCCTGGCGGCAGTTTCCGAGTCCTTGTAATGCGCATAATTTCCGCGACACTGGTGGACCCGACGGTCCGTTTCCTCTACGAGTCCGCGATGATCGCAATCCGCAACATTTCCCTGACTTGAGCGTCTGAAATTCCAAGCGCTGTATGCGGACTGCTGGAATGGAATGCTGGCTCAAACGAGGGAGCATCTCATCTCGCTCATGATGCAGCTCGGATCAGGTCGTGGAGCTTCGCCAATCAATGCTGATACACGCGCAGAGTTAGCTGCCTTCTCAACTCATCATGAATACAAAGGCATAACACGCACCGACAACCGAAATCAGTTGGTGGTGTTGACCTATGCTAGCCACAGGGCTGATGAATGATTTCGCAATCTGCATTCTCGGTACGTTTAGTGAGGCTTTTAAGATGGGTCATCATCCTATCGTCCTGAAAGTCATTCAAGAGTCCCTCATACTACTAATCACCTTCACATCAATTCCAATTCCAAACATGCGTTTTTCCTTCCTCGCCGTCGTCGCTGCTTTGATAACAATCATGTCTGTCAACGCAATGCCAGCTGTGTTCGACAGGCGGTCATGTGTCAGCGGTACCGACTGCGTAGGGTCTGCCTGCTGCATTCAATATTGTGTGAGCATGCGGTTCGCGTGTATCTAAGATTCAAAATCAACTCACCCTTTATGCCTTCCGATAGAACAACGAGATGTGCACTGATGTCTAATCAATGAGGAACAAGAAGGATTATTGAGATACAGAAGAGCTGGCGCCTAGCGAGAGTCACAGTAAGTGACATTTCTGCTTTCATATCGGTACTGTCGTTCATGGCACAATTCTTAGTCGATTGCTGAGTTGGTCGTCATGGTTAATTTATGCCGCTAGTGCTTCAGCAGTGGGAGGAAATTCAGAATATAATCAAATACTCAACTTTGAATATAATAATAATAATAATTTGAAAATTTCACATATAAGTGATCGAAGTACTGCTAAACTGATTGTCTCAGCCTGTCTACGCGTTATAGCATGTGCACGTGAAGAACTATGTGCCACCCGAGCATAGGGCTATGTCCGACATATGGTCTATGACCCCAAAGGACAATAAATCGATTTTTTTAAAGAAAAAGATCATGTGATGGAGAGGGGATTGTGTGGGGTAAATCGGTGGCTGTATGAGGGGGTACGAAACGGAGTTGGAAGTGGGTGATGTACGAAGCGGAAATCGATTGAGGAATGTACGGGTTTTGAATATGAAAAGCCGGTGATAAAGTCACATAAACAAGATGGGGCAACATGGGCAGAGAAGAGTAGGGTAAGCAATCAGCATTCAACAATGACAAGTCCAGTATCAAATGATCACTTCTCACCTGGTACCTTAAACATCAGCAATCCATGTAATGCTATCGAGTATCCTGTACAGAAAAGAAGTTGATGTTCAGCAAGAAGAAAAGTAGCGCGTTTGTGAGAAATAGGAAGAGCAGGTTTGAGGTATGCTTCCTCGCCTAAAGCAGCGAGTAACTCTCCTGATACGTTGACTATGCCATGGCACTGTACGAGGACAAGCACTTTAAATTTGGTGAGAGGTGCATTTCAGTACTCCGAGACTATATGTAGGTGGACCTCGAATATTCATCGACAATGAGCACTTAAAGTTAACTCAGTGTTTGAAATGCATCTCGAGCGACATAACATCGGGTGTGAATTGAACATGAACCGTTTGTCACAACTCCGCGTCATTTCACCTTGCCCGGTATGTAACATAACTTGCTGTGCAATCTATCAAAGCTATAGAGATGTGTGACAAACGCACCCATATGCCCATCAATAACTCTTCTTCTTGCTAGCCTCATTGTAAGACGAAACCCTTATCTGAGCGTTCCGCACGAATGATCTGATAATAAGCTTTAGCGGGGAATGAGTTAAGTTTCACTATCATCATGACATCATCAGGCTGAGATACACCGGACCTCACCGGTCACCGGCGGTCTTAAGCTCGACTTCACAGTCACCGAGTTCGTTAACCTCGCTGGCAAAGAGCCATGGCTTCCAGCGCGAAGCTTGCCGAATTGGGGGAAGGGCAAGATTATTAAAATCGTGGAAAGAAGTGGAAGCTGCGCGGCTGGTGAGAAATGAAGCACGCAGAACAGCATACAGAGATCAAGTGAAAGCTATGGGAGGCGGAAAGATATCAAGTGAAGTTGAAAAGACGGAGACCCGGCCAGCATGAAACAAGCCAAAATTTTGGAAACTAGAAGCACCGCTGCAAAGGCCGTCGTTGAATTTTTTTCGAGCCATCCGAGGAGGGAGACAGTAGTAACGAGGAAGACGCTGATGAGAATCATCGGGTCTGATCAGTGATGGTGAGAGTGAATAGTCAGTCAATTACGTTACCGAGTGTAAAGATAACGCCAATCTCTCTGGCTTACTTCGTTTGGTGCTAGTTCAAGTGGACGGTCACCGCGGAACAATGATAAGTAAAGACCCAAAACACTGATGGGCCATTCGGATAGGCTTTGTACCAGCCTGAGATGATCGGATCTGGATGATACCCTCTTTTTTGTGCAACAGGAAGCCAACAAAGTTTTGCTGGCTCAAGTGCCCGTTCAAAACTGTTTAGAAATTAGTACTAGACCGCCATGCCCAATTCGAAGAAGTGCTATGGTGAGATTGGCAGTCCTGAGAGGTAGCGAAAAGATATGAGTATCTCCTACAGGAAGATATGTACATACTAAATGCTTTTTCAGCCAGTTCGGACTGGAAAATTGACAATCCTAAGGTAGTGTCACGGTTGTTGGCAGAACTTGTGCCCGGTCCACGGAGTGGCAGAACCTGGTAGAACTCCAGACTCGCGGAGATGTAACTTAACATAGTTTGAACTCAATGAGCTTTCTCGCGTCACTAGTCACTGATCAACGACAATTTTGAGCGGGATCGAACGGATTGCCAGTGAGAACAACTCGAATCGCTACTACAAACACTGTTCATGCCTGAATATTGAATCTTGAGGCGACCTTGGGTAATTACACGCTTCTTGGCTTAGTACCAACTGGCACTCCGACTAGGACCCCACAAATCAACACCTATCAGGCACCCTACGACGCCTTACCACTCTGCTCGCTAACCAATTTTCTATACTAGATCTAACCAATGCCACTCCAATCCTCATCCCAACCGCGCAGGATTATCAAAAAACCCCAAACTCTATTGCGCAAAATTTCCAAGAGTACAATCGGTAAAGTCCAACTACGCATAGCAATATCAAGACAGCAACAAAACACGGTACGACCTCTATGTTAATTCTTAACGCTACTCGAAAGTAACGTCTTCTAATCATAGAATACCAGAGCCCTCAGTTCGATAGATTCCCGAGGCGGCGCTCCCTCTGGAGTGTTCGGGTCTTGGAACGCAGTATGGGCCGCGAGCCTCGCTACACTCCCATCTTCGACTGACTCAGAGCTGAGACCCTTTTAGCACGGTATACATCTCCCCCGAGTGACTTCGCTCACCATTTGATAAGAACAAACTCTTCTGGGGTCATCGCCTTCAAGTACTTCCATTGGTGGTTTGGGTTGTATTTGGCTCCAAATGTCTCACCCTCGCGGTCAGGGTATATAAGAGCAACAGACAACAAATCTTTCTCGAAATCGACACTCCGGAAGTCACATAATGCAAGTGGCCAATCTACAGCTGCATGCGAAATAGGGCGCCACAAGTTTATGATTTGGAAGCGTTTGCCGAGGAGGGAAGGAACTTCTGTTGGTGGGAGATGCCTATGAACACGAGCAATGGACGCCGCAGGAGTTTGGTCCACATGAGCCCGGGGCACTGGCTGACGCTTCTCTGGGCCACTATCTGTCTCGCCTGGGCGACGGCGACGAACGGCTGTGACATGAATTAGGGATCAAGACGGCGTTTTCAAATTGGTGGTCAACGTACTGTGGTCGAAGATGACAATCTTGGTCGCTCCTGTAACCCTCTTCATGAGGTCGATGCTCTCAGGGTAATATTCGCGCTCAATCTCATCATCATCCAAGAAGCTGGTATGCTTCGACGCTTCTCTCCCATACTGGAATCCGGCATTGTCAAGCTTGTAAAGTTCCTCCCTCCCGCGCACGTCTTCGATTTGCACTTCATGCGGGTCCTCGATCCAGTTGTGGACAGGCTTTCCCGAGGGGGCGTAGATGTCAGTGTAAGGCCGAGAGCCGTCAGATGGAGGGAGGAAGTAGTTGAGGGTGGTGATGGTGTTAGAAGCCATGGTTCGTTGGTTGGTATTTGGTGTAAAGTGGAATGGAAGTGCCCTTGGTATCGCTATGACTCACCAGTAAGTTATGTTCTACTTATATATGTCTTCAAGGGCGGAGAGGTTACTTGGCTTACATATGACCTTATCAATTCTCCAGGTTGAACGCGGATTGTTAATGATGAAATGATCTCATAAACATCTACCGAACCACGGAATATGAGTGATGATCCAAAGCTGTAGAGCTTCGCACCTTGATTACCGCTCAAAGAAGATCGTCTCTGCACGCAATTCCCTGTTCGCTTCGGAAAATACTGAAAGGGTCCCTTGGTAAGTGGATTACCGGCCCTTCAGCACGATGACGTAGGGGCTGCAGACGAGCAGCCGAGGGCCAGTGTAACGGGAACGGACTGCAAGGGGAACCAAGGCCAGACCTCTATAGCGGGAGGCCAGACTCTATCTATCCAGGACCCGACTACGACACGCCGCAGGACTACCGACTACGAGCCAGGACCCCTGCCACTCCCAACCTGATCTGTCCTGCCTGAGCGCCCCGCTCCACCACTCGAATAGGTTCTTGCGGGTTCTGTCTAAATTTGTGCCATCTGACAGCAATGACAATTCTGCCAAATCAATCAGAATCGTGCTAATGCATGATATAAAAGCTGGCCATTGTCCTATAGTAGTCCCCCATCCTTAGTGGTAATATCATTCGAGAACCCCCTCAGAAGATTCCACATCGCTTCACACAGAAAATGCATTTCTCCCTCCTCGCCATTGTTGTCGCTTCGACAACATCCATGTCCAACTCCATGTGTGCCTGGCAATGATCCCGAAGCGACTTGCCAGACAAATAGCGATTGCTGCTATGGCTATATTTGTTTCTATCGTGCCATGAGTATGAGCAGCTCACCTGTGCACCCCAGGGTCCGGGATCAGGCAAGGTCTGCCAGGACTGGATTGAGGATTGAGCCGGCAACCTGAGAGACACGTCGCGACAGTGAATCATGTTTCTGCTTTCGCTTTGGTATTATCAGGTACAATATCTAGTTCGGAGCCAATCAGTAAAGTTGCTTGTCTAGCATATATAAGCACGGAACGTTTGATCCCGCGGAACCAATTCGTGTCTACCCCACGTGCGTGCTCTACTTGAACATGAGTGAAGTAGTGGGCAGGTTGAGTGATGAGTAGAGGAGGATGAGGATTGCTGGAGTTTAGAGGGGGTTGTATCATATCAAATCAACATGCGCGCCGGATCTGCAAGCTAGAAAACACCAACAACAAAAACAGATTCTATTGGTCATTCGTACTATAACTTTTGTTCTCTCTTTTCCGGTACGCTATTCCCCAGGACAGCTCGCAGAGCACCACGTCCTAACAGTTTTATTTATTGCGGTATATAAATATATAAATTCTCATGTGCAATGCGAATAGTTTTACATACATCCTCGGGTGGCACAAATCAGACACCAGCTCCCTTGGAGTAAACACTTGAAGTCCTTTGACGCATCTTCAAGATGACTTGCATGGATACGAACAAGATACAGCCGCCAGTAGCGACACTCTAGACAGCGTGTTAGCCAAAAACAGAAAGCGCAGCTTGATATGGTTCACTCGCCCCAGCAAGGATAGCAGCCTTCCACCAGATGTAATGCGACGTCAGGACAGCCCCACAAATCGGTGCACCTAAGTCAAACGTGAGTGATTGTCGAGGAAATGTCAACGGCGCACGTGCCCACGAGTGCTCCCATGCCTGTGAATACGTGTCAAGACTCAGGGTGCCACCAAATGAAGACCAGAGGCTTACTAGATGTTGCAAACGCTATCCCCATCCGTGCGCTTGAGTAGTGTCAGAGAAATTCAAAGGCAGATGGTAAGTGGTTACCCGGTATGTGAGAATTCAGGGGTCAGATGCGATATCAACGGGCCCATCATTGCTACAACTGGAGTCGAAACTTGGTTAGTGTCGGAGGAGCATTATGAACCTACGCACCACCTCCGGAAAAAACCCCATAACTTACAGCTATAACAGCTACACTGGTGGCCGAGTGCAGGCCAACCATTGCAAATAGTACAGCGGAGGATATTAATGACGAGACGATGATGGTGTTCGGGATGCCCACGTATGCAGCGACAACACCCCCAGTAAGTCTTCCGATGAAAGAACCAGAACTAAGGATTGTGAGCTGTCGGGGTGATAAGCAGTTCTTGATTATTTGAGTAATTTCTGATACGCACGGAATAAAACGAAAATCCTTGGCTTAGACCATGCAGGGTGGAATCTAACTGGAGATAAAAGGATTCGAAGAAGTACCCGAATTCAAAAGCAGCCATCCTAGGCAGTGAAAGCGACTTGAATGTTTATACCATCGGGTATTGCAAAGCTTACGCACCCTACACAGGTACAAATGTAAGCACCATCTCTCGACGAGTTTTTGAGAACGCGGGTGTAGCTAACGATCTTTTGTTGCGGCGGAAGCCTTGTTCGCATCAGGAGATTTGCGATGAAAAGCAAGCCACCACTCAGAGCCGCACTTGCACGGACACCGTTTGCAAAGCCAAGTCTTCCATTGATAAGATTGTTGAGCATGACGGGGTGGAAGATCGCACCCAGTGACCCTCCCGCGGCGACGATTCCCATCGCAAAAGCTTTGCGTCGCTGGAAATGATGCGATATTACGGCGATGGAGGGAACATTCGTAAGGCCCATTGCAAAACCTAAACCGATACCTTGGGAAAGGAATATCTACATCCATAGCAATACGGTCAGCGAAGGTGCGCACTAACAAAAACGAGACTTGCTTGATAATACTGTTCTGGTTTTGCCAGTGACAACATAAAGAGGAAGAAACATTGAAGGAGACAGCCGATTTTCATCACAGGGTAACTGAAAATGTATGACCAGGGACGTCTTTATGCGGACTGATTGCACACATACAATGCGCCCCGATCGACCATTCTTCCTGACACGATACCAACTGATAATATCAAGAACGCATTGACACTTCCTATCCAGCTACACCGCAGTAGAGGTCAGAAACACTAGCAGCCAAGAAACTACCTAGGTAGATCTAGCTTACTGACGCGATTGCAGATGGTGTTGAATTAGTGAGGTATGTTTGAGTATAAAAGTCTGCATATCGTAGTTGTCAGTCCGTCCACGTAAGATAATTCACAAATATGCTTGCCCTGGAAGACACCGTAAGCGCTGACATATCTGGAACGTGTTAGTAGTTTGAGCCCACAAATGGCGAGCCGAATTCACCCAAAGCCACAGAATTGAATCAATAAACTTGACGGTCGCAGTTGATGATGAGTTTGCAGCGACAGATAGGTGGACAGAAGTACTTACGCGCCCAGCACTGTACCCCAAGCGGTGAAACCACCTTCGGGAAAACTTAGCGCATCCGAGGGGTCGACAAGGCTGGTATTTCCAACGCTTTCAACGGATTTCGAGACGCTCTCGGGAGCTTGCTTTGCAATTTCATCACTGGAAGAAGGGTAGGACATGGACAATGGAGGCCAATTGGGCGATGGATGGGGGATGCATAGTATCCTATAATAGTGTTTAAATATGAAGTTGACTCGGACGGACCAGGAGGCTTGTACACGACAGCGGCCGCCGGCATTATACCTGCTAGACCCTAGACTTAGTCTGACGTATGTCACATCAGCAAAATAGGGGTGGACCGTACACCCCCTTGACAGCCACAGGAGGGGCTCTCTCTGCACAACTCGAGTCTGTACAGAGTGCATATAAGGCTAGACACGGTGTTACAGGACCAACACAGAAAGGCCACAGGGGCACAGGTTCCTGTCATATTAATGCTCAAACAGGGCAACTGTAGCGGACCTGTGATACATCGTCAGTACAACTGCCATACGGTATACCCGAGTAGAGGCATATGCACATGGTGTATCGCCAATGGGTGACTTCCCGTAGCATGAGCTTTTGATTCAAACCTTATAGTGTTGCAACTCGTCGCGATGTAGAAATGCTTTCCAGACCGCAGACCAATTGTATCTAGATTATAGTGTGGAGGTGTCAAAGGGCATGTAAGTGACGGTTACAACGTACTCACCGAGTTTGAAAGGCTCGTTTACTAGTAGTAGTAGGTGTTTTGAATCTTTTGAACACCATTTGAATCCAGAAGGGTAGACGCCCCCCTCGTCTCTAGATCTAAAGATCACTTTAGAACTGACATGCGGACATGTAAAACACTTGACTGCGGCACGTCGGCACGAGGACTTGACAACATATAGATTTAGAACAAAGTTCCGAACGCTGCGGGAAGTCGCATCGTAGTATGCCCCCACCGCACTGTGGGAACTTTGCCACTACACTTAAAATATAGCCATTTCCGGTCATCTCCTATTTCCCACACTTTTGGATTTCCGTAGCTTGCGCCAGGTGAAAGCTGCTCATTTTCTGCAATGAGGATCAGGGCCGCTGATCATTACCGCTACTGACTTGTAGGTTCTTGAGCCTCGTATGATTTTTCCTATCCTCTATGTTATATAAAATCTGTAAACCAAAATACATGTAGCCCAAGTTATATACTTGAGGCTTTATATTATCGCCCGAACTAGAACGTCATGCCCCCTGTAGATCCCATGATACATATGAGTGTAGTAGAAAATGCTGATTCATAATTCATTTAGCATGTAAATTCATGCTCCTCGCTTTCCTTGCGCCATGATTCTCCCTTGCGCAGTACCAATATAACCAATAGCTCCGTCACAACCAAGATTCCAGCCCATGCCGAATACAATCCCCCATCTCCTAGAGCATTCTTAACAGAGAGCAGGCTAGCATCAGAATTTGTGTGATACAGTATATATCGAGAGAACTCACTTGAAGCGGTACGGCAACCATAATCGAAACAAAGGCCATAGATCCTCGGAACGAACTGTTTGCGGCAACTGCTGAGCACGAGCGACCAGGGTTCGCATCAACGAGGTATGCCAATGTACACGTATACATCCATCTGGAAGTACATGTCAACACAACCAGGGCAGCGAATGACGAATTTACTGACATGGAGGTGAATCCAATAAGTACGAGCATGACGCAAATGACAGCGATATTAGCATGCTTTTCGCATGCCCAAGCATAGCCTATCACAGACAGAGGTGCCCACAGCATCGCCAATTTCGAGCTCTCTAAACGCATCTTCGGAAGACGTTAATAAACAGTTCTAGTGTGGGAGTATAGAAAATATTCACTTCTGCATAGCATTTGCCTCCATTCGCTTCCATCATCTTCGCAAGCACCCGGTCGGACCAACGGCCGCCAATCACACTCCCAGCGATACTTCCTGCATAGGAATTTAGTCATCTGCTACAATCAGGGGGGTTGAATATCTCACCTATGCCTAGGCAAAGCAAGACCAAGCCAGTGTTGAACGCATCATAGTTGTATCTATCGGCGAGAGTGAGAGAACACGTGTATGATAAGGAGTAGCTAAATCCGAAGATAAGCCCTATCCCGAAATTGAGTCTTGACATCATGTACACGAGGACAACCCTTCACTCACCATTAGCAATAAGAATTAAAACATTGTTCTTGCGCGAAAGAATTCGAAAGTATGGTGGAAAGGGGTTAATGTCCTTGAATGATAGTTTGACATCGTCCAACCCTGGTGCAGAAGTTACCGCTGAGATATTATCTGGAACATCCGGCGGTTGGAGCTGCTTCTCGACATCTTTGACGGGTGTTTGGTCCTTGTTGGACTCGTTCCCGGCGATGGTAGATACGTTGGTACTCCGAACACGTTCTTTGGAGGCAAGAAGTCGCCGTAAAGCGGAGCAATAGGTGAGACTCCGTTCACGTCGGTATGTATCCTTGAACAGGATGAGGAAGGACAAGAATACGACTGCTGAACAGACAAGCAGGAAATAGAAACAAGCGCGCCAGCCCAAGGCTTGTGACAACGAGCCTCCGAGTATAGGGCCCAAGGCGGGTCCTAAGAGCGGTGCAGCAAAGAAGATACCCATCGTGCTCCCTCGCTCGTGAGTGTCGTAGATGTCAGCCAGGGTCGCAGCCGAAATAGCCATGGCAGCACAAGACCTACAGGAGAGGGCATCAATGATCAATTAGTACTCAGTGCTTTTGAATAAATGCTTACCCCGCAGCTTGAAGTGCTCGCATGCCGATCATCACCTCGATGGTATTTGAAAGTGCCAATGCGACACTTCCTACCACAAACAAAGCCGAAGCTACCAGATAAACAGGCTGTAATAAACGAGTTTTCATTACGCAGATCGGGAAGTGGAAAGCATCTAAACCAACCTTACGGCCTTTAATTTCACTTGCGGCGCTCCATATCAGAGGAAAGTTCCCCTGTATGATTAGGAACGCCGACAGTGTCCAGCTAATCTGGCTGCTTGTCGCATGCAGATCTACTTCTATTGCTGAGTTCGAGGCTACAAGAACATATCAATTTCAAATAACTCATTGTGGAAAGACATGCGACAAACGATTTTGGATGTTAGAAGCTAGTGCGGATACCATTGTAGCCAGTGATACAATGCATAAAGTTGTTGTCTACAGGTACAGCGTCAGATTAGTTACAGAGTGCGTCGCGTGGTACACGCACCTTTCTGGCAGGACTCCATTGACGGGGGTCATCGTTGACTGGGACATGTTCTATGTCAACTGTACTAGCTGCGCTTGTGGATGACTCGATATCAGCGTCATGACGTAGCGTTGTGGGTTCGGACACAGAACATGCGTTGGCAACAGTTGGACTAGCCATGAGTAACAAGTTGAAAAGGACGATGCAGCGGAAGTTTGCAGTCTCTGGTCCAAGATGGATTGATTTTATACATCCATCGGGGCCCCTTGTATCTCGTGCTCTCTAATATCACGATATTGGTACATTCCGAGCATGTGTACGCCCCTTCCGTGAAGGCAATCCTTAGCCTGGCTAGCCACAGCTGTCGCAGATTGTTCCGAGTTGTTCCAAAAGCTATACATTCATTTACCGTTCTGAACCTCACGGGGGCCAAAATTACGACACTCTATGGCTCCGGCACCTGCTATCAGTCACGTAAATATACAGCATTTCGGACGGAAGGGAAATGGGATACATGGTATCCCGATGATATAAAAAAAGAATATAGCTGCTGAAGTATTGCGAGGCAAGAGAGTGAAAAAAATGAGTACGCACCCCCGAACATCTCGACACGATTTGTTCTTCGTATCGAACTCTTCAAAGTACGAATGGAACCTCATGATATCGAGGAGGTTCAACACTGGTACTGAGTATCTCCGATACGTCCGACACTTTGGTCTGTTTCCGCTTGAAGTTCTTCTGCCGGGCCAAACAGAATTTGGGCGGTGCTGGTGATCGGAAGGACTGAATTAAAAATATCAACTGTCCAAGAATAACTATGGCTTCGAAGCCACGTTCAATGAAGCAATGTGAGCACCGCCGCTGTAAGTCTTGTAACAAAGCCGGAAGAGACGTTAAAATAGGCAATTGCCTGACAAGGTTAACGGGTCATGGAGAAAGAAATGTGTGCGAATGCGGGGACAGGCTTGCCTGAGGTTGGTTAGCCTACTACCAGTCGCGATGTCTGTTCGTAAACACTTACCTAATTCAGTGGATGAGTAAGCATTTAGGCTCAATCTTCGATTCCGTCTATTCGCTTAACTGGCACCGCCACTATTCTTGTAAGTTATGTAATACTAGAAATGAACGAAAATTTGATTTGGTGCTCGAGTGCCCAAGTCCCTCGATGGCTCAAGTACCAATCAAAAGCTATCAACTAATGTTTGCAGACTGTAGTGCGTAGACCTTGAATTGAATTTGTGAGAAAAAGTATTTTTGTAAACCTTAGCCCCGCTTGCAAGTGGACCCGAAACCCGGGCTCGATCGACGTTTGCAACCTCATTTGGTCCAATGGACTTGAACATTTTCGGTTGACCCTTCATTGAATCTCAAGGTGTGCCACTGGGCCCTTGCAGGGCAATTACTAATTACTTATCAGCTACATCGATGCTGACAGCTGATTCGTATGCAGGCAAGTACTAGCTTACTTGATCCACTTCTGGGGTCGAAATTACCTTGCTTGTCATAAAGGTTCTGCTTGTACTTACCGGTAACTTCCATAGAACACGTGACCAGAGTAGTAACATGCGATTTTTCAGTCGAGACCAGGTGGTAATTATTGATTTACCCATACTGGTAGGGCACTCGCTCGTGCTACGCCTCAGACGTAACTTTTATCATTTTTGAAGTGCTGTTTCAAAAGAGACACGTTAATATATGTCAATTGCTAGATCACGCCGCTATCATGAATGGGAATATAGTTGCAGACGGCATGTCACGCGTTACGTGTAGTCATTCAATTGAATCACGAAGGCGAGTAGTACGATCTTCTTTTTGTGATCATATCAGTGAGCCGAAACCCGGACTGCATCATGCATGCATGTGCATGATCGACCGAGGATTGCACTAGAACTGCTACTTACGTATTTAGGGTCAACATCTGCCGGCACAACCGGTTCCGCCTAACCGCCACACCATGCAGAACAATTGATCTGTTTCGTCACTTCATGGCAGAACTCTGGAAAAGTGTTCTTAGTGTGTAAGTGGGAAAACCAAATGTTACATCCGTTGGCAGAATGCTAGGCCAGTCCCAAAAAAGACAACATAAGTGCAAGAAGTCCAACTTTCAACTTCCGACATGATCCTGGGGACCCTATGACCGGACATTGTAACTCAAACAAACGCTGTCCTGTTTTATTTTTGACGATTTGCCTAGCGTCCTATGATTGTAAGTGATTAATTAATTATCAGACCCGTAGGCCACCGTCCGTCTATGTTGAGACTGCAACCTTTTGTTTGTCCAGCTTCCTAATACCTCCTATCTTAGCCGTAGTAGCCGGGACTCCTTCCTAAACCTTTTTTTCCAGTTTGATGAACCTTCCCTCATCCTTCTCTTCATACAACTTTCCTGAATGATCTAGTGGTTTTCTATATGCAGAAGTTGATCAAGTATATCCGATGAGCTTAGACCGACGAATTCTTATTACATAGTTATATGTTATACTAGAATGTAATCCCACATGACACCTTCACCCCTCAGTTTGCATCACAGATGGTAGAATGACGCCTTCTGGACTGTATTTGTCCATGTTTAATTGACGCACGAGTCCTCGTCATTGCCCTAAATCCATCCAGGTATATGAACTGGTCTAGCTCAATAATCGCAATCCGCGGCCCCGGCGGTGAAAACGACTCACAAGATCTTATTCTTCGACACGCTACGGTGTTCAATCGTCCCACCGAAAGTCGTCCGATTTTTTTACGCATCGTCATGGTCGACACTAGTCCTCTTTCCAGACACGGAGTTCCATTTTATGGTTATGACAAACACAGTTGACACAAATCTGTACTTGCTCTATCATGGTAACGTCCGAAGACGAACGTATCGGCCTGACTCGTAACCAGTCTGACGTACGTCTTTTCGATTGAGGGATTTTGACGGCCACTCGAGCATCCGGAGTAGTATATGCCAGGCTAGTCACGAGGTTATAGGCCAAGTTGGTCCCAAGCTTGTATATCGTATTATAACTCGGTCAAATTCTGGATCCAAAACCGATCTGATAACGTACTAGACAATATATGGGGGGCCCTCCATCAATGCATGACCTTTCATACTATTAATGCCAGCTCAACACTCGGAGTTTTAAACCAACCTTTGGTATCATCTGCATTACAGTCATCGCTGTGAACTCCAATGCGGGGAAGGCGGCCGAAGAGCACGTATTTGTAATTGAAAAACAGACCCAGATCTGACAGCACTCATGGGCTCTTGAACTTTATAAACAAAAAGACTACAACGAGATGAGAATTGTCATGTACGTAAGTTACAGCCAGTTCGGACTTCAAATTTGACAACCCGTTCCAAGGCGAGAAATTTGCAGTCCTTTTCGAATCCCGCTCGGCAACACTCGGCAGCTGCACTTCGCGCGGTGGAGACATCATGCAAAGCTCTCTGCAGCACGCTCGCACCGTTCAAAAAGTTTCAACAGCTCTACGAGACCACATAATCGACTGATCTACTTACTCCGACCTTTTTCAGAATTTTCCGTCCGCGTCCTACCCCGCGCTGGACTCTTCGACCAGCCTCACCCACCAGACGCGCCTCTTCCGCTTTTGGCAGGGCTTAAGTAAGCCCGTGCTGGACTGTCAATTTTACTATGGCACCTCTACTGATTCTCACCGCAAGACTCGTTGAAAAAGCTAACAGTCAAATCAAGTATCATCTCAGTCTGTGATTCGACATCCCACACCTCAAGGCACCTTTGAGGTGTGAGATGTGGAATCACAAACATTGGATGTGAGTGCACTGGGAACAAGAGAAACAAAAACATCGTAGCCGCATTCAACTTTAGTGCTGATAACAGCCCCACTACGATCTATTGGTTCGACGCGTCAACGCTTAAGACTGTCGGAGCTCCCTTGGAAGGGCATACCTGGATAGTTTTAGGTCTAGCACTCTCATTTGATGGTGCTCTCCTCGCTAACGCTCCCAGTGGCAAAACCATCAATTCCTCGCCTCGTGAGTCAACGTTCGATGTTCCCACTCTCATCCTCTCACCCACTGGCTTACTCGCCGAACTAGGATGCATATACGACATTCCGTCTGACATCCTGACCAGTATCTGGCCTACATAGAAAGAACGGTGCCTACTCCACGTAGGTGGTTCCTAAGTCATCTGCATCACTCTACTAATACCATTATTGCAGTATAGCGCCCTGCGCCACAACGATATCCGGATCATACCTATCGCAGCTGCCAGCCACCACGTTGTCCTGGACTTCTGCTCCAACCACGTTTAAGGTCCACCTACATCAGTCATCAACCTGGCAGCCCGTTCGTGCGGATCATTCGCCTCGCCTTCTGTAGATGTTCCCCTCGCGTGGGGCAAATTGGTGTGTTGGTATCTATCGCTCTGAGATCTTTGCAGCGGGTGCTCCCGGCGGAGATGATGACATAATATGTGATACCAATCCAACGATCAGGGCAAAGTACATGGAACTGGCCGTTTGTGTAGCTGTTTATAAACTATTACGACCCGGACCTGTGTAGACCATGATGCAGATGAAATGAAAGTCAAGTAACAATATTTTTTTCCGGACGTGGTGTGCTCCAGCTTCCAAAAATTGGACGGGATGATATACTTGTAATACATACAAATGTTGGGTTATCCCCTTGCCAGAGGTTGGCCAAACCTAGGCCGCGAAGGGTGATTTTAGGGTAAGCTAGATTATCGTGACGGACAAAAAGTGGCGACAGTTCGGTTGGACTTGGACTTGAGGTGATAGATAAGTCGAAGAGACGTTCCACACAATGTTTGGGGTTTTCTATAAGTACGACACGACACGTGAAAGAAGGCAGGCTCATCACGACATTCGAAAGCCAAGAGAGTACCAAAGCAGAGATTGATGGTATTGCTTGGTGGAAACGGCATATGCCACAAATTTTCTGTCCCATGGGCCATGAAGTATTCCTCTTGCTCAAGCAAAAAGTAAAATTTGTTCAGAAGCAAATGCATGATCAAGCGCATGAGATAAATCTAATGCACACCAGTAAGTCATGTAGTTAGGTTCAAGATGTACTCTTAAGCACTCACGCACTTCCCCTTTTTGCAGGCGCCAGTCATTATTATGTGTGCACCAGAAAGCACAGTCCTTGGCAGCTACAGCGTCACTATGTGCTGCCAAAGCAGCAAAGACAACGAGGACATGCGAGAAGCGCACTGTTTGTGAGGATACCGCTGCAATCGGAATCAAATAAATCTGAATGGGGCGCGGATATCGATCTGGATTCTGTAGTAGGAACTTGCTTCCATGTGCTGAGTATTGTTCCTTATGGCAATGGTAGGGATAACTGTTCTGCAATCTTTAAGGGTGCTCAATTCGCTTCATTTTCGTTCGGAGGCCCGTCGACTAAACCTTTGCAGAATGCCCCATGAGACCTCCGAAGCTCGTCGCCGAAAAGGAATCGTGGTTTGAAGATGAAAATGTATTTGGCCCTCCGCATCAAGCAGTAGAAGAATCAGTTTTTCGGCGTATCAGCACAGGTATAGGTAGCATTATCCCAATGGCCCGAAAGACGTGGAAAATGAGATCCTGAGCTAGCCTGAGCTTCGTGCGCCAGCTCATCAAATTTGATGGCTCCTTGCTCCTTGCTCCGCGGCTTATGCCTTATGCCTTAAGTTTGCCATGCCGTTAACATTGTTGTATTTACCCACACTGCATGGATAGTAGACACGTGGAAATTTAATGATATGACTCACCGGGTTTCCTTGGTACCGCCATCATAGGTCCGTTCTCGTACCCTAAAAGATGGTACACGTCTGGTCAAAATGAATTCATCTGGACTGCAACCCATTCGTCAGCATGAATCAAGTTCGCCGTCTTAACGGTTGTCCTCCGGCCGATCAAAAGGATGATCGGTCATGCATTCATGTCCGTGAATATTTGCTCCGTGTGCGCGCGTGTGCGATGCTGGATGAATATCTAATGCTGTTATTTCAAGTTTTTCAAGCGTCCCGGCGGACCAAGACCTAATATTTTGAATCCTGTTTTGCGTAAGCCTTTCGAGCTGTGGGAGCGTGATGCAGCGTACCGGCGCCGCGCTCGTTACTACGCCGCGGAGAAGTACAAGGATGTCATGGCGGAATACACCAAGCAGGAGGAAGCGTGTACTATTGCCGAGACTGCCGTAAGACGGAGTACGACAAGTCACTTGTACGATAGGCAACTTGTACAAGCTGATGAATGGGATATACGGTTAGAACAGGATGAGACCCAGAATTCAGGACGCAAATAATCAACGTGCGCAACAACAGCAGCGGCGTGATCCAAAGAACAAGTGACGGTGTGACTAATCTGTGTAATTGCTTCCATGGAACCAAACCTAAATTTATGTACATGAACGTTTATGTAAACACGTAGCAAAATCAAAAGCACTGCAAAAGTTCATGGAATTTGGCATAACCTCCACATTGGAGGGCAGGAGTGTCGAGCACGTACGGTACGAGAGCAGGGGAGTAAGAAAACATAAAACAGCAAAGTATAAAGGGTAAACACAAAAAGACAGACAACAAGTCCCTCAGTAGGAGTAAAACACCCAAGTAGCTACGGCAAAAGTTACGTAGAGGGAAAGTGGAAATGAAAGAGGGATATACGCAAGTCTTAGTTTATATATGCGTTATAAGCATGTCCATGGGAAATGTCTATGTTTTTAACGTCGTCGCAGGGTCGCTGGCTAATTCGGGTACTGTAGGAACGTGGATGAGTTCGGTGAACCAGAAAGAACTGTAGCAGGAAGAGAAAGGGGGAGAGGGAGTGACTGCAAATGTACAAATGCGACGACAAACAGAAAAAAACAAAGTGCGCAATAATATGCAAAAGGACCGCTGCCATTGTCTATCAGGTGGTGGGGGAAAGGGATCAAAGATAGACAGATCGACGCGTCTGAGCGCGTATGGATGACTCCGCTTCAAGCAAGTCGCGAAAACCAAGTGCTGGGAATATAGTCACATAAGGGAGGGAGCATAGGCAAAGTCCGGTATCAAGCAATCAAATGTTCACTTCCCACCCGACACCTTGAACATCACCAGTCCACACAACGCTATCGAGTATCCTGCGCGAGTCATCAGTACAGGACGAGCATCAAAATCAAACCCAACAAAAACACACCAAGAGCTTGCAAGATGCCAACCGACCCACCCCAAATAACCACACTTCCGGCAACCAATAACACATCCTTCAATACCCCCGCAAGGGTCAGCACCAACCCGCTCCCAGCACCCACCAAAAACACAGCAGCGATATTTAGCAAGAACGCAAGCAGCGCATTTGTAAGAAGAAAAAATGGGGTTATGCGAGGTGCTGCTTCTTCGCCTATGGCAGCGAGCAAGTCTCCCGACGCACCGACTATTGCGACAGTAGCGTTGGATGCAGCTTCGCCTGATACTGCGGACATGGCATGGGAGTAAGATCCTATGATGCTCTCCCATACTATGCGGAGCGGCTCTAGGCCCTCGGTAAAAGGTATGACGCAGAGGTTGATAAGGGCGCAGACAGGCGCGTAGAGATGGAGAGAGACGAGGGGGTCCATTTTAAGTCCATGGAGGAGGGTTTGGATGAGGACTAGGCGGGTAGCTTCGAACTGGGAGGAAGGTTAGTCAGGCGTATGTCTAGACTCGAAGTAGAGTGGTGCTCACCCCGACTCCTCCAGCTTGAATGAAAAACCCAATCCAACTGAAGAACCTTTCACCCTTGCTTGTGACGGCGACACCAGAGGAGATCATGAGGACGATGATGAGTAGCTTGCGGGAAGGTTCACTAATGCGAGTGGCCCATGTGATAAGTAGGATCGCTACGGGGGTGAAGGCCTGTGTAGATGTTAGTGCGGGAAATATCCAAAGGAATACGCATGAGGCATAACGTGAAACAAGTGACAACGTGTGTAGTACCGGAGAAGCGGAGATGAGGTGGTAATGAAGATCGAATGAAGGTTACAGAAACAGGTAGGTTTAAGGCAACGACACCAAGACTGTGAGAAAGATAACACAAAAGTATGGGATAGACTAACCTTGAGCATCTGAATATAGGCCACGCTTAGGTATAGATAAGCAGTGTTGCTGAGGATAAGACTGCCAGAGAAAAGGAGACCAATGGGTAGGATGGAGCGCAAGAACATGTCTTTGCTGACTGGTACATCCTTTGCACCGTCCAAGAGATGCGTGGTACGTTGAAGGACTCGGGTTCCAATAGCCTACTTGAAGTGTCAGTAGAGTATAAGAAAATACGAAAAACTTACCGCAAAAGTCAGATGCCAAGTGACCAAAAAGACTGGAAACTTAAAGTTTAAAGTGTTGTAGATGTAGTTGTTGTAGATGATGACTCCACTACTAAGAGCAATCCACACTGGAATGATCGTAGCTGCACTAAACTTTGCACGATTGCGAGGTTGTTGTGCAGTGGCAGGTGAAGGAAGGTCTCTGCTTTGACGGACTTCCTCCAGTTCGACAGATTCAAGCTTCTCTAATTCGCGTTTCTCCATCGTCGGGAGTCGCGATTGGCGTCGTGTGTGGTGGTTCGACGTCGTTAATGACAACGAGCAAGAAGCGTCGTCGTAAGTAGGAAGAAAGAAGTGACGAGACCCGAGTAGATAAAAGGGATAAAACGACCCCTGGAAATAAACACAGCCACACACCGTCTTACTGCAACTTCAATGTCAAGCTTGCAGGGTTACGTCGATAGCAAGTCCAAGCATTCTCTTTTTGATCTCGATAATAAATGATAATAATTTAGGGCGAGTCCTTCTGGTACTGCAAGACGGAAGAGCCATCGTCGGTGTCCTGGCTGGTTACGACCAAAAGTCAAATGTCGTCCTCAGCGATTCAAAAGAGAGGATCTATAGTATCGACGAAGGTGTAGAAGAAGTAGAACTAGGTCTCTACCTTGTCAAAGGCGATATGATGTGCGTGAGATCACTCAATTACAATACTGCTCTCACACTCTCATGCACAGTGTCCTCATCGGAGAGATTGACGAAGCAATCGATCGAGCAGTAGACCTTGCTTCCATACGCGCAGAGCCAATCCTACCTATTCGCTATTAGCGCCAGGCTGTAAGATACAAGGAAAACGACAATAAATCACCATGGGGCACCCATTCACAAAATGTATGTCTACAGTGTACATAAGCACGGCCGTGGACATACTGATCCCATACATGTCCTATTTTATTTATCAACAAAGGTCGATAACTTTATACATAGCACCATGTGCTTCCTGCAAATTCACTCATCCACGATCTCTGATCTGTCCGATTTTGAGTCGACGCTCACACATTCTACTAAATAAACATAGGTTCACATTTTCGGTTCCGCCTTTATAATAATCTCGATCGCTCAGTCTATCTTCCGCCTACACAACTTCCCCACGATTCAACAGCGAACCCGAACCATCTCCTTCACCTCTTCTTATAATCCGGATCCACCTCCCCGTTCCTCGAACAATATACTCATTGTGCTCTAGCATGGCAGACCATAGATAACGCGTCATGCATATTCATAACTACTGTACCCCACGCAGAAGTTCCGTTAAGTGATGCTCCACACCAAATTTCTCCGAAGTAAAACACACATGCTTCAAGCTATAGTACCACTCACTGCTAATAATCATATCAGGGTACCCATCCGTAATATCAACGTTCCTGCTACGTATTTCGGCGCGGAACTAGAACCTGCTGATACGACTCAGTTCCTCGATTAAGTTGACCTACGCCATCAAGTTATCTCATGGTACGATGATCTTTGAATAAATCGACCTTGTTCTACGCTGAAATGACAGAGCTCACATAACATCTGTCACAGTCTTGTTCGTCAGTAAATAGCATGAACTTTGTTCTCTTGTCCTACTTGAGCCAAGGATGTGCACCTGTGCCTTCACTCTGTTAAACATCTGGACCCTGACCTTGAAATCGTGGCACGTACCAATATTCTTTGTACCGTGATCTGGTGAGTTGGAGGGAAGTTTTGACCTCGATATGTTGGATTGGTTGGTTAGTGTTTCCCCCAAGTTGTTTTTGCGCGAATTAGGAATTGAAAGAGGATTCGACATTTTCAGTTAGACTGCGGGTGAGTTCACCCTGATCCACCATGCAGGTTCCTTTGTTCCATACGGGAATTATCTTCCATACGAGGACTGTCTTCCATACAGGGGCTGTCTTCTATCAGAACCTCGCTTCATTCTTTAAATGTGTGTGTCGTTCATATTATTAAGCTTTGGATTTTTTGGGTAGGCTATCTGGTTATCAAGTTCAACCATTTGAATTTCGGACCGTGATTGTGATGTTTTGGGACGTGTTAGATCCCTGGGCCAACCCTGGGCGCCTCGCAGTGTTATGATTACGATAGAGGAACTTTACATCATGCACACACGAGGTATACACTAACACCGCTGCTTCCTGCTTCGTTATCACATGATTCATGATAAGACTGTCTGCTCAAGCGGCGGGGATTGATCGGACAATTAAGGCGAGACGCGCGGCGATGACTACACAGGGGTGGTTCCATTTGCCAGGCCGTTAGCACAACGTTACCAGGTATGTACCAGTCGTCCTTGATAGAGTTTTGATATATACAAAATATAAACTACAATCAGCTTGCAGACTCATGTTACAACAAGTATATCAAACGACGGAAGTTCGAACGAGGTATAGTAAGTATTGTCTTTTGATCCCCCAAAACGCTCTCTTCCACACACAGTCTATTCGTCTTTCTTAGGTGCTAAGGGCACTTCAACAAATTCCGCTGCCCCGAAAATATCTCTAATGCGAGGATCACCTGCCACCCTCCCGTAGTGTGCAAAGACATTCGGGTAGACTGCTCGTTCAGCAGCACCGAGGGTCACTCGGCCGGTACGTTGGATGACCGCAGCTAAAACGATATCCGCCAGTGTAATCTCATCAGTGACGAGGAACTCGCGAACGCTGAGGTTCTGTTCAAGGAACTGGAGTGAGCGCTCTTGGCGTTCAAATATAGATTTATGGACCTGTAATCAAAATGCCGGTGTGAGCCATAGTTCTGTACATGTAAAGAACAACTGACGCTTTCACTGTAGGCGTTCTCTGGGAAGAAGCGCTTTACCATCTGCCATATGTAGTCGCTGTACATGTTGATCTCGTGTTCTGCAAAGTGGATCCACTGGTCGACTAGCGCAGCATCTTTGATACTGTTTCCAAGAAGCCTAGACTCAGGGGCCAGAGATGCAACTGATCATATAATGAGTAAGAATGGTATATATAACTTATGGGCACGGAGTGTAACACTGACCATAACGTGCAATAGAGGCACCCTCTACAAGAGTGAGTCCATCCTCCCCCTCAAAGGCAGGAATTTTTGCCAAAGGGAATTTGCTAATAAATTCAGGTGACTTGTTGGTGACGCCGAACTCGAAAGGCTTGACATCCAATTCGAGGCCTGCGATAGCAGCAGCGCTCAATATCTGCATCAATATTGTGTCAATCAATAGAACTCTGCACAAGAGACAGAACCGACATATTTGGTTTGACGTTGATAAGAAACACCCCAGAGAGAGCCGATTGGAGCCATTTGGATTGATAGAATGACTTTGAGAAGTGATGGAGGTTGTGAGTGATATTTCGTTCAGTACTCGACCCCTTATTTATACCTGCTGCCGTCAGTGCAACAGTCATGAAATGATCAAAGGGTTTCCCGAGCGTCGGATTTCCCACAGCAGAGAACTTTGCTTGACTTGACGGTACCGATCGTGACCTGTCCGAGTCACCTACTGTTCCGAGCTCGAGTCACAACTCGTGTGTCTTCGAAAATCAAAGGCTTCCTGTAGTCGCACGCATAGTATCCTAGAGGCGAGACCAAATTTTGAAGTGAACGCAATAATACGAGTGCTTGACAAATCAAGGATCATCGATCATCGATCAGGACTGCCTTCACTGGATGATTCATCGTGAAAATGCTGTGCCACTGCTGCGGTCTCCCAAATGGTGTTGATTGTTGGCATTATGTAACTGAACTTACTGGCGCTAATCACTGAAACCTACCACTGAGTACTGAGAGTGCTTATCGTTAAAGTTTGGAGGGGCAAATACCGCAGCAGTCGCAGCAGTACTTGGCACAACATTTTCCTAGCGCCCAAGGATCAGGACTGCCTTTAGATGATTAAAAACTTTGTCAGATAATCGTGACAAAGCAAAAGACATGGGCGCTATGGCTATCTAGACTGATTAGTCAGTACGATTGGCTGTCGACAAACAAACCGTACTATTCTCCCTACGTTTCTGCCGAGGAAACCACCTCCTCGACCACCCACTCTTTTACCTCTTCTTACAATCCCAAACAAAGTCTCTCACCTGTTCCTCAAACCACTCTCTCTCCTTGCGCAACAGACCGTGTCCCCCATGCACATGAAGCACCATAATCGGACGGACCCCTTTGAATCCAATAGCATCCAACTCTACGTCATTCTTTCCCAGGTTCTCCTGTCCTGCAGCCTCCCTCCGGCTACTTATCATCGCTTTCAGCATCTTGAACGGGAATCTCAAGATGAAATCACCCTTGGCTACGAGCTTGAGCGTGGTGACACGTGGCCACAGGGAACAACTGGAGTCCTTGAAAGGTGCACCCAGGAGCACAAAAATGGCTTTCATACAAAGCGAGTTGCTGTTTGTGACCGTCACCGTATCGCCATTCCATGAAGGGGCCAGAGGCGCCATTTCCAACCTGCTGCCGAAGCACCCATCAAACTCTAGTGTATTTGACGAGGGAAACCTTCTGATACGCGGATCTTCTACGAATTCACAGTTGCGAATGACGATCGTCTTGCAATGGTCATCGACTATAGCTAAAACTTTCATGCACCCACGCACGACCACTTTCTCCGCCCCGATTTGGAGGCCTTCGCGTTTGATCTGTGAGATGGTCTGGAACGGAAATTGCAAGCCGTCGATAACGAGGCAAGGTATTCTTCCTGGGACTGCATTCAGCGCTTTTGGAACACTGTCTGGTACTGAATATGAAGGCCCATAGCACGGAAGCTCATCTTCGAATGATAGCGTCACGGACTCGACGTTTGTCAAATTGTTCTCGAGCCACTGGTGATCAAGACTGTGAGCTACTTTATGATCGATATGAAGGATTCTGAGGGTGGGACAGTCGAGTTTGAAAAGTGGTGGTAGGTGCTGGCGAGTTGTCCAACACCCCAGGAGTTTCGGGCCCGTCACTTGTAAACACTCTAGTTGGGGCGCATGTCCTGCTAATGTGTCGCAATATTCTTTGATGTATAGGCCATAAAAGTTACGAATGCGCAAACTCTTCAGCTGTCCAATGTGCAGAGCGATGAACTTGAGGATATGAGGAACTTCCTTTTGCTTGAGATGGTTGTGCTTGTTTATTATAGTCAGATGAACCGGATAACCATGCGCCTTTTGAAGCTGAGAATTCAGATCTGTCAAGGTCTGACGTCCGCTCTTATTCGGCATCACGCAAAAGATACGAGTCCAGAGCTCGGGTGCAGACGAAATGACGTCTCGCCATTGTCTGCATACTGATGCCATAGTGTGAGGAAATGGCAAGCCTCCTGCTATAACCCGGTGCTCTGCTTCAGCAGTTGTCTTCATATCATCTTCGATGATGTCCTCCAGTGCAAACCTGAATATGCTGCATAGTGTCTCTGAGGGAAGTAATTTGACGGAAGTGCGTGTTAGCTTTTTTCTTGGCATTATAATCACTAGATGAATGAGATCTGAGAACATTGAAAAAAAAAAGCAATGAATGTACATACCTCGTCGATATATAGCCTGGCCGCAAACAAGTTGAGTGGAGCCCCTAGGTTGGGAGTGGCAAGGAGCGGAATTTGAAAAAATTGCAGGTGCCGATGATGCCGCTTTGGGCCGAAGTAGCATTGTACGATTTGTAATCCATCCTCAACCAATTCGTTCGTGCTGTATACAACACGGCATACCTCTCAAACTAAGTAGCACATGTTCAGGAGCACTGAAATTGATGCAGGGCAGTAAAATGATATCTTATTCCGCACATTACAGCTGCAGCATAGGCCTCATCAGTTGCCCGAAGCTTTGGTTTGGAGTCTTGGACCGTCGACGACTTGACCCTTGCAGCCTCGGTGATGATGAAACAATTCTTGCCGTGCTCAAAATACTCCGTGGAATGTGGATGAGTGCTATGGATCTACGGCTGTTTCGTGGTGAGATATCATCTTGATCTAGCGGTATCATGATGGTCTCCGAACGTGCGCAGAAGATACCTACTCAGAAGCATCTTTAGCAACTGCAATATCTGTTATCATCGAGAGCGCCCTAACCATCTCTGACAAGCCGGCCGCACTAGCAGTGCACGTGTGTTCTAGTCGCACTGAACTAAGTTACAAGATTCAGATCGCAAGGCACACTGATACGATCTGCTAGGAGGCATACTGCGGCTGGGATATCTTGCGCGTCAATGGAACAAGAGTACGTTCAACGTTCAACCTAGGTCAGCAATGGAATGCTGGCCTAGATAACAATGGTGTACGAGTGGTGTGACTGGGGACGTGCGAGTCGGTGGCGGGAGGATCATGATGTCTGAGGGAGCAGGAAATAGGGAGGTCAGCATTTGCTGAATTGCTTTCACATCTAGAGGACGATACGTGGTTGTCGATAATGACTGACTTGGTGGACAGATATATACTCCCATATCGCATTACGATGACGAGCAAAGTTGCAAATCGATCTAGAAGGCTATGGGGAAGCACTTCATCTTGCCCGGTCGTTCAGCCTCGCACAACGTCCTCGTCTCCTTTCGATATTGGAGACGCAGACGAAGAAAAATTATCATTTGACAATGTACTAGTCCTCCCGCGCGTACCTCGGACCCTCGTCGTTGCACATAAAGTTAGCACCCCAGGACGACATCAGGCCAATCATCCCCTGTATTTCATTCGCACAGTTTCCTCTCTTCATTCCATTTTTCAGATAAGTTATCCGTTCTCAGACAATCGTCCAATCCAGCGCCTCGGGATTTCGGTTTGAGTAACACCTACCTCACCGTGGCCTAGGAATTTCGTTTCATTCATCACATTCAGCGACAACCGTTCTCGGCTCCATTTCAAATGATAAAACTGTAGCCGCGGGTAAGCCAGGCAGGAGAACTTCGCAAACATACTGACCAAGTCTAAAGTTCAGGACAAACCCTGGCCGGAGATCGGGAAGACACGGGTGAAGCGGAGCTATTCCATTACGTGACATCGAACTTCTCCTGCGCTCAGGAACTCGATACAAGGAAGAAAAAGGTGCAGAAAGATGCTCAGGGTATCGTGTTCGATTGTTTTGCACTCTCCTTTGTTTTAATACACCAGTATCTTTCACCTCATTGGCAGATTATCATTTACCCCCCTTTCTTTCGACCGAAATTTTGTATGTTTACGCGACTGTTAGCAGGTGCCAGAATCAAAGAGTGTGGCAAATTTGGCGAGCCCCGTCAAGAACGGAACAAACTTATACATATAGATAAGGTCGATTCATTCGAGTAACCTTGAATCTGGGAGGCTATTTTGCCTTCGCATCCTAGGAGGTGTTGTTTATGTTCTATGCCAGCCTGGAAACGCTGCTTCTATTCTCGTGTGAGTTCGCACCTTACTGAGATCTTCGAACAGTGATTATCGTTCTATCGGCAAAAATACCATTGCCACGAGGCCAGCCAGGTTAGGATTATCTTCACGGGTGCGTACACGTACTTGGTACATTCCGGAATCGCAATATCTTTCTGAGATCCATTACCGTGTAGGTGGCCCTTTGGACTGTATAAGAAGCAATCAATCTTGGGTCAGAGTCTATCAATTACTGTCACCCCATCTTTGCAATTTTGCGAGTCATGGCTAGTCCAACCGCCGCGTCCGAACCCAAAATACCACACCAAGAAACAAATACTGCAATTGACATAGAACATGTTCCAGTTACCGACGACCCCCGCCAGTGGAGTCTTGCTAGAAAGGTGCGTGTATCACGCGATGCACTTTGTAGTTAATTTGACCCTTACATCGATAGACGACAACCTTGTGCATTGTATCGCTGGCTACAATGGTGTCTACGTTAGCTTCTAACATTCAAAATCGTTCGTCGAATGTCTTTTCTTAATGAGTGATTTAAAATTGATGCTGTCTCGCAGCGTCGAACTTTCTGATAGAGGAGGCTCTGCATGCAACAAGCAATCAGATTAGCTGGACATTAGCGGCGTTCCAAATCGTACAAGGGAACCTTCCTCTATTATGGAGTGCCGCAAGCGAAATCAAAGGCCGTAAGGTTAGTGTAGATGTACGCTTTTTGACCTGCTTGATGAACGCGCTCGATTATCATAGCCTGTCTATTTGGTGTCATCCGCCTTATTTGTGGTAGGAAGTGCTATCTTGGCATTTTCAAAGACTATTGAAGTAATGATCGTTATGCGAACACTTCAAGCTGCAGGGTGAGTACTCATGCAACAGCTCGAGAATTGATTAATCCCCTCTCCTGCAGATCAAGCGCTGCTATTTCTATTTCAGCTGCGACTCTGGCTGATATCTACGACACTCACGAGCGAGGGACTAGGATGGGCATCTTCTTTGCCGCACCTCTCTTAGGACCTGCCCTGGGCCCTATACTCGGCGGGTCGTTGTCACAGGCCTTCAACTGGCGCGCAAGTTTCTACTTCTTGTTAATTTGTGGAGTAGTCACCTTCTTGTCCTTCCTCATCCTGTTCAAGGACACATTCAGACATGAGCGAAGTCTCATGTATCGCTCTGCTTTACAACGTCTAGCTGCCTCCAAAGAACCTGTCCAGAGTTCAAACGAATCTATCAGCACCACGCAAGACTCCAGCATACCTGTCAAGGACATCGAAAAACAGCCTCAGCCTCTGTATGCTCCAGACGCGATCCCAGTGCTGATTTCCACTCCAGGGCTGGAGAATGTGAGATTATCAATACAGGATATCAACCCCTTTCCACCATACTTTCGAATATTGTCGCGAAAGAACAACGTTTTCATTCTCATCGCTAATGGTGAGTAAAGATTTGGTCTCTCCATGTTGTAATTTAATGATGTCACTAGGCCTCGTCTTCGGATTTAGCTATTGCCTTTCATACACGTGTGCCCGCACTCTCGCTAATAAATATGGTTACAATGCGTTTAACACTGGCTTTGTCTTACTTTGCCTAGGCATAGGTGAGATATTCACCCCCTGGATTATGGCAGGTGGCTAATTTTCTATGAAGGAAGTATCGCTGGGAGTGTGATCGGCGGCCGTTGGTCCGACCGGGTACTTGCGAGCAAGAAAGCAGCGAACGGAGGAAAGTGGTCCGCAGAAGTAAACCTTTTCTACACTTCAACACTAGAACTCTTGTTTGACATCTTTCCAAGATGCGCCTAGAAAGTTCGAAACTAGCGATGCTGTGGTTACCTCCGTCCGTTGTCGCTTATGCCTGGGTGTGCGAAAAGCACGTCAATGTCGCCGTCATTTGCATCATGCTCGGTCTTATTGGATTCACCTCCATGTCTGTGAACCAATTATTTATTGTTGTGATTGTCCTAACATCTACTTGCAGATGGATGTATAGTAGTACAATAGCATACCTCGTTGACGCCAACCCAGGTCGCTCGAGTACAGCGGTTGCCACCAATAGCTCGTTCCGAGGATCTCTTGCTTTTGTTTCGGTTATGACCGCCGTACCGCTTCAAGTGAGGTTCCTTGATCTACTGTATCCAACACATGCTGATGCTAGTTTGTTCTCTGTGCAGGATGCTTTAGGAGATGGGGGATTATATACGGCGTGGGCTGGTATCTTGGTTGTGATGGAGTTGATGGTTATGTTGGTGCTACACAAGGGAGAATTGTGGCGTAGGGAAAGTGAGGAGCGTGAGCGTGAAATACTACGTGAATAAATCATCACGATTGGATTTACTGGAAGGATGTGGTTACATTAGAGGCTGAATTGACACGATGCTTATATACATTGTCAGGGGGGTGATTAAATTTTAAACCGAGAGTGTTTATGAATAACCGATTATCCGCAAAGTACTCGCGGAAGAACACAAATGAATGATGACATCAGGGGTATATTCCAATCCTGAGCACCTACCTACGTTAGTAAGGTGATACTCGAATATTGCGAGGTCAGTCGTGATGAGGAGGGAAACGCAAGGCTGAAGACTTGAGTCGTGAGTGACCCGAAGAGTTGTTAGGGATCCGAACTCATATTAATTACAACCTTTATTCTTGCGCACCATCGCAACTAATGACATCTTACTGATCTGATCCCTGCGGGACCTAACGCAATAAAGCCACCGCACTGAGGTTGGTTGCTTAACCTTTTGTTGTGATGCCACCACTTTTAGGGCACCTCCTCTCAGAAATACCATGGCCGACGGGCGCGCCATATCAAAGGACTGGTGAGAAAGTCATATACCATTACATGACAACTTGAATATGCGGGGAGCGATTCAAATCACGCTAAAAAGTGATGTATTACAACGTACTACTAGTGGCCCGGATCAGTAAATTCTCGACAATATATTGCCTTACATATCATTCATCTGTTCACCGGTTCACCGATTAGAAAGGCCGAATTCAACGTAACGCACCTTGAATTCAAGGACTCATCGGCTCTCTGATGGCCTGACGGGTTTTGTCATCCTTCACCCATTGTTGTATGTACGACTAGTCGTGCGATCACTTCGTTATTGCGTTATTGGTTTGATCACATACTAGTATAGTTTCGACTTGGTGAAAATCTCATTGATTGCCGAAAATGCCAAGGCGCAATGGATATCCGAAATTTTGCCCACTTTCACACTGGC